AGTTATATTTAGTAATAAATTAATTTATTATTTTGGTGGTAAAGGAAATGATGTAATTTCTAGAAGTAATTTAAGGAGTAATCTATTAAATAATCTTTTTAAAAGGTCTTAACTACTTTTCTACTTTCGAATAGTATTTAGCGATATAGTTAATAATAGTGTTATAACTAGTATATAATTAAATATTTATATTAGTACGCTATATTAAAGTAATAGTTTAATTATAATTATTTATATAATTATCGTTCCTTACCCTATTGTATAGTTAGTATTTTGGGTTGAGATTATATATAAGGTATACTTCCGGATAGTAATTTCTAAGAAAGTAAAACCGATAAATTTTAAATACTAAATCCTTAAAACGAAAAATACTTTAATTAAACCGTTTAATACGAAGGTAATAATTATTAGTATATTAGCTATATCGTTATATCCGGTTAATTATACGGGATAAAAGGTTGAAGGTAGGTAGATATTAACTTTCTTCTTCTAAACTATTACTAATAATAATAAATAAAGAATCTTTTTTACTCTATTAGCCGACTCTTTTTAATTCCAGGTTGAAAATAGTTATATAATAACCCTATAATTCTATAAACTCCCGCCGGGTATCTTTATTAATTAAATTAAATACATTAATATATAATATTTAATAAATACTATAATTATAGCTACTACCTCTTGCCTAAAATTTAATATAATACTACTAGTCCTCAATCTTAAATTTAGAAATTAAAACATACTCCTTAAATAATTCGAATCGTCTTTAGAGGTAATATATTATAATATACGGGTTTTCTTTAAAATTCTTCTTTATAATTTTATTACGGATTTCGATAGACGCTTCCTTCTATTCTTCGAAATTAGATATATATTAAATAAGATTTTTTTAATATATATTGGCCGTGCTAAATATTATAAATATAGCGGATATACCTAACGTTTGTACGTAAGCACGTAGTTCGCAACTTTTACGCATCTAATATAGCTGGGTACTACGTATAGTATTAGAAAACCTCACAACCGAATTAAAGAATCAATATACCTCTAACGTATTAAATTTAACCGCTTCCTTCAATACTTTAATATTAATTAAACCTTTATTATTTATACTACTATGTTTAGAACGAATAAAAAAAACCAATTTCGAATTAATTTACTTATATATTAAAATATTAAATATAATAAATAAAAATTAATAATATTAAATAAACTGTCTATTATATTATTTAAATATATATTTAATATAATCCGTATAATTAATAAATTGTATACGAAGTTTAATGAAATTAATTTTCCCTTTTAAATAGAATATAGGAAATACCTATAATAGAATTAGCTAAAATCTATCCTATTTATATATAGGATAATTATATAATAGGCTAAGTTTAAGGAAAGGTTGAATTGGAGGGTATTAATTAGCGGGTTAAAATTAAAATTGCGGAGGTTAGCCGGCGGATTAGGGTTAATTATATACTAATTAAACTAATACGGCATTTAATATATCTTATCCTCTACTTTGTAACTATTAATGAAATTACTCTATATTTATTTAATTAATAATAAAATTGGGGAGGGCAATAACTTCTAGTTCAAAAGTATTATCGTCTTTTTTATTACCGGCATTACTATCCCCCTCTCTATTAAAATTGAAATTTTAATTATTTGGGAAATTATTAAGGTTAAGTTTATAAATAATTAATTTATTATATATATTATTATTAGGAAATATTTTTAATTCTTCAAAATGAATTTCTATAACTTCGATATTTTAATATCTAGGGTAATACTACTTAAAGTAATTAAATTAGATATAAAGCTTAATAGGATTAATTATTATAATTTATTTAATTCGTTGAATAATATAAGGTTTATCCCTAAATTTATAAGGCCGAAGAATTACAATATTTAATTCCTAGGGTAATTGAAATAATTAATAATGAATATAACTAATATTATAAAGGAAATTAATAATATAACCGGAATATTTATACTAAGAACCTTTAATAACTTAAACATTTATAAAAATATAAACCCGGGTAATAAATTATTCTTCGATTTAATTAAAGGGTAGTAAAAAATTGGGAATATTGTTAAAATTTAAGTTATTTTAGGCGTTAAAATATTTAAGATTATTAGGAACCCTACGGTCGTTACGATTATAATATTAATGGTAATACTTAGTAGTTATATATATATTAAACTACTTCTCTTTATAATGTAGATACTATTCTATATTATCCTCTTTCTATGTAGTTTCGAAAATTTTAATTAAATTATAATTGATATTAGTAATAGTTTTTATTAGAAAATTTTTAAATTAATAGAGGGGATCCTATTTAAATTCAACGCCGGGAAATCCTAGGAATTGGCGAGGCCGGGAGGGAAATAGTAGTACTAATTATTCGAAAGTAGGTTTAGGAATAGGCGGTATATTGGGTTGTTATTGTAAACCCCGATATTAATAAAATAGTAGAGGTTAGGGTCCTAGTAGTTTAGGAATAAAATTATAATTATAATATAAATTATAAATCTTAAATTCTTCTCTATTGTTAGAGTTAAAAAATAATCTACATATAAATACTCTCTAGCAATATAAGTAGAATTTATTTTTAAGGTCGGTATTCCTATATAATAGACCTAACCGGTAATACCTATAAAACCTAAATTTAATATATTTATCTACTATAGCCCGGGTAATATTATATATAGGGTAAAAGAAATAATTGTTATTTAGGTTATTATTGGGATTTGAATTTGGATTAGGGTTTTAACTAATATTAGGATTATAATCTCCTATATTATTATCTATATTATTATCTATATTAATATTCTAATTATTAATATTATTTTCTTAATTGTTATTCCTATTATAAATACTAGTATTATATTATTTCTAATTACCGAGGGAAGGAATAATTAAAATTAATTAACTATTATAATAATAATAATAATAATTACGCCGAATTTAATTAATTTAGTAATAGGCTATAATAATATTAGAAGAATCCTATATAAAATATAATTAATTATATCTATAAATAATTTAAAGTATTTATTATATTAAACATATTTATAAATTCTTTCCTACAAGAAAGAAAGGAATAATTAAATGTATAATACAATTTCAATTTTAAAACTATCTATTAATATTAATAATTCTTCGAAATTATTATACTAGTTAAACTAGTACTAGTACTAATATTAGTATTAGTACCAGTGCTAAGGCTAGGGCCGGGGCCGGTACTAAGGGTCTTTGCTGTAGTATTAATATAAGCAATACTATTAGTAATAGTACTATCGGTAGTACTATAAGTAAAAATAATTATAATTCCCGTTCTAGTAGTTTATTGAATTCTTCTTTATAGGCAATTATCCTAATAGATTAGAACTATTAAATTAAAATTACTAGAACTACAATTTAATAAGGCTAAGGATGGGGTTAGAGTAGTCGAGGTAATAAAGGTTTTAATAAAGAAGGGGTTTAAAATTGAAATTAAAATTAAAGTCTTTAAACGGATTGTAATATTCCGGGAGGAGATTGTTCAATAGTATCTCTTTTACGCTGTATAGCCTATTAATAATATTAATTATTCGGGGTAAATTAACTGATATTATTTAAATTATACTTATAACCCCCCGCAATTCGGATTTTAACCCTTAAAAATACTATTTACCCGCAGGTAGTAAATTGATATAGTATATTAGATTTATAATAGAATTTACGCATTTTAAAAGATTTATTATTAAACGGATAATACCGATTAGTTAGTAAAGGGAATGCTAGGGATAGTAATAGATAAGAACCTAATAGATACTTACTTCTATTTACTTATTATAGTATTCTCTATAATTTTATATAAATTTAGTAGGATTTTATTTATTAGTAAATTCAGTATTAGATTTATATTAATAATATATTTTATAATATTTAGTATGTATATTTATAATAATAACGAAAGGAAAGATATATAAACCCCTAGAATGAATAGATAGATATTAAAAAAAGAAACCCCTAGAAAAAAAAAAATCCTAGAAAAAAAGAAATCCTCTATATTTATAATATCGGATATTAGTAATATAATAAATAGATAGATAGAAAAGAGAAAATTAATTTAATAAATAGGATTTAGAAAGTAGGATTTATATTTACTATCGAAGTTAAAGTAACTTCCAATTCTAGGTTTTTGTTACCCTTCTTTCGAAGGTAGAATTTAGATTAGTAATTAGTAGGATAGTCTATTTAATAGTCCTAATACGTACCGAAATAATTTAATTGTCCAAAATTTAAGAATATAATAATTTATTTTATTATAAATATAAATTTCAATTAATTTTAGAGTACTTAATTTATTATTAGTTTTAATAATTTTACGAAGGCTAATACTATAAGCTTAGGGCGAAGTACCGATTTAAAAAGTTGGAATTTATATTTATTATCGAGTTTAAAGTAATACCTAATAGTAGAATTTTAGATTAATAATAAATAAAGGAATTCGAAATTCGAGATAGGGGGGAGGCGAAATTTTTATACTCTGTGCGGGCTAGCTTACTAATTGCTTATTGTTTACCGGTCGTTTACTAAATAAGGAAATTACTATTTTCTAATAATAGGCGTTTATAACCGTCGTAATATTTTATTTAGCGGTAAACTAGGTATTGAAATTGAATTATAATAATAATATTAGTATTGTTATTAATAGAAGGTTAAAAATTGAAGTTGAATAGCGAGAGGGTTACAACGTAAATAGTTAACTAGTACGGGTGCTAAACTGATTAATAGCGCTAGTGCTAGGTATTTGCCAGCCGTCTATTAGACCCGTCAGTTAATTATTATTTAGAAATAGAAAGACTTAGTATATTCTAGCGCGGACTATTAGAAATATTATCCCTGAATTGATTAATTAAAAATTGGCTTGGTAAAATACTTAAATTAAGGGTAGGGCTGTACTACGGATTTAACTAATGAGAACCTAAGAAATTTTTTGTATAGAGACCTAATTTAAACGAACCGTCCCTTAACAGTCCGTTCGGTAGATACGGGTTATGAACTATGAGCCCCTCTGAGACAGTGAATGTCATCTACCTCTGAACAGTTGAAGTACGCTTCAACTATGTATATCGAGCTAGAGAACGGAGGTCGGAGGACGGTAAAATCTAGTGGACATAGCGCCCCAGCCGACAGCGGCCCGAAGCTACAGCTCCGCGCCGGTGCTACGTCACATGCCATTCGACTCCCCATTGAGCTCAGCACCATCCTTCTGTTGACTTTCTCCTCTCTTCCCGATAAACAGACCGTGGTTCACTGAGTGGTTTAGGATGCTGTCAGGCCTTTGTTAGCAGTGTATGCAGTGGATGAGTGAGTGGCTGAGCCGGTCATACTTGTGAGCCCAGATAGTTTCCATCCTGTCAACATCCAGACATACCGCAGAGCCCATCTGTTGACTTGAAACTGAACATCATGGCTACCTCTTCCGTCCTCCGTCGGGCGCTCCTATATGGTGCGGTCTATCCAAGATATAACCCTCCTGTCATATGGCTGCAATAGTTGCTAACTCAGCATGACCCAGTTCCTGCGTCTTCCCAGAAGTTCATGACCAAGTCACTCTCCTTGGCTAGTGACAATATCACCTATGACCTTGAGGACTCGGTGACTCCAGCAAACAAGCAGACCGCTCGCATACAATTGCGCGACCACCTGTCCTCGCTTTCGAACAAGCCAGGCTCCATTGGAGAGCTTGCTGTACGCATCAATGCTGTCTCGACCCCCTATGCGCTTGATGATCTGACCACTCTCGCAAGCGCCCCAAACCTTGACGCCATTGTCATCCCCAAGGTCAACAGCGCTAGCGATCTGTCCTTCGTTACAGATGTCATTCGCCATGCTGCACCACAACGACATTCTTCCGACCCCACGGCGAGCCCTCTCAAGCTAATTGCCTTGATTGAATCGGCCAGAGCAGTCATGGATTTGCGCTCGATATGTGCTGCGTCACCGTATCTGACTGGTCTGATCTTTGCTGCTGAGGATTTTGCGTTGGACCTGTCTATTACGCGAACGCCAGGTTTGGCGGAGTTTTTGTACGCCAGAAGTGCTATTGTAACTGCTGCCAGAGCATTCGATCTCCCTAGCTCCATTGACCTTGTTTGTACCTCATACAAGGGTCCAGAAGGGGTAAAGCAGCTAGAAGAGGAGTGTCAAAACGGCAAGGAGATGGGCTTCAACGGAAAGCGTGAGTTACCTATTCCTGAATATCCTTTTCTTGCACCGACGGTGCCCTTGTTATAGGAACTGTGCTCTTCACTAATACTTGGCATTCAAACAGAGTGTATCCACCCCAGTCAGGTCGAAGTGACTCAGCGAATGTTTGCCCCAGCAGAGTCCGAGGTCGAGTGGTACGTTCGTATCCTCGTTGCCGATGATAAGGCCTCTGCAGCTGGTCGAGGTGCTTGGACCTTGGACGGAAAGATGATTGATGCTCCTGTGGTTGGAAAGGCTCGGGCGGTAGTCGCCAAAGCCGCAAAATGTGGAATGGATATCGAAAACATTAAAGCAAAGTGGAAGGATCAGAAGCCGGAGTGATGGCTTCTCTGCTGGATCAGGTCACATCTCAGAACTCGCGAGGATCTTCCCACAGTCTCGGTAACCGGGTATCTTGACCCCCTATACCCTGCCCGTAATGCTCTAGGTCGAAATATTCGGGATCCTGTACCTGGATATGTGCTGTGTCTGTTGGAAGTTGATGCTGATTGTACCACGAAGTGTCCGGAAGAAATATATCATTGCCTTCGGGACATAAATCTTGGCCGAGCTGCTGCCGCCCTACACCTTCAGTCAGGTCGGGACCACGGGGCTGTAATCCAGTAATTTCTTCGTTGTTGGTCGAACTTTGCAGAGCTTCTTCCTCGATCCTGTGGATGTAATCTTCCATACTTTCACGAGGCGGACCCTGCGTATGAGCATACAAAAGCTGAGTTGGAGGGCATGAAATAGGCCTTGAAATTTGATCAACTGCAGGGCGCAAAGAGGTTAGTTGGTGAGAAGGCATTACAGCCCGAACTCTCTCAGGCGGAACGAGTTTCGTATAGCGACCGGATGCTTGCTTAGAAGAAGGCTCCTGATATGTTTGCCAGCCCTCTTGGGCAAACAAGTTACGCGCTGCTACAAACGGCTGAGAAAGGAGTCTATCCCCGGCATCAGAGGTAACCCAGGCTTGTGGTTTAGGTTGGAACCGTGGCTGCGGTGGTACATCTAGTGGCGTTGTTGCTGTTATATTGGATGAGGGCTGCTCATCTACAGTTCTTTTGTTCATAGTTGGCAATGGTTCTGCAGGCAGCACAGAGACACGTTGTTTGGGGTTGCTGTTGTCGTCTGCTGTCATGACTGCGAAATCTCGATACTGGGGTATAGGATTTCTTGCGTGTTGGCGATTTTGATTCATTTCTGCATCAAAAGATGTCTGGACTTCAGCATCCTTGTACACTATCGATTTCCGTGGATGCCGCTTTGCTCTCGAAGCTGGTCTGATCTTTAAATCCTCCGAAACCACATGTGGGCCCCTTATTTCCCGCTCCTGCAGGACAAGCTTCCGAGCAGATCTCTGAATTCTCTTCCGTGGTTTCTCTGAAAGGGAATCGTTGGACACTGGCGCCCTAGCATTCGGATCCCTGTCACTTGTTGACCATGTGAAATATGTAGTTGATCTGCTACTCGGACGATTTGGTAGGACAAGTACTGAATCATCACCACACGAGGAGACATGGGGGTCTGGTCGGAGAGAAGCAGGCGAAGGCTGTCTGGTAGAGCCAGTGCTTCTACTGGGAAGAAGCGAAGGGCTGGGTGAATCATGTGTTCGTCGCTGGCGGATATCTGAAGCCGGATGTCTAGCAGTAGCAGTGTCGTAGCGTTGTTCTCGATGAGGTCGGTAGCGTATTTTCTCAGCTTCCGCTTTTTCACTGTCAGCTCTTCCCGTAAAGAACGCGGACAGTTCCTTCGATTCCTTAGCTTCCGCCTGCATTCTTCGGCTTCTTCGTCCTGGCTCCGCCGCTCTTGATCTGTGATCAGGGCGTCTTGATCTAGTTTCGACCTCCTGGCGATGGGCAGTACCGTAGTCGGTTCGTCGGGCATGCTCGTTCAATCGTTGCTGTAATTTTGAACTGCTTTAGCAAATCGCCATCATTGACCTTAGTCACAGTTTACCCACCGCATGTTGATATTTACTTCGGGTATGTCTTTGAACATCCTCCAAAGACCCATGACTGTCCTCCCGGCGATGTTCTTTAGTCTGGTTCCGTCTCTTGTTACGATCTACCTCTGGCTTGTATTCGTATTTGTCAAGCCTCGTGTTGTGTCGGGATTTCTTTTCAAACCGAAGAGCATTTGGGCTATGGGTCTCTCTTGGGTGTACTGGCTCGGGCGATTCTGACCGTGCTCTCTTCTTCTTTTGACTAGCCTGCTTGACCATGTGCGCGCGCGGCGAGACCTTTCGAGGTCTGTCCCCCGGAACCGGCTCTGGGGAACAGGCACGATTCGCTTGTGATCGCTGCAGCCATGTGTGGACATAATCCGCCTTCTCAGGTTGGCTAGCGGGCACATCGAACGCGCCTTGGTGATTGTGCCGAGCTTCTCTGGTACGCAATCTGGCAGACGTGTGATGGTATTCATCGCTTCTTCGTTCATGTCGATGATGGTCATGATCCGATGGATGACCTGGTTCGTATGGATACTTGTCTCGATAATGGTATTTACGGGAATCCATAGGTCACAGGTTGACCACAACTAGAGAAGACGCCCGCAGGCTCGAGTGATGATGAAATATGGCGACTGTAATCCTACTGTAGTTGGTAAACAGAAGAGTTGGAAAGGCCTGTATTCGTGTACATACCTATCCCCCAAGTAAGTAGAAGTCCAGAGAAAAGCGGCGAGCACGATTCAGAACCGTGCCCTATCTATGCCCTCTGTACCCTCTGAAGCCGAACTATTCACGATGCAGCTATAACAAGTCTACCAAATGGCTCTTTCCTATTCTTGATATTTTCAAGTGGTCTGTACGTGAATGTCGTATTTTACTTCTGTTCGACTTTTCATGACACTGGACGAATGAAGCTCGTACGAGTATCTTTCAGTCGCTACTGTAACACCAAGTTGCAGTTTTATCCGATCAGACGCCATCCTGACGGGATCCTGACGGGATGGCGATAGTGATTGAGAAGGTGCTTGCCTGGCCATGGCGTATTGGTCTGGAGGAAGGAACATTTATCCGCGTCTTAAAGCGGACCAATGATGATTCGCGTCTTGCGAGTCAGTTCTCTGAGCATTCTCCTTGTACCGTAAACCTGGAATCATCGCGATGGCTTTGACTTATGACGATTAGAGTGTTAGACAATTTGTAAAATGAGATGTCACATGCCTATTATATACTTGCATGATGGTTGACGCTGAGAGTTCTAGGCAGGGGGTTTGGTGCTTTCGCGGGCAGTCCCCATACAGAGTCCCGCTTACACTAACTGATTCCACTTGTTATCGTACGGATTATTGGGCTTCAATGGAAACGTTACGTTGAATCTGATATCATTCAACTTAGTAGTACCAAAGCTTACTTCCCACTTCGTTAATGTACTTGCAGCTCCTCCGAGTCTTTACCTCAGTTCAAACATCCAAAGGCCCATCACTCCCTTTTCTCCGTTCTTATGCAATTACACCTTCATTTGGACTAAGTACACTTCGAATTTCAAGTAAAGGTCGCTCCCTACCTATCGGCTATGGTGCAACCCAGTATTCAGCATCTACATGAGCCACAACCCGAACCCACGATCCAGCCTTTCATCGCCCGGGTAAGGGAACTGAAGGCAGCTTTGCTGAAGCCTGCCTCCCCGAACACTACTCATATGTAATGCGCAGTCCACATCTCTAGCTGAAACCAATCACAGTCACTTGTTCATAGACAAGGTTCCTTTTCACGCCTCATGAATCCTGGTACACTACAGTCGCATCCTGCAGGTACAATCTCTTTACAAGATTCGTCGACTGATTTGACTGGAAGCCGACGCTATCGAAGCGTGCAAGATCTGGATAGTATCATACGCACAGTACAATGTCCGCCGCCCCAACGGCGTTGACGTTGTTGGTGGAGACGGCAGGGTATCTACGACTCCACGAGATGAACCATCCACATGCAGGACAGTTGGACCCCAGTTTTGGACCAGATAAGCCAGTAGGATACAAGACCGAAGTGGGTTTTACAGCCAACAACAGCCCGGGGAAGGAAATCTTGGCTTTGGCCCCAAGCCTCCACCTCCAGATCTCTCTGGCGGGTCCGTTGAATGGTTGTTGTTGTTGTTGTTGACGTTGATGTTACTTTCCACCGCGCCATCGAGGTTCTTCATGATACGTAGTGTCAGTGTGGCCATATCGCACAGACAAAGGGAATAAGCGAGGACCCGCGGACCATCATAGTTGTCTCAAAATCATCAATATATACATAGTACAGTATCTTGACTTGAGAAACTCGACAGTTGTGGACCCATGTTCGTTGAGGCGAGGTTGCCAGGAAACCGGCAAACAGAAGAACCTCAAGACCTGAAGGTGACAGACGCGAAGAATCAACAGCTTGGAGCGAGCTTCCTCTACGGCATGAAAAAAATAATAAAAAGATAATAATTTAAAACCAAACAAGTTTTGAAAACAAAAGTTAACAAAAAAAACCACTTCGCCATTGTAACTTCTCACATATCGCCCAGATCCAGCCGGAAAGGATGCCACAATCGAGACGCGGAAAGATCGCAACCGCATCTTGTGATCCCGCAAGGTCGAGAATACATGAGATGGCCAGATGGCCAGCTCATTCGACGCCTGTCTGTCTATCTATCTATCTATCTGTCTGTGTTGCAGGATGGGATCATGTTCGTCCGCTCTCTGCCTTCTCATATATCCTGTCTGCCTATGACAACTGCAACGAGTCGGTGGATGAGATGAGTCAGACTAGGCAGTTGGAAAGACTGAAGCATTCATTCCTCCGTCACCGCACTAATAGCCTCCAGAATTCACTTACATTCAAATATCATATTCTTTCTCCTTCCATGTTCTGTAGACGACTGAACCGCAATGATCTGGCCATCTTCCATCTCATGACTACAAAGAAAACAAGCGCCTCGAGGGTGTTCGTTGGCACTGCCATGGCCTGTTGATCTTCTCTTCAAACGAGTGCAGTTTATCAGATCTCATCCGATGCCACGTACGTACCAGCAATCCCAATCTGCTACGCTACCTAAACACACCATCTACATCCAGCCTCACCGTTGTTTTTCCTACCAAAGCTGGCATAACACAGCTTGTCTTACTCTTCATCTTCATCAGACAAAAGACTCGGAACCCCTTCGTCAACTGATGCTACTGTTTAGCTTCAAGAGCGGTCACGGCCTCAACCTCGGGGGCCTTTTTGCGATACCTACATGTTGCATCACAAGAAATCAGGGCAGCAGAATTGCCGTGTACCGCAGCAGTTCGAAGTCCCATTTGCGAAACCCCTCTTTTGTGTGCTGAGGCTGAATGTGGTTTAGCGGGGGAACCTGGCGATGTTCAGGGATTAAACAAGGGCCGGGCCCCTTTGTTGAACCATCAATCTTTATCGATAAGATCTCCCCACCCTTTTGGTGGATCGCGGCCCGCAGAATCAGGCTGCCTTGGTGACGGGATGAGGTTGTGCTCGCCCCTCGATTTTGTTGGGTGGATACCTACCTGCATGACCTAGCCATAGCCATAAAGGTTGCCATCTGTCATTGCCAGTCGGCAAGATGGCTTCATGAATTGAGATGAAAACAAACCAAGGGATATTGGGAGGGAGCTGAGCCGGCTGGGGCCAGTCCAAGCGATAGGAAACATGTTTTAATCATTGTTGGATTCCGACTCGGATCAAACACCGGCGAGACAGGCTTGCAGGGCGCCATTCCCATTGTAAAATCGAGGGGGAGGGCGGGGGCCAAAGATGACGAAATGTGCCCACGACTGGCTGCCAGGGACGCGCTGTTCCTACAGGAACCCATGCAGATTGCAACATTGGTGAATCCCATCAACTCAAGAGGGGAGAAAAAGAGGTAAAGAGGGCAAAATGGTGAGATTGCAAGACAAGAAGGGCATGTCGGGCTTTTGAAACTTATTCTACGTAGCCCAGCAAGATTAGGATCTGGATTTAACAGAGCAAGCCGGCAGGTAGCCGTATTCAGCGCAGCCAACCCCCCCAAGCCCCCAGTCCAAAACACGAGCATATTGCTGAAGTTGGCGTTTCTCTGTTTGATGGTTGTTTGGGCGCCTAAACGGGTTACCATGGTCGCCTACCCTCAATCATGCTGGCCGAAACATGTCCTTTTAGCGTTCAAGAACCCCGTCTCGGGGCGCCTTTTGGGACTCTCGGGGCTTCAGGTGCCTATCTGGGGCTCGTGGGGATGGAATGGCGGAGAAAGCATGTTCGCCATCCCAAAACACGGGACGAAGAAGAGGCGATCAACGTGACGTTATCCTGCCTTTTCAGATAGGGAACTTTTTAGTCTGAATAAAGAGACGAGTGACGCAAATTCCTGCGGGCTGTGTGCTGGGGAACCTTCCTTCGATCTGCTTGGTTCCTCCTGCAATATAAGACGATGTGGATATCCCGCCAACCAGCGCACCCTTACCAAGCAATCTTCCAATACTACCAGCCTTGACCGACCAGCAGATTTACCTTGCCCCGCTGTTTACGGGGCGTTGTTGGTTTTCTTTTTCTTCACCTACTTATTTCATTTTCAAGTGAACACACGAGTCTCGCTCAATCCTGCACTTTCTCTCAAACTTCTACATCCTCATCTTCACCCATCTGTGCCTCATTCAAGCATACCTAGATCGATCATTCGTAAGTCGCGACTCCCACCTTTACTTCTATCGCATCATCGTCACGAGCACAAGTCAAGGGCTATTGTTCAAATCAGTCGCGAAGACCTGACCTCACCTCGTGACTTCATGTCGCGGCCACGGCTGCCTCAGCAGGAACCGCGCTTCATTCAAATGAAGTCGTGCGGCAGCTGCGCTCGAGGCAGCAGAAGCCTTGACCGCGGAGTGCATCTCATTGGCGCCCTCCTGCTGGTCACAAGCATTCAGCATGATTATGACGTCTAACTAAACTCGCAGACTTTCAGACCAATCTTGATACTATATCACCTCGGCAAAAATGGCTAAACTCTTCGTTGGGTGTGTATTCCATGCGCCGCGTCTTCATGGCACATCTTTCACGTGCCTATCACAGCTAACAATTCGCAGAGGACTTTCGTGGAACACGGACGATAACATGCTCCGTGCCAAGTTCGAGGAGTTCGGTGTTGTTGAGGAAGCCGTAAGTTCTATCACCACGTCCAGACTACAAGACCTGCTTGCCGACTTCGGCATGCAAGTCAGCCCTTGCCAGTGACACCATAAGTAAGAATAGCCCAGTGCTAATCTGCCCTTTCGCTCTATTCAGGTTGTCGTGAAGGACCGTGACACCGGTCGCAGCCGTGGCTTCGGCTTCGTCCGCTACGGCAACGATGCTGATGCCGAGAACGCCATTGCCAACATGGACGGTCAGGAGTAAGTTCCCCGATTTGGAAGATCAACATTGAGCGGACGCTGACACTCCAAACTAGATTTGACGGTCGCAGAGTTCGTGTTGACAAGGCCTCTGACCGTGCCGCCGGCGGCGGTGGCGGCGGCTTCCGTCAGGGTGGCGGCGGTGGCGGCTATGGTGGTCGCGGCGGCTACCAGGGCGGCGGTGGCTACCAGGGCGGTGGTGGCTACCAAGGCGGCGGCGGCTACCAGGGCGGCGGCTACCAGGGCGGCGGCGGTGGTTACGGCGGCCAGCAGTACGGCGGCCAGGGCGGCTACCAGCAGTCCTCCTACGGTCAGCGTAGCTACGGCCAGAACCCCCAGCAGGGCTACAACGGTGGCCAGCAGCAGGGTAAGCAAGACACCTCGATCTCTAAGAAACCCAAACGGGAATTTGATACTGATGAGGTAAAGGATACGCAGCTCCCTATGGCGGCTACCCTGCCGACCCCTCCCAGCAGGGCCAGCAGTACCCTCCCCAGGGTCAGTACTAAGCGGCGATTCGCGCCAAACCTCGTGCTAGCTTGATGGGAGAGTGCGGCGACCTGAATCAACAGGCGGCACATGACGCAACGTTGCGGATACTTGACTAAAGGTCAGCGATCAGAGCTTGTGTTACATGGAAGAACACCTCGTGCGTCACTCCCGACGAACAGAAACCGATACCCTACAGCATGTCTTTTTCCAGGATCAGAGAGCTGCTGAGCGACTTTTCGAACCGCCGATACCGTCCGATTTTACTTTCCTTTGGCATTGATTAATACCCCTTCTTCGTTCCCGACAAACGTGGGAGCTTGTAATCCTGATTCCCATAGACGGCGAGGACGAAGCGCAAGAGCAAGTGGATGAGATGGGGATGGAGGCTGAATCACCGGGTGGATAGGAAATTGTGTGTGGCTGGTAACGACGATATGATTGAATGATCTCGTAAGGCATGGGCATGAGCGAGGTATCGAAAGACAGCAATTTGCGGGCTAATAGAGCCAAACTTGCCAACGGGGATATGCGCTGGGGAAAAAGCTAGAGTGGTTGGTGGAGGAGAAAGCATCTTCCTATGTTGTCCTTTGAAAATGAGAGGTTTGCGGACTTCCCTATGGGGTCGTCATCGGACTTCTTTCCGTCTATGATGTTTTCTCGGTTTCCTCCTGCTCATCTACGCTGCCAGCTCTTCTGAACTGGTGGTGGTGCTTGTCGTGTGTCCCTTCTGTTGTTCCGTTTACCTCGATCACGTCGGTCGCGGCATCAGTCTCGTCGGTCGGGTCGGCCTTTCCTTCACTCTTATACCGCGCGGCCACCGCCCTCACCCGGTTTGACAGGTCCTTTACATGCTCATCGCTGCTCTCAGGACTTAGCTCATCTAAGGCCTTCTCTAACCCCCACAGATAATCGCGGTTCAGACCGCTCGGCCCTTTGCTCCGATAGATGTGTTCGGAAAGCTCCTGCGGGTCCTGCGGTCCCGTAAACTGGGCGTTGTCGGGTGTACCGATATAAACCAGGGTCTGGATGGGACCCTTTTGCGCTGGAGGGAGCAAGGCAGGGTCTACGTCGGAGGCTGGATGGAACGGGGTCCAGTGAATCGTGTACCCGTTAATCTCCCGGATGTCGAGGTACTCCTTGACTTCGGCGACGCGGTCGGCCTTGATTCGGTAGGCCACGCCCCAGACCTTGGCGGGCGCCGAGTCGTGGCGATCGGCGAGCGAGGCCCAGTAGGAGCGCTCGATCAGGGTGACGACGCGGCCGGGTGCGGAGGGCGTGCCACGGTGGTCTTCACTACTCGGGGGGAACAGAGAGAGGAAGGGTTAGCGGTCAGATGGAAAGGTTTTGGAAGATCAAAAACGGGCTTGTGACGAGATGGAGATCAAAGGGTTGAAGGCGAGGTTTGTGTAGGGTAAGTGCTCCGGGATGTCTTATCACTTGAGTGGGAAGAGGGGGGAGAATTGCACTTTCAAGAACACAATTAGAGATTCTAGTTGTCCGAGTATTAATGAGAATATTTACCTCGCCTACAGACGGGCAGTTAGCATTCGAAGCACGTGTGAACACACAACCGAAAGTTACTCCTATGCACCGAGAGAAACCATGAAGTGGAAATACTCCAGCCGGGACATACCTGCCAGAACCGGCGTACGTAGCCTTCGACCCAGCCCGGGATTCTTCTATCTAGACAATGTTTGATACCTCGGTCAGTCTGTATCTAGACGCCAGCAGAACGCCAAGGTCGACGAATAAGAACTATGTGAGTTGGGGGTTTCGAGATGGCGTCCGGACATGTCGAACAGAATAGCGCCTCCGTCTTGTGAAACGACAAGGGGGAAGGTGTAGAGGTATGTACCAAAATGCGGCGGCGGCTTCCAGATCAAACTTCTATAAGAATCGGTTAGTTGCCGTGACTAAAATGAGACTTCCGGAGTGTAAAGGCGGCATGGTAAATGAGGCGGTTTACCCGTAGCCAAATATCCAGAACTCATCTTGCTTGCTTGGAGGTTCTTGGGCCGACATTTCTCTGCTCTCCGCTTTGAAGCAAGTTGTAAGGTAGGTAAGCAAAATTTACAAAAGGGTTAACGAGACGGACAGTCTATACCCAGCCCTCAGAAGTTCTGTTATTAAACTCTTTGGTGTTAACATATGGTTAGGTATTTGTAGGAGAGCCAGTCCACAAGTGAAGGGAACCTTCGGAGTTGTGTGTTTCGCAAACCAGACAAAACGAATTCCGAGGGTTAGGGGAATAGCAGTGTTTCAGGACATTCTAGACAGATAGCCCACAGAGTGTGTTAGCGAGATGAAAGCCGCTACAGTGTTCCGCGCCCAAATGCATGCATTTGAAGCTCCGTCACTAACAATTCTATGCACTTTCCAATGTCGCATCTTCAGATCTCATCCGTGATCCAGCGATAAAATTAGGCTGGTTACTGTAGTGTTTGAAGGATACTGTCCATATCTACGCAAACAACACCGGCTCGCGCGGCATCCATTGATATCATTCCCACCGCCAGCACTTCAGTGAGGTATTTCTGTGTCGTGATGGGCAGGCACCCGCTTCAAGAAACGTAGAGTTCGGAAGTTGCACGGCTCCGAACACCTCGACGCCTGTAAACAACAATCTCCCGGCCAAAACTCGCGGTTCCGGCGTAGCACCGCCCTGCTGGGCTGGTGGTAAAAAGAGCGTTTGGACTACAATGCGTGAACAACCACAATAGAGTTTATGTCCTTGAAATGTCATGGCTTCATGCCCGATGGCAAATCCAGCTCCGATACGATTCTCATGGCCAACCGAGAGTAACATTTCACCGCATCATGCCTATAGGAACATCTGGCCACCATACAGACAGACGAGACTGCTACCGACACCCAAGACAAGACGCTCCAAGCAACGCCCAGTCGTCTTGGCCTCCTCGATGTTACGAATTCTAGTGCGGATCACACACAATACGGACGGAATACACCGCACAACGAGCAAACTCCACAGAGGACCCTCAATTAGCCCGATGAGGCACGATAGCGTTGGACCACGTTGAACGGGTCAACGGACCCATGTGGAATTGTGGAATGGAACTAAATTGGAGGATTGGAGAAGGGGAAAGTTGAGCTCTCAGAAGCTCGTGCCTTTTCCCGACCGACAGACTCGGATCCTCCAGAACGAATCCGAGATCCTTCCGCTCTTCCTTCCCTCTCGGATTCTGATACTTTGTACCCTGAACCGTGAAGCACTCTAGTCTCTGAACCAACATTGCGGTTGCGGTCTGGCGTTGCGGCTGAGGCAATTGGGCACGTAACTACCTAAATTACGGATTGCCCAGTACATCCCCATACCTCACACGTGGATAAGGTAGGTAGGTGTCTAGGAAAATAAGTTAATCTCACTGCTTTTCTGTAACCTAGAAACGGGGTCTGATCCAGCGACCTACTCTACCCATCACCGACTCCTTTACTCCTTTCCAGCTTTTTTCCCTACTACCAACCTACATTACAATAGATACCCTCACCGGCTGGTGTCTCTCTCCTCGACGCTCTCCTTTGCTGTCCCGTCAATCCTCCCTTCACCATCTCCGCATCCCGACTCCCCCGCCTTGGCCCGACAACTCATCCTGACCTTGTTTGCGACGGCGACCGGCGATATTGAAGGCAACAACTTGCAAGCTCTTAATTGACATAGCCATGGCCTACAACAGATCCTACAACCCGGACGAGCTCCCCAGGTGTGTATGCCCTTTTTCCTGCGACCTGTCCCGCGTATACCTCCCCCTACACTGCATATCCCCTGGAGAAGCCCGGAGAGCCCCGCACCCGTCGCCAAATCATACAGCTCCTTCTTAGCCCGTAAACGTGTAAACTGATCGCCTGCTGACATTCTGCTCCCAAGATTCGCCGAGCCGGAACCAAGAGTGAGCAACCTAATTCTCTCCAGCTTCAACGCGACGAGATAACGTCTAGCCGGGTCGCATGCTAATATCCCATCTCCGTTTCATAGCAAGGCACTTCACCGGCTCCGCCTCAGCAGGCTCCTACCACAGCGCGCTACGAAACGAAACCACCACCTCCCCGCCCCGTCGAACATCGCAACACCGGCTTCGAACAGCGTCAGAACTCGTACGATCCCCAGCGTCAAAACACATACAATCAAAACGCATATCATCAAAACGCATACACTCAGAACCACTACGCTTCCGGCTCAGCAGACCCGCACCGACTATCACCGAGAATGCAGCAAGGACCACCACCAGACCGCTACGGCATGAGCCCGCCTCCCTCGGCGACCGGCAGTCGGCCCGCTCATCATAACCTCCCCCCGGTCTCTTCGCGACCGCCCCCGAGCCCGACGACCCGCGATGGCGCCGACCCGACTCTTCTTCCCCTATTCAGGGCCGTCGATAAGGATGGTGAGTGCTTCGCTGGCATACCCACCCCCCTCTCATACAACCGCATTCTAACCGCCCCGCGTGCCTTTTCTCCAGGTACCGGCCAGCTCTCCGAACGAGAACTCTCCGCGGCGCTCGTCAACGGGGACTGGACTGCCTTTGACCCGCACACCGTCCGCATGATGATCCGCATGTTCGACAGCGACCGCAGCGGTACCATCGGGTTTGAGGAGTTTTGCGGGCTCTGGTCCTTCTTGGCCTCGTGGCGGACGCTGTTCGATCGCTTCGACATGGACAAGTCTGGCAACATCAGCTTGGATGAGTTCAACAACGCACTGGTGGCGTTTCGCTACCGGCTCAGCCCGCGCTTTGTCGAGCTTCTCTTTCGCACGTACGACAAGCGCGGCGAAGGCGTCATGAGCTTCGATCTCTTTGTGCAGGCTTGCATCAGCCTGAAGCGCATGACGGATGTGTTCAAGAAGTACGATGATGATCGCGATGGGTACATCACGCTGAGCTTTGAGGACTTCTTGACGGAAATTCTACGCCAGTTGAAGTGAACGGGCGATCTGGTCGATTGGTTGGATTACTCTAATGCACTTGGTAAAGCCATCTTGTATAATGATTCCCCTCTGCGTTACGATTGTTGTCTCCGGCGCCTTATCAGCCCCGTTGTTGATGAATTCGAGATGTCCACCGCTTTGCGTCATTGTTGCGCCGCTTTATTGACCTCTGTTCAGGAATTACTTGGCATAGCAGGAGAGGACGTGATCACAGCCTAATGTTGCGCAGCCAAGTCTGTGGATTTCGATACCCTACAATTTAGCTTTCCCTACACAAGGCGCTCAACATGTTCATAGCTGACATGAAGATCGCATTATCCCATGGTTCATGCCAGTGGAATTATCATGGCTTATTTCACAGGATTTCCATCATCGAACTTCCTTCCAAGTCTATGCAGTAAGCGACCTTCCACAGTATGCTGTCCACGACATTTTAGACAGTGATACGAGGAATCGATTTCAGCCCGCGAGTACGTATATTACGACAATAAAGCTAGAACACCTAACATGAGTTCAGAGTAACACCAAGCCGGAAATGTACAAAACCGTACCGGGTAAGTTACCCGTGTAATGAACCTGACCGTCAACTACACTAGCTAGCTACATACATGGGATGGCCCCGAGACCGATCCGAGCCCGATCCGAGAATGGACAGTAAAGGGTACAAGGGTAGTAGCTCTCATCACCTTTTCGTTATCGTTGCGGCATGGACAGAGGTCTAACAAAAACACAGGGGTTTATCTTTTTTGGCCGTGTATTTTATTTTGGCAGTGAGCGAGAACTTTTTCTGTGAAAATTGAATAAACGAGATGTGATGAAAGTAGACAAGGCGACAAGCAAACGGGCAGATGGAAGCTACCTAATAGCGCACTTCTTTAGCCTTGAACACGACTGAAGGACCGGACGTGAAGGTCGGCTGAGCTTATTGAGGTAAGATAGCCGCCACAGAGGGACAACAAATGCACACAGGTAGAAGGCTTTGAGAGGGTAATTCTGTCAAGTTCTGGGGTACGCTGGGGCATATCCTTCATAACGTATAGCTGAGATATATACTGATACATTAAACCCGTACGCTGCCCGGTGCCAAACCTCTTGATGACAGGACTAAGACCATCAAGAGCGATTTGAAGCGATAGAAACTTTATCGAAGATGCTTCCATGCATTGCTACTCTGCTTGCTGTAATGCGTCATCCGACCAAGCGGGGCTGCGCGAAGCACGATGGAATGCAACGGCAAGTTATATGGGGCCGCCGGGCAGGCAAGATTGACAAACCGCAGCCCAAGGTAAGGTACCTACACCTTACTAAGTACACTACCATATGCACATGCTGTGGTGGGTTGATAGCGGGTTTTGACGCGGAAATCTGGACAGCTGGCAATGGATGCTACTGTGCTACCGCTAAAAAGCTGCGCAGTCCGGGTGCTTGGAGGATTGTAGACGTCAAGCATTTTTTGCCCCCAACACATTTCATTTTGCTAGGAGGTACTTATGTTAAGTTTCTTGAAATAATTTTCTTGGTGTTCAAATTCCACATTCAAATTTTACCAGAAGTTTGAAAGGTACTGTATAGTAATCTTGCGTTCTACTATCTTGCCTACTGGTAATTTACTATAGTTTATGATAGGATTTCTGATGTGCCCTAGAAAAAAAAAAAAACATTCCCAGATGTTCATCACCCACTACATTATCAGAATGTCTGGGGGAAAGAAAGCTTGGCGCGCAGAAGCCCCCAGGTATTCGATCGAGACTGGAGGTTGTCGATATCCAAGATCCAAGGGAAGTGTTCGACGACAGATACTATGTACACGTGTAGGCAGATAATGTACAGTAACTGACCTTAGCTTTTGAAGCTCGAGTTTCGTGTCATTTTGTAAAATTGTTTCGGAAGTCCCGCCGCGTATATGTATCATCCCTTCAAACGATACGCGAACAGACACATTTGTAAGGTACATGTCCTTTCGTTGTCGAGAAGCAGGATTGCCTAGGTACCTGGCGAACCCGCGCGCCTTTTGTTATACTCGAGTCAGGTTGTGACAGGTTGTAACAGCCGGGATATATGTTCCTGTACTCGTCATGCGAGAGGTATGCTGGAGCGGGGTGTGTCATAGATCTCAAGTCATGTGCCTAGAACTGGCTTGTCATAAGCCTTCCGTGATCAGGTTGTGTCTCTGACACATACAGTACGAAACTGTATAAATTAGGTACCCACTGTAGATAGGCAAATAAGAGGGTACAACGACACACGCGAAGTTGGCTCTCTTGAAGCTTGACATTGTACGTTGAGCCCTTTAGGCCTAGATTTTGTCGAAATGTAGATGGGAGTACCACACCTCATGCAGACTGAGAGAGGAACTATCGGTGGTCGTCACAGAACTTTTCACTGCCTTCGTTAGGGATGCCTACTTGTCTGGAAAACGAGGTTGTCTGGAAATGAAGAAAAGCCTGGGCCAGCTGGTGCCGTGGAAGGTCTCATCTGAGAGACGCAACTTTTCCTGGTTCTGGTGATGTGCTTCCAAACCTCTCTCTGGCAGCTGCCCATGTCCTAGGTTTCCATCACGGTACTCCACCTCGGCGGCAGAACGAAACATTCTAGAATCGGATGTCGAAATGGAGGACGAGCGAGCGGATCGTGGCAAACCGAAGGAGGAGAAAGCTGGACTCAAACCCAGAAAGACAAAGAAAAACGTACCTAGTTTTGGTTCTATCATTTTTGTCAACTTCGGAAGAGCAACTGTTTCCCAACCTGAAGCGAAAACTGAGCTGCATATCGCAAAAACGGCTCGCTGATAGCTTCCTGTCGGTTCGGGAGCGGGACGCTAGGTGGTAATCTCTGTGTTTGCAAGGGACGAGGATCGCTGAGTGGACGACGGAGGAGAAAGTGGACTCGCCTGGATTGGGACTGCCGCTTTTGCCATGACATCGTTCGCGGGAACCCTTGACCCCACAAACCCACTGTCGAGGAAGGATCCACCCCTCAATTGCTCCAGCTTAAGGTAAGAGCCGTGTAAGGTGCCAAAGTGCGTGCAGCTTCTCAGATCTCGCTGCTTGGCTCGCCGATGACAGAAAAGCTGGCACCTTTAACAGGAGTAGTTGCGCTGATCGTCCATGTAGATAGTACCCGAAAAGGTGTTTTTTTTTTCTGTCAGGGGGACGAGCTTGGATCATGGTGTGTCAAATCTGTCGACCTTGCACCTGCTCCGAGTGTAAGTAGTACATACATCCGATTGTTCCATCGAACTCAAATCAGCCAAGTTCCAATACATCAATCGAGAGGTAATTTATTAGTATGGGCCCTGACGATACTTGAGGTCTTCATACTTCACTGAGTCTTCCCAAAGCTCTGAGGAGTGTTGCTTGATCTCACCCCCGGGTCAATAATGCATTTGTTCAGGTTGTCGACATGGAAGGAATGGGATAGCATTGACGAGCAAGGGAAGCTCGAGTTTCCAGCTACCCCCAGAGCTCTGGCTCCATCAGCTCCAACTAGGTACTCTCCAGAACCCGGCACCCAATCATCGTCAACTGTCCCTCCCGATTGACCGATTCCCCTTCTGGCAATGCTTCTGACAGACACCCCCAGATACCATCTGACCCCCCTCCCTCGACCGGGACTTTGCCCATCCGACGCTCAGTCGAGTCAAGCAACTCGGGACATGCCCCAGCTATCGTCTGGCAGGCCATTCCTCACTCAGTTCCAGCGACATCACTGCATCACCTTTTCAGCGCATATCCGCGCTATACGTAGCCACCGCTGGGGCCATCTGTTTTCATGGCGGCCAAGGCACTTCGCGACATCCGGTCGGCCAGGTGCTATCAGCCACTACTTCGATAGCTCTGTGTGGGTGGGAAACAGCTACAGTCACTGACTCAGCGCAGGCCCCTTGAAGGCAGCTCAAGGTACGGTAGCATCGTTTCCTGCAACGAGCTCACGCTTAATCGGCTCATGGTTGAAGTTGGGATGCTTGGATCTACCTGCCATGTACTGTCTCGCGAGCCTTTGGCACATTCTGGCCGCTGGGAAATCAAGGACTGTCGAACCAGTCCTGACACAGCATTCGGGCGCTCAGCCAGGCACCCGTGGCACCTAGGCAGCTTACAAGTCGCTAGGAAACGCCGGATGCCCATCCTACCTTGCCAACGTGGGTTGGAAGTCACAAACAGGAGGGTTCGCCATGATCGTTCAAGTCCCCCAACTGGTCGAGGCAACACCCTTGAAAGCCCCACTCCAGCTCGAGGTCTGGCCTAAGTCATTGGTCCCCTTTGTCCCTCGTCCAGTCGAGCAAGTGCCCACTGACGCTTTCTTCTGTTTCCCCCTCCCCCCCTGGCCCCTGTTGTCCCTGACGACATGCCAAAGCTGACACCCCATGTCCCTTTTCCCTTCGACTCTGGCGCTATCCCGGCCCTCTCCCACTTATCGTTACAGCATTCTGAGCATTACAATACATCAGGACTCTTCCACTTGGAACTTGATGGACTCGATGGGGTGCTGTCGGTAGCAAGGCGAACCATCGGGGGCGATCCCGCTCCGGCACACTTTGGCAGTAGGACAATGACAACGGAGCGAGACGCCCTCTGGCTGCCCCGTCTTTCTCAGTTGCCAGCTGGGCATCGCATTCGGGGTATCGGTGAGGTCGGTAGCTGGCGGTATAGCGTTTGGTGAGAACGGGGCCAAGTACCGCAACTACAGTACATACAGCACCGTTTCCTGATAGGAAAGCGCCCAGGTGCTCCATTGTTCTCTCGTTGCCCCGTCTCCCCGTTTCCTCCGTCTGAGACCCCATCTCGATCAGTTAAGATACTTGCCGTCGACAGCTTTGCGGTAGCGACAAGCCAAAGTATCCCCAAGATAGGTAGATGCGAATGGGGTGTAGGCTGCTTCCGGTCAACCCTAACAAGTAAGGTACCCTTCAGTGCTGCTTCCTTGTTGCCCCCGTTGGCCTCTCAAGCCTCTTTCCCTCCCATATCAGACTCGTCCACCTCTCTCTCATACACGCATACCCTTACCGGATCAAACCTGGAGCTCCAAATACCTACCTCCTGATCCTTTTCGCACACCCCCCCATCCCTTCAATCCACGCTGCCTGTCAGGATTGAGTCGTTTCCATACCTTTTCCATACTGGACCTGGGTTTCTGTTCTCGTTATATGGACGGCGGTTGCTGCTAGACCCCATCCCGTGCCCATCCATTCAAGTCGATCCCGCTTGCCCTGCTTTGGTTTCATTCCTTCATTGTTAAAGGCCCTTTACTACCACCGCCACCACCACACCTCACCGTCTCCCACCTTTCCTCGAACATCTTCTTGTTACACACCTGCAACGACTGATAGCTTGAATCCTTTTGCTGCCGTAAACAGTACTTGAGAGGAATCCATCCAAGAACACCGTCGATTTCGTGGGCGACAGTTGCAAAAGAGAGTCACATCATAGACTTCGAATTCAAAACACCGATTGAGTAGCATTACTACGATACGATACAATACGCCGCGATACATACGTATAAGCCTTATCAGCAGCTATCGCTCATCTCTCCGACCTTCACAACACATTCGACGACATTGTATGGTGGGGTACCACGGTATTCAATATGCCGCCTAGGACATCCCTCACTTCCTCGTTCTCGATCACCGACGCCAATAATGAGGTTGTCTGTCCGTTGCGCAACCAAGATGGCTCAAGTTGTCGCAAGCGCTGCATAGGTGTAAGTTGCTCACTTTCAGCATATCCTAGCTTACACCGCCTACACCATTGTCAATCAAAACATCAGCCGTCACTTACAGCCCTTTCGGTCATTATCGTTGCACCTGACATGTCATGGATAGGATCAGCTGATGGTAATCCTCACATCTAGGAGAAGAGATATCGCTCCATGCAGGAGCACATCCGTCGAGCGCACCCAGAGCACTATATTTCCAAGCTCCCTGCCACCGAGGAGAGCTTCTTGCTCATGATCAAGACGCAGCCAAACGAACGACCTCAAAACCAGTCAACTCCAGGGCCTTCTGCACATGCAGGTCAGGCTAAGGGGCTTTCGCATGCTTATCATAGAGACGGCTCGAGTGCTCCAGGGACACCTCGAAATGGCGAGGAGCAGTATACAGGAGCTGCACTGCTCCCTGCCGCAACCGCCCTTGCGCAGCTACACAATCACAAACTGGAGCAAGGCTGGGAATCCGATAATGTAAGTTGGATAATCTGGGTTTGTCCTTTGTATTAGGGACTTCTTCCACGTCCTTTTCGCTCTGCTAAGCGATGTTTTTTTTGTTTTACCACAGGACTGGCATTCAGATCACGAAGGGAAGAGAAGGCCGAGGTCATCGATTGAGTTGCCCCCAATACACCTCACAAACGCCGACGTGACGAGTGCACCCTACTCCGGTTATGACTCGGGAAGACCAAGAGAAATTTTACCTTCAATCTTATCAAACTCGCCCCCTGGCCGATCATCAACTCTTCCGCCACTGCATCGGACATTAGGCCCCACTCGCACTCGAAGGCAGTCGATATCCAAACGAGGCCACCAAGGCAAGAGATCCAAAGGTGCTACATCTGAATGGCTTCGTCGGTTACAAAATGATAGCCAGCATGAGCTTCTGCGGCCCGGAGGCAGCGACAGGAAAGCCTCATCCGCCGAGCCTTCGGCTGATTTTGGAAAGCGCTGGGAGGATCTTATCGATGCAGCCACTTCAGCAACGGAAGACATAGACGAGGATAGGACGCCAGTGAGTTCGCAAGGCCCTGCAAAATTCAATCCACGTCTGACCAGTCAGATTCCCCGTTCACCTGTATCGATTCATCGATCATCTTTGCCCCCTCTCCAGCAGCACTACAACTATACGAGTTATCAAGCATCGCCGCTGCAGCAGGCGCTCACTCCGCCATCGTACAATCCTGAGGCTACGGATGCCTTCCCATCGGTCGAGAGTGGAGAAAGCGGAGAGAACTTTCATATCGGATCCCGGGGACTGTCGGATTCATCTCCGAGCTACTCTTCGCAGAACACGCAAATTTACTGCGCTGCGTGCCGGGAAGTTTCTTTGCTTCGGGAATCTTATGCGTGCACCGAATGCATATGCGGCTTGTGCCGGGCATGTGTCGATGTTCTGATGCTTGAGCAAGGAGCCCGTCGGAAGTGTCCGAACTGCGCTACGATAGGGGGGCGTTTCAAACCGTTCCAACTTGATATCAGGTGAATACATCCAGACGCTCAGTCGGCGACCAGGCCCGATAGCCGCCTTTCCATTCCAAATCCTTTCCAGGATTGTACAAACTCGGCGTCATGTGGGGAAGCTTATTTCAAGTTTGACGCCAACGCCTAATTGGATCGAAAACACTCGGAAATTTTCTAAACGGTAAGAGTTTTGATTTAGCATCCATCCTTCGAGAAGAAGTAATCATCGACCTCTTAGCGCAACATATAATGGCCGCGTCGCCAGACGCTCCCCAGACTTCACTTCTATACTTTCTCTCAGGATACCCATCGGACGTTCTGTTCCGCACAGCCTTGCATATGGATCACCACGAGGCTTCTCACACACGCATTCACCACATGGAGTAAAAGGGGGACACTTTCTAGGAGTTCCTGGGGGTGGTTATAAGGCGCGTCTTTGTCATGCTTTTGTTTTCATTCGTGCTTTTAATAGTGGGATTTCATTGCACTCGGTCGCTTTGGGGGTTGCTTTTTTACGGTAGCACAGGACAAGTTTGAACGCTATTTTGGCATGAATACTGATGTTGGTCTAAATGCGGTATATCAGGGCTTCTGTGTCCCTAAGATCAAGGAGACGATTGGCAGTGGTTCATTCGGGGTTCTGGCCAAATGTATTTGCTGCTTCATGCTGTTGATGACCTCTTTGTTTCCTTGTAGGTTACTGAAACAATATCAGTTAGCTTGGTTTAGTTTGGGTATTGCTCTCCACCTTCGTTCTGATGCCACATGTGTGGTACATGATACTATTTTCACTTTTTATGTGTTCCTGGTAGCCCACCGCGATTCTTTCTATCCAAACAGCTTCCTGAGCTATATACATGAGAAATCAGGGCGTCTCAGCCACTTGATATGTAAACTACAGCCCTTTTATCGTCGAAAATACGAACCGTAACGTTCCTTTCTGACCCTTGGTCGGTCAGTTTCAAGAGTCGAGAAAGCTGCAATGCAATGAATATCCACTGCAATTGTCAACTCGTACATATTACACCTCCCACTCCTTCCTTCCAAAGAAATCATGGGCTCCCAAATAGGTTGCAGCTGTACGTAATGGTTCATACCGCTTGTAGTCCGGGAGCACATGGGTTCAATCCTCCCTTCAAGCGGGTAATTATCCTTTTCCCCTTCCCCTTCCCCTTGCCCATCCCTGGTTCGCCGAACCATTTTCTCCGCCTTTGTTTCTGCTCGACTCATGTGCCTGGTTGTGGAAAGGAAGGGCAGCACTGTTGTATGTTCTCTATCTTGAGCTGAAGGCTTCATCTTTGGTGTTCCCATTCCGTTGGTAATGGCCTCTTCCGTACGATATGTCTTTCCCTATCTCTATGATGCCCTACAAGCCAAGAGGAAGGGAAAAACAGCCTAGGAAAGGAGTGTAGTTGAGTCCTTGCGTTCCGCCGTGACTACCTCACTCGCCATGTTTCTACTCTTGAACTTTCCATTCGTACATTCGCGGCTTTTTCTTTCCCTATTAGTTCCATTCCAGGTCAAGAACTTAACACCACCAAAATCTCTGTCACCCACTATATTTCCGAAGACACAAGATACTGGCAGTGCCTGATCTTACTTATCTGAAATACCCAGTGTCGATACACCAGCACGCATAATGGAAACGACAGCAACATTTTCGAGTCGTCGTCCAAAATTGTGTTCGACCGTCTTCTCGTCGCAGACATCCTTAGCGCACCGTTGCACAAAGTATGTTCTATCTACCTAGCTGGATAGATACTACACGGGAATGGTGTGCTGTGACATTCATTCTCTGTTTCTTGGAGCAATTTGCCGGCTAGTACGACGCGAGGATCCGGGGCAGACAAGGTTACCCACAATATGGATGAATTCCAGGCAAAATACCACGCTGAAATCGGGTCAAGGTTCCGCCAGACAACCTCTACCACTTCAAGTAGCTTTGATGTCTTTGAATTAAACGCACAATGCTTCATGAGTATCATCATGTGTTCTGTTCGTCGTTTCTCTGGATAATTTCAAGCTTAGCTATCGGCTGTGCCGCGTTACCCACCCATTCATACCACCTTTTCACTACTGCATACAACCCAGTCTCGACACCACGGACTTGAAGATCCCTTTGTTCAAGTCCAAAGCTGCTGTATAAATTTTCTCTCCCGTCTTAATGGCTATTGCTCATCATGTGTTCTAGCCCAAAGACCTGTCGCCCCGGTTGCAGTGGTCCATCGACCTGCCTTTCGGTCGACCAGGGTCCGAAGATCACGTACATACTGCCCAGACCACTATACTCTTATTATTATTCTTCTCTTTTCAACCCTCTCAAACCACTCCGTGGCTGCGTCGTCAGCTCAGTCATTTAGTCTGGACAGTTTTTCACTATCGTCTGCAAGGCTCAGCGTGCCCTACGACGCTAAAATGTGAACAAAAACCCATTGCACAAGCTATGCCGGGGCCTATCATGGTTGAAGGAGATCAAGCTCTGCGGTTAGCGCTGGCTATCGTTTGCTCGCTATGTATGTCATGCTGTTCTTAGAAATTCCAACCCATGGACAATAACGATGATAATAGATAAAAAGCACTATTCAGCCTTATTTGCCCGCCTTCAATGTCGGTGGGGTCAACTCCTCGAGACCTGACGTATTATGCTGTTGTTATCCCTGGGTGTACGCTCGTACAAAAAGCCTCTGGGCCCGTCCCGAACGGAAACTGAATATGGTAAAATGTTGCTCATTCCATTTACTTTTTACTTCAGTCCACTTCTCACTTCATTGCCCACCACTTGTCAAAAGCCTCGATAAAGTTCGCTCCACATCACTCGCGGTTGCTGTAACGAGACTGCCCACACTTCTAGTGTACGACCCGGTAGATGTTTGGTCTTTGTGACCTACTGACACGCATCGACCACGTTAACGACAAGCCCTTGAAGCTTCATTAAGCCTGGATCCCGTTATACGCCATGCGTTGGTGATAACATCAGCCTCGCTAATGCAGGCACCCGACCCGAACAGGGGCTTTAGGAAAGTATGTTGGGACTGAAGCGCCGTCACCCGTTACACGCTCTTCGTATTTGCCCCGACTAGCTCTTCGAGAACCCTATTGCTGGGCTTCCATCCTGTGTATCCCGAGAGATCAAGTTCCTTTTCTTGACGGATTGGTTCTGAACTCTTGGAAAGGGAAAAGGAGTTGCCGATAGTTAAGGAATTCAGAAAGGATAACAAGGCATCTGTTCCCACCCTCCTACGGAAAGCGCTCCCTTCTTTTACAAGAGTCCTGGATTCCATCTCGGAAACTTCATTTTCATCAGTTGATTATCTCGAAGGCGCCAGAACAATTCAAGGTGCAGAGCCCTAAGACGATCTTTGGTCCCATCTACTATCCGCGCAGGGTGCGAACGAGGACGTGAATAACTCAACAGAATTCGACCACACTCTACGAGCCATATATTTTGGCCTTTTTGAAAGCCAATAACCGGGCCGGGTTTTTCATCTCTCTATTCAAATCATATTATCCATAGCGAATCCTTCCAGTCTTGCTTGGTCATTGGAGCGGCAACACTCGCCTGAGACTTCAAGACAACACTGCAAGCACCCGAAACCGAACAAAGTGCGGTCAAGTTCACTCCGGCAAAACGGCTGTTTTCCCTACCGAATTTTGTAATTCACCCAACTGACGTGGCAACGACCGTTTGCTCGTCTTTTGGTTGATCAAGAGGCTGGTATCAGCCTTCATCAGATCACAACTCTTTCTATCTCTAAATACTAAAGATAACACGGGCTCGAGTGAAGTTTTCAAACTTCATTGACGTCGCAGAAAGTTGGTCGAGACACTGAAATGGCCAAGGAAACTTTCTTCATGTCATGGGAGCTATGGCAGCAGATGACCTTTGTAAGTCACGACACCAATACTAAACCCTTCCTCTTTGCCCTGAATCCCTGTTTAGAAGATGCCAGTTCGCTGACACTTATCCCAAGGCGCTTGCCGTAGCGATAGTAGCCGTCTTCTGCGCCGGTTTGGTCAAGCTGTGGTGGACGAACCGCATCGTACGAAAACAGGAGATCTTGGACGAGGAAAAGAAGGCGCGGATCAATGACATGCGCAGCATGGGGCTCCGACCTACCTCTTCCAAGCGCGCAGCAGCCAGCACCATCCCTTTCGGGGTCCGGGCGATCCAGAGCGGCGTCCAAGTTGACGGCATTTGGATTTCGAGACCGGCGACTCCCACCGAAACAAAACCTACCTCGGCGGTGACGCTGGTGTATCTGGGCGCGGAGCAGCAGAGGAGGGAGAAGATAAAGGGGGCGGCAGGTGTCACGACAACAGCAAAAAGCCTTGTCACCCCCGACGGCTCACTCTTGCAAGGACTGACGGATTCCGAGTCGTTGGAGAGTGCCTCATCAGGGGCAATCCCCCCACCCATCCCACGAGACCAGAGGCATGATTACCCTCATCGCCACGGGTTGCGGGTTCCCCATGCTTTGAACGAAGATACCCTCCGAAGACTCGAAGGCCAAGACGGAGGAGCACAGTCGCCACAAAGACCAGCAGTCCATGACATCTATGTGCCGACCAGAAAGTCTCAACGACAACAAGAGGCCCGGGATGGGCAAATTGGTGGTCCTACCAGGGGAGACCAGCGAATCACTGATTCCAAATCAGGCGACTCCTACTCGGATTCCGTCCATCAACGGTTACCGAGAAGCGGCAGTGGAAGATCCTATAACTCATTTAGCGGTGGCGAAGGAGGGGAAAGACTGTATGAGCCAAGAGGAGCTGAAAGAAGAGATGTCGCCGTCGGTGATCGCTTCGGCACTCCCTCCTTGCAGGTGATATATTAGCAGCACAGCAGGAGGATACAAAGCCCATGATAATCACTGCCCCTGAGCCGACCTTCGGGCCTAGAAATTTGCATTTTACACCTGACAACAGATCTGCTGCTCGGAGAGTCAACGACGGGCTTTAAGGTCCGACCTGTGGGAAGGCTTGGAACACCGGGTATAGAGCCCAGGATAAACCATGACGCATCTTGACAGTCCGCAGGGAGGGGGGAAGGGAGGATGGTGAGGTAATTGGCCAGGGTAGTCGTGTGCCTGGGTATGGATGGAGGTAGTGAGTGAGGAGCACACATCGGCCTCTCCAAAAAGTTGCTTTGGTGGGCCATTCTTGCGGTTTTCTTTTGTGGGTGTACTCTTAGATTTGTTCAAATGGGACACAGGCGGCAGACGTCGTTGATGACTGAGATACTTGGTCCTGGAAACCGAGGTGGCAAAAACTCGGAAGAGGCGGCTGGGTCGAGAACCTAATGAGCAAGAGCGGTTGTTGTCTCCTCTTTGGATGGGGTGTTTTCGTTGGAAACGCGATGCGTCCAAAACGCCGTTTCGCGATTTCCGTATCCATTTGGCGGAGAGTTGCTGTATCGAGAGGCGAGGATGGAATGCTAATAGTTTGGCGAGTATGGAGGGTTTGAGTAATGGGTGTACACTCCTGCGTATCATGAAAAGGACCCTGGCCGCAAATGTTTTCCAAATACACTAGTTTCCGGGAGTGACGGACAGAGGGCAGTAGGTAGGAATAGGATAGCATGAAAACTGTATCTCTGTATCGGTGCAGGCCATAAATTCAAAGATGCCTGTCACAATTTTGACGGGGAGCAGTGTTTGTACACTAGTGTACGGAATTGGCATGAATTGACAAACCCCCAGGGGTGACCGCTCGGTTGTATGTAGCGGACCCCACAGGGGAACCATCCTGTCGCCTGTCATTCCCGTCTCCACTGAATCTAGGCATCCGGCGGGGCCAATAGTGTCGGGTAGTATCCCGCATGCTGGGCTGGATTGGTCATCCAGGTCACATGTTAACGTGTCGCACTTCCCCAATTTGTCGGACGCGGGTCGCGCTCTTGCCTGCTGTTTTCGCCTCTGTCAACGAACATTTGCGTACCTATCCTTGGGCTCCAGTCCCGCTCGCTTTTTTTTTTTTCTTGCGCCTTTCTGTCTTGCTTTTCTGTGGCCATATCCAAAACTCTTTCGCTCGCTGCTGGTCATACCATCACTAAACGTGAAGAAACCCCGAAATTTGTGCACAGAAGAGCACAGCAAATAGCACGATGTCGAACAACGAGGAGTACGATGAGTCCGCCAACATGGAGGACGACAGCGGGATACCAAACCCAGGCGCCCCAACACCACTTTCTGCTCTAGAGGTACGCATCACTTTCTTCAATGGATTCATCCGGCTTGCAAACAACCAACTGACTTGCCTAGGGTGTTGCCGGACTTACCAAGCGAGACATTCAGCTGATTGTAGATGGAGGCTTCAACACCGTTGAATCTGTTGCCTATACCCCCCGGAGGGTACTGGAGCAGATCAAAGGTATTTCGGAGCAAAAGGCAGGGAAAATCCTGGCAGAAGGTCAGTGGCCAGCATTTGACATTCCTAGAGGTTCCATTTTGGGAGTGCAGGATTACTGACACTATCATCAAGCCTCTAAACTTGTGCCTATGGGTTTTACTACTGCGACGGAGATGCACCAGCGCCGCAGCGAACTGATTTCCATCACGACAGGCTCCAAAAATCTGGACACACTATTGGCTGGTGGTATCGAGACCGGCAGTGTCACCGAAGTTTTTGGAGAGTTCAGAACAGGAAAGTCGCAGATCTGCCATACTCTAGCGGTAACATGCCAGCTTCCATTTGACATGGGGGGTGGTGAGGGAAAATGTCTTTACATCGACACTGAAGGTACCTTCCGGCCTGTCCGTCTCCTAGCAGTGGCCAACCGATACGGTCTCTCAGGCGAAGAAGTTCTTGACAACGTTGCGTACGCAAGAGCCTACAATTCGGACCATCAGCTGCAGCTTCTGAACCAGGCCGCAGCCATGATGTGCGAGACCCGCTTCAGTCTGTTGATTGTCGACTCCGCGACCTCGCTCTACAGAACGGATTTCTTGGGTCGTGGCGAACTTAGTTCTCGCCAAACCCATCTCGCAAAGTTTATGCGCACACTCCAGCGCCTTGCCGACGAGTTTGGTATTGCGGTGGTGATCACCAACCAGGTCGTGGCGCAGGTTGATGGTGGTCCATCTGCCATGTTCAACCCAGACCCCAAAAAGCCAATTGGTGGCAACATCATTGCGCACGCCAGTACTACTCGCATCAGCCTGAAGAAGGGCCGCGGAGAGACCAGAATCGCAAAGATCTACGACAGCCCATGTTTACCAGAGAGCGACTGCTTGTTTGCCATCAACGAGGACGGCATTGGTGATCCTAGCCCGAAGGATATGGAGAAGATGAATCAGTAGTTTTCGGCGGGGATGGCGACAGCGAATCAACACGAGATTCATACAGCAATCTAGGGACGCAAGGGGCTGCTGATTTGACGGTATAGGGATAATGTGTGTTTTTAATGGACATAGCGCGTTTTTATTGTTAGCATGGGAGGGCAGCCTGGCGTCACACTTGTCTGGTATGACTGGTAAAACTTGGGAGTTGGTAAAGTTATCAATAACTACGGTACACTTTTTCTATTCGAATGCAATCGACGAGGTGAAGCCGTCAAAGCCATCTCGCCAACTGATCATTTGACCTGTGCAGAAGCAGCGTCTCGATGCTAAGGGCAAGTGTCACAGGTTTGATTTTCCAAAAACCATACTACCGAAGCTGAAGCTCTCGTTAACGTGAAGGAAATTTCATTGAAATCCAAGTTGCTGTCGTCCATATTCGTGAGACAACAGGCCACGCACCACATCATCTTCGATGGAAGGTGTCAGGACAAAAGGCACGCTCTGTGGCTTGAAGTTACAGATTAAGGGCTATCATCCATTCAGCGATGTCAACAAAATCGCGGATTTCAAAGAGAACGATCGGAAAGCTATTGCTTCCTTCCTGGTGTGACGTAGGTACCTTGTAGTGTATCCTATTCGCATAGTCTCTTACTAGCGCAGGATACTTGGGCTTAGCACCGAGTTTCCCCACCAACCACGCCAGCGATTGACTGACCCGCTGCAACTGCTACGCTTGCAGCGTTGCGTTGTGCTTGCCCGGGAACTTGAACAGTTGAGCTTCTGCTGCAGTGGGCGGCCAGAAATTCTGAAGCAAAAGCAACAACCGCGTTTGCATCTCCAAAAAGCGCGACAGCAAACTCTCAACATTTCCTATACCGCACCGGAAGATACCCATGGGAACAAGATGAGCGCACGGGATTTTGAGATTCTCTACAAAGAGACGCGCCTTAACCTCGAGCCGTCCACGTCGTCGTCGATTGTCCAGATCCGCGTCGGATCGCACAACCAGAGCTCCTTCAGCAGGTCGACAACAGCAAGCGCGCGTGCCATCAACGCCGCCGACGACGAGAAGGCCTACCGAACCCGTAACATAGCCACTGCTTCATCAGTATACTACCGAAAGCACCATGCCTCGCCCCGTGCTTTCCATTGGCGGGTCCTTGAGAATGACACCGTCCTGAGCATCCGCGCGGCCGATGTCTGCAAACCAAACCCGCACCAACAACACAACGATACCGACGCGCCCTTGGTCTTGAACCTGCGCTTCCCCTCGCCGATACGAACCTCTTGCATTGGCTTTTCCGACCCAGAGGCCCATGATGCCCTTTGCGTCCATGTCGTGGACCAGTTCAACCAGCTTCACACCATCACTCTTCGCCCAGATCACTTCAGGAAGAGGCCAGCAACCGATGGCGGGCTGGGCGAGTTTTGCAAGTCGTACTCGCCGCCTGGGTTTGGCTTCAAACAACCACACCGGCTCGTGGCTGTGAACCACGAACAGCTTATTGTCACAATGCACGATGGGGGGATACTCAGGTTCGACAGGCATGGTAGAGCGAACGGTGAGCATTGCTGCGTCCGCGTTGTTGCCGGAAGAACCTGCTGACAAACTCTTACAGCAAACGGCGCCCAGTGGAAGGAGACGATCTATAACGTTGCCGGATGGGGACAAAGCTTACAAAAGCTGGTTCCTTTTAAGCGAGACCCGACGGTGCGGTATGGCAACACCAACATGGAGCTAACAGCAGCTACGTCGACTGCCATTACGAATGCGGGCATTGATGGCGCCGCCTTTTTGTTCACTATTTGCCTAGATCACCGTATGCGGGTGTGGGATGTGCGAACGGGCCAGATCATGTATACGGGCGACATCCTGAACGCTAAGCGCGATCCCCAAGATATTGCCCGATGGACTATCGACCCCTCCCAAACCAACCTAATCCGCATCGTGGACAATGGCCCCGGCCAATGTTTGGTCGTCACCTACTCTCCAATAGGGTCAGGCGAGTTCAAGTTCTGGAAAGTGAAGGCCAACGCCCAAGGATCGATCCATGTCGCCGACTGCTTCCCGGAACAGAAGCTGGTCCCGGCTAGCCCGTCTTCTTTGGATATCTGGACCTTGGCCGACTTTGCTGTCGCGCAACAAGCAGAGGGGCCTGAATTGTGGACACTGTGGAAGAACAATATCACCTACCGGGTCCAGAAGCTCCAGGTACGCCCAGGGAGCGCCAGCGGTCCTTTTGATGATAGTTGGAAAATGGTGAATGTCGATTCTTCGGCAGCATCTGCGCAGACGTCGGGCCCTTGTGATCCCGTGGATTCAACCGAAAAGTGGTTGGACCTTGTCTTCTTCCCGGGCAGGTTTACCAAGTCGACGCTCGAGACAGCACTGGTAATGTACGAAAAGGGCCTTGGAACGTACCAAGAGAGCAATTCAAAATCCAACAAGAGCATCGCGGAGTCAATTTGCTCCGTCCTTGGAGCTACCACGACACTTGATCGAAGCTCGGTCGGAGGGCCGGACTATGAACAGTTCAGGGGTACGAGCGAGACTCAGTGGACACGGTTTTGGCGGCTGCTACTAGAGTTGGATAAGCAAAGGGGTGAAGCACTATCCTTGGTTCTTGATCCTGTGGATGGCATGATCTGGGTCGCCTGTGCCGATCTCTTGTCTGCTATCAGGCATTGCAGCGACCTTGACCGAATCTATCACAACATCGAAACCCCCAGCCAGAAGGATCAGGACGTTGCCGCCTTGGTCTCGGCCGGCCTGAACTTTGTCGACGTCTTCTCGGACAGCATGTTGGAGTTGAGCAGAGCCGCTTTACGCGCAGAGCTATTCGAAGAGTCATCACTATCAGATGCCGAGCGAATGCAGCAGTTCTACGATAAGGCAGGGTTCTGGCGTCAAGTCACCGAAGAGGATGTGGCTCAAGCGGTGGAAACCCTGGGGCATAATTTCCAAATGGTTACTCCTAGATTGTACGAAGATTTGTTCGAGCTAATCACAGCGGCGGGTGATAGGAACTCTCAGGAAGTGCGAGCGCCGTTCACAGGATTTGGCCGGAAACTGGTCATCCGAACAGTGCAGGAGACGATCGAGCTTCACTGGAAGATACTCTTCAGCCAGCTCATTCTTCTGGTTCACATGGAGGATGAGATTGAAGACGAGAAGAGTGCACTACACGCGAGGTTCGACGTCGGCCTAGTCTACCGCAAACTTGTTGATGCTCTTAAGCGGCTCGAGCATCTCAGGTGGATGGTCAAGACAGAGCTTACTATCCCTGTGCCAAAGGCCGATCACTCTAGCTCCGCAACATCTGTGGCCACCCGTGGAAAGGAGGAGACTTACGCAATCACTGCCTTAGAAGGACTCATTGGACACCTCTTGGGGTTGCCAGAAAGCCATGGCAAACCTCTGTTGTCTAGCATCACTGATGTTGTTCTTGACATCTGTGCTCCGACTAGCTCCACTGAGCTCGACAATGGAGTTATGCAATGTTGGCTTCTGAAGCAGGGCCGTCCAGACCTCGCGAAGGAACTCAACCAGTTTGCCCAGCAAGACCCGTTTTCTACTTACATCCAGGGCCGTGTGTTCCTTGCCCTCAACGAGCACAGCACTGCCGCTCAGTACTTCAAGAAGGCATCAGTTGGCCTAAGCACAGAGCGCACGACTGTGCAACGGCATAGCGCCGGTCTTCTCGACGATACCGAGTGGAAGCTGCTCTATAGCGGACTTCCCAACTACTACGCTCACGTTGTGAACCTTTTCGAACGACAAAGGGCTTATTCCTACGTCGTTGAGTTCTCCAAGCTTGCTCTGCAGTTCATCCAGGACAACCAGGACGACGAGAACTCCAGCAGCCAGCGGACCAAGCACAACGATGTCAAGACGGAAATGCTTTCCCGCCTCTTCACCGCCTCCACGGCCATCTCCCAGTTCGACGTCGCGCATTCCACTCTGCTCGCCATGGTCGATGATGAGGTGCTGCAAAAGTCATACCTCCGCAAGCTCGTCGAGAAGATGTGCGAAGCCGGCCAGAACACTGAGCTGGTCAATCTGCCCTTTTCCGGTCTGCAAACCACGGTCGACGAAATCCTGGTTGAGAAATGTCGACAAGTCCGCGACGTACTCAATGGCGTGCCGTACCACCAGATCTTGTACGCCTGGCGCATCAGCCATAACGATTACCGCGGCGCCGCCTCCATTCTGCTCGACCGGCTGCAGAAGCTTAGACAGATAGGTGAAGGCGACAAGGTCGGTGTCAGTGGGGAGGACGCGCTGGATACGCAGGTGACGAGACAATACCTGTTGCTCATCAACGCGCTGAGCTGCGTCCAGGCAAAGGGGGAAGCGTACATCTTCACGGAGATTCTCTCCGATGAAGACGATGAATACCAAGACGTGAAGCTCCACGGCAAGGGCGGCGGTGGTGATAACCTGGAAGACCATCTCGACGATCTTCTAGAGCGCCTTGACACCGTTGAAGACCCCGCCCAACAACAGCAACAACAACAGCAGCAGCAGCAACCCTTAAAGAAGAAGACAGCAGGAAGGACCACCAGGGCTTCGGCAGCGGCTGCTTCTTCATCCGAAGCTCAGCAGGAGGAGGATCGTGTCCTTGCAGAGAAGTTGAGGCAATTTTCCACCGCCTCCGAATTGTTCTCTGACGAGCCGCGCAGGAGGCTGCTTACGCTGGCCGACATCCGGAAGCAGTACCAGCAGGAGCTGGACAGGATCGTGGCCATCCAGAACAACCAGTTTGGATTTTCGGATGGATTTGGTGGTGACGATGGGGACATCCTCATGTCGTGAGTGTAGTTGGGTGGCTTTTTAATGGGTCGAGTGAGCTGGTCTGCATGTCTTGGCTTGCCTGATTGCTAGTTTGCTTCTGTTGCGATGCTAGGATGAGAAATCATGGATAAAAAAAAAGGACAGAAACGGTCTAGTTGCGGGATTAGGAACAGCGGGTTACGAATTTGAAGCCTTTGTTATGTCTCGATCGTTGGTGGGAGTACCGGGTTTCTGTGGTACGATGAGTGAGTGTATGGTGATTGATGTTGGGCTGCTTAATTGTCCTTAAGTTGTGTCTTATTCGCACAACCATTATCCTAGCATATGACAGCACGTACACTAGTTTCGATCAACAAGTCGCCGTTGAGTGTGTTTTCTAAATCTTGATTCGCTTATCGTCAACTCAAGGGCGAGATCCAGTCGTATGAAGAGAAGAGAGGAAACAACGATGGCGGCGGCGCCGCAGCCGTTCCATCTAGAATTAGAATAAAATTCTTCTCGTTCGAAAAGCCAACGCCATGCCATGCTGAGTTGGGAAATACTTAGGGAAAACTTGACTCATTCTCACACGAGAGTTTTATCAAGTCCCGCTAGAGCCGCCCTCCCTCCAACCGAGCAACAAACAAATAAACCGCTAACATTGTGCGAGCGCGCATTCGCTTTTCTCTTAATACCAATTCATTATTCTTTGTCTGTTCGTTCCGTTCATCCACCCATCCATTCTTCACCCATTCTTCTCAAAATCATTATGATATAATCATCGGCTGTATATCTAAGCCATCCTCCGGACATTCATGCAGCTTGCTTTCGCTCGCTTGCTCCACTTTCACTTGGCGAGTTCATCGAGATCGGCTGCTCAAGCAGCAGGTATCCCCGCAAGCCTATTATCGTTGGGAGGCGGCGCTGGTAGAGCGTTTTGACCGGGTGGGGCAGCGGCCGCCGCAGCTGCGATTTCAGGGGCTTGTCGGTAGAGGATGATTTCTGACTGTTTAAAGTACCGACGGGCATCTGTGTTTGAGGAAATGGCTTTGAGTAACTGTGAAGAGGGCCGCGGGAAGGGGAGGAAGGGTGAGGGAGGGGGGGGGGAGGATGGCGTAACAATTGATCCTGTTTGAAACCTACCTTCATCTATGAGAACCAAACTGAGGTAGTATCTTGTGGAAAACTTCTTGTTGACGTCACGGAAGGTGGGTGTCAGATCGAAACCGCCTAGGAACAGTCGGATGGGAATGGTCTCTCCTCTTGATGGTGAGCCGTCCATGATCTATGCAGCCATGAAGTCAGCACTCCGTCGAGGAAACTGGATGGCATTGATAAGCAGGTGAGCCAATGGGTGGGGACCAACCTCAAACCGCACCAAGGTCTCGCTCTCATTGTACTGATTCGGGGCAACACCCGTTGTTTCACGGCGAATGATGCTGAGCTCCATGTGCTTAATCTTGAGCCGTACAAGCAAGAAGTAGATGCGGCCCACGATGACATCCTTGAGGTGGTACTTGCTCTTGCTGTACTCGAACTCTATGTGCAGACAGTCCTCGATGCCGACGTCCATCTTGATACTGCTGTTCATCTCGGGCGGGATGCGGTAGCTGTAGACCCAGATGTCCTTCTCGCGGATGACATCGGCCATGCGGCGCGAGACGGTAACGCGCACAAAGTAGCGCAACTTGACGTTGATGCCGTTGTACGACTCGTATTGCTTCTCCACGTTCCTGAAGTTGAAGTCGAACGTCTGGGGGTGCTGCAGCTCGCCCGGGGCCGCGAGCTCCTGCACTAGCGACAGGAACTCGTAGTGGTTCCCGCGATCGAAGAACATCTCTATTGTGCCGATGAACTGGACCTTGATGCCCGTGTGCTCCAGCCTCTTGCCATCCTTGGGCCGCACCGTCACGGCGCCCTTGACCGACTCGCCGTCCATATACAGCGGGGCCTTCTCGCGCCGGTTCTTGTCTAGCTTGACATCCACCATAGATCGCTCGTCAGCATCGTCGAGGACTATGTCGATATCGACCGGCGTTGCAAAGAAGTACGACATGGTAGGCTGCGATGGTTCTTGATTTTGATCGGGTCGTTATAGATTCTGGCGCGCGGTGTTGCGGACAGGAAGGGGACGTCTTAATCTGGAAACGGATGGGCGCGACGCCAATAGCCCTGTAAGTTGGACCAAGTGGTGGGTAGCTTCTGGGTTGGACAGGCAACTATAGAGACAATCCGAGTAATTAGTAACAGGACTCGCACGAGAATGTTGTAGCTTCAGCCCTCGGTTTTTTTTATTGTTTTTCCCTTTTCTTTTGAACGAATTTCTCACGTACAAAAGACTGACGGTAAACTGAAGCTCACTTGCGATGCCCGGTATAGTGTCGGTATGTCAATTGTATAGGTCTGGCAAGTAGCTCGGCTGTTACTGATGCAGTGGTTCAGACGAAGCGGCGCCAGCTTTCCCTAGGTCGTTCGTCAGCGCGCGCAGCACAGCTTGGTCGGCCCCTCCTGGTCCGGGGCGGTGTCTGTCTGCCCATTGAGCGAGCTGGGCTAAAGTGGGGGTGTGATTGCCGGCTGGGCGTCCAGTGAGCAACTTCTGGGCCGGCAACTGGAGCTGTGCAAGCTTGCACCAGTCGGCCGCTGGCTGTAAACCCACCTTGGCGATCAACCATCGGCAGGGGCCGGGGGTTGCATAAGAACTCTGGTTCAAGAACCGCAGCGAACTTGAGCCATGAAGGACAACTACACTTTTGGGACCTTTGTCCGTGCTGCCGATTGCCTGGTGATGTAATATGATATTATGCCCATGCCCAGTAGACGAGGCCAAGAAGCAATTATACCAAGACCCTACGTGCAGCTTGCGAATAGCCTTATGAACCCGTTGTTAGCTTTCCATGCTGATGATGAATGGCACAACTTGACCATGACGAGCCTTTCAGAAACGCGTTGCTGGACGAGATGCACGCGAACACAGTGAGGACCGACAGTGTAGGTGGAAAGTTGAGGCTGGAGCCAAACCCGGGAGGCTGACCAGTCCCTGCACGGACCAGGTTTGCCCCACTTTGCTATGTTCCGTCGCGAGTTGGGCCAATGGTAGCGTTCACCAGCCCCTCTGCCCTAAGGCAGGCAGCGCGGGCGGTCGGCACACACAAGTTGAATTATTCCGGGCGCCCCAAAATCGACATTTTTCTTTGGGTTTTGCAACCTCCAGTCCACCTCGACGACGAACTGACCACCCTCATCTCCTCACCCTCCGACCGACGCCAAAATGCGCTACATCCACAGTGAGGAGACCCTGGAGGTCCCTGAGAACGGTACGTTTGCGCTTGATTGACGTTATTCTGCGATATCTACGGCCCGAGCGAGAGAAGACGGCCGAGGCGCGGGCTTGGCCAGGCGAAAGCGACCGACCGACCGACGGCAACCACCAGGCGGAGAGGAATTGGCATGGGAATGGGTTGATTGGGACAACGAATTTGGGCTGGATAGCTGCTATACGGGGGATGGTCGTTTTTTTTTTTTTCGCAGGCCGGCCGAGCTTGGAAATCGAAACGACTGTGTTTGGGCTTGTCGCGTATAAGATGCGTATCACTAACGCCACTTTCGGTTTACAGTCAAGGTCTCGATCAAGTCCAGGATCGTTACCGTCGAGGGCCCCCGTGGCAAGCTCGTTAAGGATCTCAGCCACATCGCCGTCAACTTCTCCGTCATCAAGAAGGGCGTCATCGGTCTCGAGATTCACCATGGCAACCGCAAGAACGTTGCCGCTCTCCGTACCGTCCGCACCATCATCAACAACTTGATCATCGGTGTCACCAAGGGCTTCAAGTACAAGATGCGCTACGTTTATGCCCATTTCCCCATCAACGTCAATGTTGAGAAGAACGCCGAGACTGGCAACTTCGAAGTCGAGATCCGGTACGTTTGGAAACGAGTCCCGCTCTAGGAGAATTCGGGATACAAGGCGGCGTATGCACCGAGGTGGACCAGATATGCTGACTAGAGGCGTGTGTGCAGCAACTTCATTGGCGAGAAGATCGTCCGCCGCGTCGTTATGCAGCCCGGTGTCGATGTCGAGATCTCCAAGGCCCAGAAGGATGAGCTTGTCCTCTCCGGCAACTCCCTCGAGGGTGTCTCCCAGTCCGCTGCTGATATCCAGCAGATCTGCCGGGTGCGCAACAAGGATATCCGTAAGGTACGTTGCAAAAATCTATGCTCCCAGGAAACTATTATGGGCTGGTTGGAGAGCCAGTAAACGATGGCTTGTTTTGCTAATACGGCTTGCAGTTCCTTGACGGTATCTACGTCTCCGAGAAGGGCAACATTGTCGAGGACCAGTAAACGTGCAGATCGGCATGGGTTTCTTTGTGCTTTATGGGTCTCACCGGAGTGGCAAGGGTCTTTGGCATTTGCATGTTTTGTAGCGTAAGGGAAAAAATTCGCTACGGGCAAAATGGGCAAATCTTTTGAAGAATCACCCCCCCTTTCTCGGGGTCTCGCCAACTACCTAGCATCAATGTCTTGGGAGGCGTCCTCCTCTTCCAGTGGGTGACTGGGGGAGGAGAGACGGGCATGCCACATGTGTTCTCTTTGGACCAGGAAAACGCAACAGCAGAACATAACGAGAGAATACCCAAACAACACAAACCGAGCATCGAGCGTGTGACGACCGTACATGTCTGGGAAAATGGGCATCACGAGAGCGCCAGAGAAGATGTTGGGGATAATTCTGTCTGTTAGGCTGATGGTCACATTATACCCAGACTAACTCAGTAGATGAGCGAGTCGAAGAGTCTCCAGAGACCAAATCTAAAATGAGTCTTCACACTGATCGAGAGCCCATCGTGTGGATTTACGCCGAGAGAAAATGTCATAAGCATACGACTTGTTATTGACCACTCCTGCACGATTCAGGGGTAGTTGCACCTGACCTTGAACTAAGCCCGCCTTTCAAAAGGTCGAACAAATTCTCACGCGCCGTTGATACTATCCATGCGTCAATAGCAAAGCAACACATTCTCCCGCTAGTCACACGGCGATTTTGTAGCTCTGATGAGTGTGTCTTCACTTTGGGAACTTTACGACTTTCCGCTCTTGCCAACTCGTCATTGACATGCCCTCTCATTTAAACCAAATTTCTCCTTTCATCACATGCATACATACATACATCAATCAGGTCATTCATTACACATGTCCGTCCAGAATCCAGCATCCTGATCCTCATCGTCATCGTCATCATCCTTGCCACTGCTACCGCCACTTCCTCTTCTTCCCTTTCTCCATTTCGCTCTCGAATCAGCCTTTGCTCGCTCAAAGGAACTCGCTCGCTAAACTCCATATTCATCCTCCACATCATCCACTGGACCAATCATCCCACGTCGCTGAAGCCATCATATATACGAACGAGCCCTGGAAAGTGAAACCCCTGGGGAAAATCCTCCTCGACCTCGCCTAGACTCGAGGTCATAACGCCGTGATAGAATAAAAATCATGAAGAGATAGTTGCGTGAATGAGAAAGTTGAAAGATAAAGAGGAAATCCACAAGTGCTCAGCGCCTCTGTGTGGGGGGATTGGGATGGGTGTTATATAGTGAGAATCCGCAGGGAGGGGGGAAAAACTCAGAAAAGACATGTACACAGAAACGAGGAATCGCAAGATAGCTGTTTGCTATCGCTTTGTCATCTGCATAGGGGCTCATGCAGTGCAGCATGCCTGCCCTGACAGATGAAGTGCGTGCGGCTGCAAGGGATCAGTTCAGCATTAGGACCTGAGTTCTTCATCCCCTCATAGGGCCGGGAGATCTCGAAATGCGGCGTTGACCAGGAGGAGGCGGAGGCACGGAGCTAACGCGCGACACGCGGGTCGTCGTCCTAGTCACTCTGCTGGCTGTTCTGGTCCTACCCGCACCGCCGTGAGCGGAGGCAGAGCGTGCAGAGCGCCGAGTTCGTCTATCGCTACTGAACGAGCCTGTTGCGGTTCCAAGATTAGCATCTGAACAATCATCTCATTCATGGTTCGGCTTGCCGGTCGGTTAGCGAAACTTACTAGGGCTTCCGCTGGAGGTATAGTCAGAATAGTAATAGCTGCTGTTCTCGCTCCTGGACTTGCGTCTCGACGACTCCTTCTTCTTATCCTTCTTCATTCCGAGCAAGAGCCAGAGCGTACCGAGAGCGGCTCCGGCGCCCATCAGGCCCTTTCCGCTGCTTTCCTTGCGCGCAGCAGCCCCGCTGGGACGACCGCCACCGGCGCCGGCATACCAAGAGCCGTGAGAGTCTCTCCGGCCGCTGTGACGAGCGTAACGCTCCTCCTCGACGACGGTCTCCTTGCTCCTCTTGTTGCCGGCTCCGATGCCGAAGATGGCCAGGAAACCGTGCCACAGGCCGCGCACGATGCAGCATGCGCACAGCAACAGAAGCAGAACAACACCGGCGAGTGTGCCGATAACGATACCCGCGATCGCTCCTCCGCTCAGACCGGTATCAGCCGTGCCGCCACCGGCCTCACCACCGGCCGCACCACCGCCCGTACCACCACCCGCACCACCGCCCGCACCACCGCCCGCACCGCCCGTGCTGCTGGCTGTAGCACTGGCTGCGGTTCCTGTCGCGCCGCTGGTAGGACGGTAAGGGGCGCTGTATTGGGTGGTGTAAGTGTGGCCGACCAAGGTGCTGCCCAAGAACGGGGGGTCGTTGGCACCCTTCGCCATGCACTGGCCGGCGTATTGACACTTCTGCGATGCCGCACAGCAAATGCTGCCGCATGCTGACTCGCCAAGACTGGTGTTGGGAACGCAATCGGGACCGCCCGTGGGCACAGCTGCAACAACAGTGCTGTAGATGCTGGTGTGGGTTTGCGTCAACGTGTCGGTCCAGATGGAGGTCACCCATTGAACATTTGCCTGTGGCTCTGGCTGCGGGTAAGGAGCTGCAGCCGCATACTGTGGTAACGTCGCGCAGGCAAGCAACAGAGCTGGGAACCAACCCAGCGGCGATTTCTGCGATGCCATGGTGAGATTGCTGTGTGGATGTCGAGTTCTCAAAACCGCAGAATATCAGAGTGCCGGTGGAGATGCGCCGTTCCCGATTGTCGGTCGGTGCAAGTATGCCCGGGGCCCCGCTTTGGAAGGTCCGGGCCGGGGCTGGGTGCGGGTGGACCGTGCAAAGTTCCTGCCGATCGGATCGTGCTAGCTTCGAAGGTTGCTTCTATCGCGTGTAGGACTGTCGGTACGGCGGTGAGCGGGGTGGAGCTACAGCAGTAATGTGCAGGTACAGCGGTGCAGCGGTCGTTAGGTCCCGTCGTCTGGTGTAATTCTCAGAATGTGCCTGTGTCGGGTGCGGTAACTCCAGAGCTGCTTCTGATCCGAGTGATGTTGTTTTGCGCTTCTCAACTGATTTGTTGCTCGTCGGGCCTATCGCGTCTCTCCTGGATAAACCAAACGATACCACTGATTGCCAGATCTTTCGTTCTCGTTTCCTTGCCCTGCTGTGTTGCGCGGGGTGCGCCCTAAAATCAGTGTAAGCTCAAGTGAGCCGCGACTGAGTAGGAAGCTTGGTGGTGAAGGTTCACCGACGGGAAACAGACTGACTGAGACCGAAACTCGACGATCAGTGCCTGACTCCAGTGACGACTAGGAGAAGGAAAAGGAAGAAAAAAGAGGGAAGAGGGAAAACGGGAGAATGCAGCAGGATGCAGCCTTTGTCACTGCAGATTTTAATACCTACCTTAGCCTTGGTCAAGCAAGGTTCACGGAGGGCCTGTTCGGAGTGGTCGGACGGAGAAGGGTGTCAGGGTGGTGGTGGCCGGGCAAGTACACTAAAGTGTAGGGCCAAGCAGTTGTGGGCGGCCAGGGAGGGTCCGGGTCGGTGCAAAGGTGCGGTGCCATCGTTTTTGGCTTCCCAACCTCCTCGCAAAAAAAGAGTGTCTGTCGACGGCACCACTCTCCAGCCAGGCACCTCACACTCTCTCTCAATCCCGCGCTGAGAGGGCTGACCTAGACTTCTCAGCACCGTAGCACCCAACCCCTCGGTTTTTGGGACCGACGGCCAATTCCCTGGAAATGCAACTGCCATTCGTCACAATCCCTTCTTTCTTTAACTTTCAGGTCCATCCATCAATCAGCGCTAGCCAATGCCCTTACTGACGCTGCTCCCGCCCTCGACATTTGAAGGGTTCGCAAGGGCATGCCCGGATGAAGTCCAAAAAAAACCAAACTAAAAAAGACCTCGGTCGTCCCGATTGATCGGGTCTTGTTCGCGTTGAGATGTCCCAAGTATCCTTCTTGCATGGCAAGTGGATATGGGAAGCTGTAGGGCCTTTGCCTCGTGCATATGGGTGGAATCGCGGTCTTTTTCCGGCGGTCATGTTTCGACTTGTTGGCACACGTTCGATTCCACTCCACGGAAGTCCAAGGTCCCATCACACACTCGATCACCGACGGCGTCTTTGCCCTGTCAACCCGTGCCTGCTTCAGCAGTACCGCTTATTGTGCTGTCTGGAAGTACCCTGAACCTTCTCAGCATCGTCTCTTGTTCGATTTAGTGACGGGACATTGTTCGAAGCATGGGCGGCGATGTGCAGCATATCGAGCTATGTGTGAATATGGCATAAGCTTATCCGTCCAAGCGTCAAGTAGAAATGTGCAAAAAGAAACATGGCATTATCAACCGGTACCTAGCTACCTAAGGCGGTGCCACAGGTGCTATTGGTGCCAAGACATGCGTCTTGGCATCATTCATGATGGGAGCTTTCCTCCTTCCCTCATGGCTGGCCCACGTGAAGCTGACAGCTGTGTATCGAATCCGTGGTAGCATCTTCACCCGGCTGTATAGAGGCAGGTATAGCTACCTAATCACCGTTTGTAAGGCTGGCTAACAGGTACGTATATGAAGAATGGTAGAGGTAGGTAACCCGGCCTTAAGTTGGGTTCGGGCGGCTGAGGAGCACCGGATGGTTGAAGCAGAGAAAGAGAAAGTTTAACGGCGAACAGACGAGCGATACACACATATATATACTACAATATATATACAAGATATGTACTCGAAATGGAGGTGTCACTAGAGGTATGCTCTCAGTCTGACGAGAGCGTGGTGCAAGACCGGGATGGATGACTGGAAGTGATTGCTTCCAGTTTCGTTGCGAGCTGCCCAGAGAGCGAGCGGGTTCAGGTTGCAACTACACACACTGCATATAAAGCTGGGGCTGATGGGGAAAGCTACAGGGAGCTCTCCTTGTTGTGCATCACGGATCGAGGGTATCTTCCTCCAGCGAGGTTGCCCGCTGGAAGGAGGGGGCTGCTGCGGCTGCCAACGCCTCCACTGCGTGTGGCCCGGATTCCCAACGGGCACCTTACATGCCCGCTGGACCTGGAATACCTGCCAACATCAGTGCACTTTACATCTCCTCAGACCGGGCAGCCCGTCGTCTCGCCCGCCTTGCCAAGGAAGCTCCATCATCACCTAACTACACACCATCACCTAACAACACCCCCGCGCCGAACCGACAGTCTTCAAACACACAGAAGCTGCCTCGAGCTCTCCGACTGAGCGCATCAGATTCGACACCTGTTCACCATGTCCCTTGATCCGCCAACCTATCTCGCGTCGCTGCAAAGCAATATCCGTCAACGGCTAATCCCGTGGGATGGCGCCGTCCGCGCAGGCACTCTGACGGAGGAGCAGCTAGCAAAGATCCGGGCTGTCGACGACAAAGTTAAACGGGATGTGCGCAGACAAGTCATCGAGGCCAACCTGGATGGATACAAGACACTCTTTGCTGGCAATAATGGACAGAGGAGCGTACTGGAATTGGCATCCAAGCGACCAGACGTGTGCCAGTACCTCCTCGTCTTGCTCAGCGACTTGCTAGACGGTTGGTTCCCTTTGTTTCCTACTACCCGTGATGCTCGTACATTACTATGCTCCTTCCACTTGTTCACCTCTTTTCATCGTTTCCCGTAGCAGCTGCCACTGTGAAGAATCACCTTGGCAGTGACGTCGCATATCGATGTATACCCATTAATCGAGTTCACTGAATTACGAGTTGGCAACCCTCATCTAACGTGTTATGCCACAGTTGTTCCCGCTCTGTCGAAAGCTTTTTTCCAGTCTGAAGATTCTAATCCCTACGAGAACATCCTGCCGCTTCTTGCGCATTCAACCAACACCGAAGACCCAATTCCTCTTCTGACTTCTATAGTTCTCGTCCGTCTCATGGCTGGCTCCAGAGATGAATCCACAGCTACCGCAGAGAAGGCATTGCCCATGCTATTTAGCTATCTTGCTTCCCTAACCAAAAACTCGGATGCCGGACTGCAGGATATTGGCGTCCAAGAGTACTCGCAACTTCTCTACAGCCGTGTCTGCAGGCAGCAGTTCTGGAAGCAACGCAGCGAGACGGTCGGGCCGCTGATCGACATTCTACGTGCTGCTGCTGGTATTTCCGGCGGCGATGCCTCAGCTAATCTGTGGAGTGGGACTACCGCCCCCCCAAGGAGCGGTTTTGAGGCCTCAGTTGGTGGCGGAGTCGGTCTACAGCTCCTCTACCATGTGCTTCTTGTCCTGTGGCAGTTGAGTTTCGAGGCTGCGGATATCGGTGATGATTTGAACAAGTAGGAAGACCCGTCTGAGAAGAATGAGTGGACAACAGCTAACCCAAATTCTACCACAGTGAATACGACATTGTGCTGCTCTATACCCACCTTCTCCGACTTTCGCCAAAGGAAAAGACGACGCGACTCGTCATCGCCACGCTTTACAATTTGCTGTCGAATAATCAGAACTCTCTCCTCCCTACCGCCGTGCTGGCTCGCCTCCCCCAGTTGCTGCAGAACCTTTCGAGCCGGCAGTTTACGGACCCAGATCTGGTTGAAGACCGAGACAAGCTGCAGGAGCTTGTTGAAGAGTACACCAAGACTAAAACGACATTTGACGAGTACGTCGCCGAAGTCAACTCGGGTCATCTCAGATGGTCACCTCCTCATCGCAGCACTGTCTTTTGGGCGGAAAATGCCCGCAAGATTCTGGACTACGAAAATGGCGAGATTGTGCGCAAGCTGGCCGAAATCATGCAGAAACCTTGGGAGAACGACAAGGCGGTGCTGGCGATTGCATGCAACGACGTTGGCTGCTTAGTTCGCGAAGTACCCGAGAAGCGGAGCCAGCTGGAGAGATATGGTCTCAAAAGACGAATCATGGAGTTAATGGGCGAAGCTGATGAAAATGTCCGGTGGGAGAGCCTGCGTGCTCTTGGTGGATGGTTGCAGTACAGCTTTGACACCAAGTGATGGACGGGCATGTTTCAGGGATTGATTGAATTGATGCATTGCATGAGAGCTTTATGTTTACTACGACTACCGCATTCCTATTAGTGCAAGAATGGTTTCACGATGCGTTCAATGGCCGATGGTGGTTCGTCTGAACCACACCCAGCCATATAAGTTGGGGTGGAAGTGAGCACGGCCACGACGATTACTGACTGTAACCTTTGGGTTGCTCCCAATTTAACATGGCCTGAATTTGTCCATGTCATGAGATCTCTCTCCAGTTTTCATACTTGCGGTGTTAGATGAGTATTGTTACCAGATATACAACCATCGAGTTCGTCAATTGTCAAGACACGATGCTATAGCTTCCAGACCGGGCCTATAACCTAATTACGTAACCACCGTAAGGCATGAGCTACCCCACTATGTACATATCTATGTACACCTTTCCTTATCTTATCTGAACCTGGGGCCCTCTGACATCACATCCCTAGCTGAGCATGCTGAGTTTCAAAGTCGCGATCATGCAAAAAGAGCCAGCAACGCGCGACGACCAACGCAAACAAATCCGAGATCGGTAAATCCAAAACATTCCAAATGGGAACTAGAAGAGTAAGTCTTTTTATGTCCGTTACCAATTTATAGGCTTTTCATTGCATTAAAAGGCTAGCAACTGTACTAGCTCAGCTCCACTCCTGAACTTGTCCCAAGCTCGCGGCGGCTGTTATATATACATCAATGAAGTCTCGAACTTTATGATCGCGAACGACGGTCTGTTACTGAGCTTTTGCTGACTTTCTGAGCTTTTCAAATAAAATAGGTTTACTTTCTTGCCCATGGCAGGGTTCAAGGTAAGACACCCAGATTACCATGCGTCTCGGCCACTCGAGCCACAGTGAGATAACTTGAATCTCGTTGATGTTCCTGACTTGTTGCGTATGATGAAGGTGTTTTCTACCGGTAAGTGGTGAAAAAATCATCATTCAAATCTCAAGTTCCCTTTACCTCGAGTGGTGTATTTATATATATACATATATATTGCAGTCTTTCATCTCAGGTCTTTTTCTTCCCTTCTTAGGTGCGGTGTCATCAAATCCACACATACTTCAATGTTCTTCACAGCTACATAACTTTATTTCCACATTACCATTCCCTCCTCTATGTACTTATCACTCATCTGACGTTTTCGACTAAACAAGTAATCTTGTCAAGAAGAGAACTAACATATACATACATACAAGAAAGTTCACAGCCAACCGAGCCCAAGAGCTCAACCTAACAGGCTGGGTTCGTAACCGATCCGACGAAAAGGCAAGTTGTATCAAAAATCTACCTAGACATCAAATCACATTTACAATTACATTTACATGTCCACTTGTACGCTACCACAGTTTCTGTACTTGGATCCATCATCAAGTCACCCCTGATCACTCACGAAGCTTGAACCCCCCCCCCCCCCCCCCCCCCCCCCCACCCAATCCTATCCCACTGACCGATTGACACCTCTCATTTTGATCCAATTTCAGGTCGAAGGAGAAGCCCAAGGAGACGAAACCTCTGTTGCCCAGCTCATAAAGGACTTGAAGAAGGGACCGACGCACGCGCTTGTTTCCAAGCTCGATGTGGAGGATAGAGAGTTGGTGGATGGGGAGTCGGGGTTTCAGGTTAGGAGGGGCTGATTTGATGATGATGATGATGATGAGGAGGAGGAGGAGGAGGAGGAGGAGGAGGGGTGATGGCAGTGTCAGATGTTGGGGAGATGGTGGCCTGGAAGCTGTCTTGGAGTTGAACTCTGTGATAAATTGAAAGGTATACCAGCTGTATGGAGAAAAGTTTGTCGACTTGGTGGTGGTGTCACGGAAAAATAGCAGCCATCCTGGTCTAGATGTGACTGAAATAGAAGTAGGCTCCTGGAAACCCAAGTGAAAACGATACAGGGGTAGCCTGAACAGTTCTTCATGACCAGTTAGTTGATTCTACCTTGCTATACCAAAAGAAAGAAAGGAAGATACAAACAAATATCAATATGCTTCATATACTATCCACAACACCACACCGCACCCAATGTGTTCCAAGCTGAAATATTTCACCCGTCCAACCATCCGCAAACCCTTCCCTCATCATATCTTCGCACATGTTAGCAACAACCCCATTGACACCATAGTTACCAAAAAATTCCCTCCATTATTACTTTTTTAATACTTTCTCTATTTCTACAAGCTGCTCGCTTGTGCCTGTGACTTCTTGCTTTTTCCTCTTTTTTTCCCCCCTTGCCTCTGTAAAGCAAGGCTAATGATACGTACTGTGCGTGGATATTGTGCTTTTCCTGTCTGGGTTTGACGCGCTATCCTTGTCTTTGTTTCTAAGCGAACGTCATCGAAATCTCCTTCTCCTTTCCAAAGTCGTCGTCATCATCAAAGTCAGCCCACGGGTTATTAGCTGCCGGAAGAACCGGTACCGTATGCACCGACTTGATCTCCGGTCTCGCCGGGGTTGAGGCGGAGGTGGAAGAATTCCCGTAGCCCGATGAGCTTAACTTTCCGTATGAAGAAGTACTTGGCTTGGAAAGAGGAGGAGGAGGAGGAGGAGGAGACGCTTCAAACGCCGTGTCAAAAGTCATTTGAATCTCGCCGTCATCGTCGTGCTGGCGACCACCGCCACTGTAGCCATATTCATCTGCCCCAAACCCACTCTTTGCATGGCCGGCACTGTAATCGTATCGACGGGAGGAGCTTGTTGTTGATGGTGGTAGTGGTGGTGAGTTCCAGACGTTCTCCTCTTTGCGATCGCTCGATAACGAAACGGTGGACTGGTGCCTGTTGTTGTACTCGACGCTCGAGAATCCGCGATAGGGAGGAACCGCTCCGAGGCTGGCGCTCCTAGTCTCTCTCAGGTGGTCTCGCGAGCCTTTTATTACAGGCGCTGGCGGGCCGAGAGGAGGCGGCACCTTCAGCTGCATGGGCGGCAGCGTACTCTTGATTTCTTTGACCTGGAGGATATCCTCATTAATGCCGCCGCTGCCGTTCTGTGAGGTAACCCTCTTCTTTTGTTGTTCCTTGGCTTCCTTGGCCAGCTCGGCGCGGATGGCGTCGACATCGAAGAGTACGCCATGATTATTACCGTCCTTGTCCTCCGTCTTTCCACCGCTCCCGGAGGCGCCGCCACCCGCTTTGGCCGAGTCTTCGTAAACTTCCCATTCCTGCCTCTTTGGCTTCTTCTTCTTGAAGAAGCTGAATGCACCACCGCTCTTGCTCCCCGACCTTTCCCTCCCCTCTCTTTCGATCTCCTTTCTTGCCTCTTCAATTTCATTAATGAGTTCGCGTTGTCTTTCCTGATGATTCTCTGGATCTGGCTCTTCGATTTCGTCAAACTCGTCGTTCTCGACCATCCAACCGCATTCACGAAGGAGCCGTGGCATCGCCGTACGGTAATCCATGTGACCCACCACGAACTCGGTAACGTCAAAGTTTTCTATCCCGGGAATCCCTTCGATGGGGGCAAGACCTCCAATGCGCCTGATACCGCCGTTGGTCAAGCGGAAAAGGTATCCCAAGATCCAGTCATTGCGGTTGTATCCGTTGACAAAGCGTCCAGAAACCACGGCGCACGCGCGGAGATATTCATCCGTCTTCACAACGATGGGACTGCCAAACAGATAGACGTTCTGGACGAGTCCAAAAGCGCCCTTCCTAGCGAGTTCCTGGAGGCAGGAATAGATCACGCGGCTACCCAGGGAATATCCCACAAGGGTGACGGGGCGGGTTCCCAGGTTACGGTCAATAAGCGAATCTGCGAGAATGAGACCAGCTGCAGTGGCACGGTCGAGAGAGACAGCCCAGGGGTTGTCGATGAGATATGAGAGCTTGGTGAGCACGACTGGTAGCTGAATAGCAGACATTAAGCTCATCAGGATGGTACTGCCTAGGAGCTGTTGAAGACCTTGCGTGAGGGCCTGGAGATGAGTTAATACTACATGCCTCCTTCATACCTCGAATGCGTGGAATTGAGCGCTTACCTCTGTGGCCAAAATATTAATGGTATCTCCCATACTGGTCAGCATTTCCGGCTCCCACAGGACCGAGTAGATATCACCCATCAATGGATCCACTGTACTGAAAGGCAACCGGACGTCATCCACCTTGCCCGTCATCCACCCAGACACTGTTACGATTAAATTTACCCTCTTATTGTTGTGTAGCGGTCTATACTCGAATGTCTTTACGGCGCCCGTTCGCCTGTTGGCCGCACGGACGCCAATGATGCTACCAGATGCCGCGGCCGAGGATGTGATAATGGCAGCACCTCCGGCGCCAGCTAAAAAGCCGGTTGTACCGCCAACACCAATCGTCGTGAAGCCTGCAGCCAGGCCAGCACCAATCACCGGAGCAAGCAGGCCGGCAGACAAGCCGATAACCAAGCCGCCGCCAACAGTTGCTAGGCCCATCATGATGTAACGTTTCTTGAGGGCCATCTTGCGCCGGTTCTCTTTGTGCTCTTCCTCGTTCCAATTCTCCTTCTCAACGGCCTGCTGCATCTCCAGGGCATCTGTCACTTTCTTCTCAAACCGGCAGATGTCAACCCAGGGAATCTCAAGATCCTTGGCGACTCTCTCGAGTAGGGTTCTTGACCTGGCGTCGTAGATAGAATCCGCAACGAGGACAAGGAACAAGTCGCAGAGTACCGTCCACCTCAGATCAATGTCGATCTTTTGCGAGGTCGGCATCTGCGAGGGCATCCTGACCGCCTCGTCCAGTTCTGACTTGTCATCGATTGAGTAAGGCGGCGGAGGTTCGGCAGGTGACTCCGAGTCTGGGGATGGGGGTATCGAGTTGGGACGTGAAGATTTCGAAGCAGACGACGTTGAATCTCTTTTGTTCGCTTCGTCAGCCATCGGGTTCCTGACCCTCGCGTTTGCCATTAGCACCGGAGTCAGGTCTTGGGGCATGACGCCATGCGCAGCAAGCTGCTCGATCATGATCTGCTCGGCCGGGCTGATGTCCATGTGCGAGTACAAGCGCATCATCATCTTCTGACTCCACATCTTCATGCTTTCGGCGGCGAATGTGACTTCCTTCTGTGGCTTGCTCCTCCCCTGCTGAAGATTGTCAACCTCCCTCACCATGACCGACAGTTCCAACCTCGTCAAGCCGACATAGGCAATCCTTTGGCCCTCCGTGAGTAACTCCTTGGTGGCTTGCAGTTGACTGACGGCATCGCGCTGTACATCGTCTTCCTCTGCCACGCCTGTGCCTCCTCCTGGGTCTTTGAAGAGGTACTGGGTGTTCTCGTCCATGCTGGTCTGGGACTCGGCGTCGTCGTCGAGGAGGACCCTAGTATATCCCTTGCCTGCGCCACCTAGTCCCGCGTACTGGACCTTCTCTTCCTCTGACTCGTCGTGTTCCCGCGCGATCAGCTTGTTGTCGTCATCATAAATGTCATACGGCGCATATGCCGGCATTTCCTGCCATTCATCATCCTCGTCTTTCTTCTTCTCCTCCGAGGGCTGGCTCAGTGTCAGCTGTTGATGGGAAAAGCCAGACGTGCCGGCTACGCCAAGAGCCCCGGCGCCTCCCATGGCGACAGTGCTATTTTCGCGGTTATGGCCCGGAGAAAGCTCTTGATCTTTCCTGACTTCGGCTATGGCCAAATCTTGGTACTTGGGTGGCTCCTTCACTGCTACCGGCTTTGTCTCCGACGCGACTGTATGTTCTTGGGTGCCTGGTGACTTGGCCTCTTTTGACGGAGGCTCGGACGGCATCTCCAGAGCTTTCGGAGTGGAAATACTCGGATTCCGGGAGGCCGGTAGGGCTGTCGAGGATTCGCCTTGCTGTTTACAATGTTCGTGTCGAGCACCCGAAGCGAGTTGCGGCGCCTGCGCATCGCTGTTTCTGTTCTCGCGGTCCGGACCGGGCCTGTCGGATTTGTGGTCATCGTGGTTGCTGCTTAATGTCATGTTTCGTTCTGTCGCCGTCGTCTTCCCGACATCTTGGGCGTCGTCGTTTGTGGACGTCGCATCCTTGACTGAGGCCGTTGCTTTCGGGATCGCGTGTGGTTGTGGTGTTGTTGTGGTTGTTGTTGTTGTTGTTGTGGCAATCATAGGGGCATGGTACTTCCGAATGGGCAAGCCGAAGTCGTCGAGCTCCGGCGGCTCTTGGACGCTGCCGGGTTGTGACACGGCTACGGTATTCTTTTGTTCTTGCTTGTTGACCCCGGTTGCCGAGGCTTGTTGGTGGTCGTCGCCAGCCGGGCCTGCACCGAGTCCCGGCATGGCGTGTGTCTTGAACGTACTCGGTCACTGTGATTGATGGATTCGGCGCTTGTTAGGCTGTCGCTTTGGGTGGGGTCCAAAGACGAAATTCGGATGGAATTGGGAGCAGCCTTTTGACGGGCTCAATATGTCGGATGACGGGAGGGGAAAGTCGAGACCGGGTTTTGAAGGACGGAATGAGCAGCAACTGGGCGCAACAACACATTGACATTTTCGCCTGTCACTTCCGCTTGGAGGAGGTACGTAGTGTAGTGTACTGCGTATACGCTGCCCTGCAAAGTCCCCCTACCCCTGTCTCAGGTTCAAGTCAGTGCGGCGGGGCAGGGGCGTTGAAATGTTTCCCCAAGCAGTTAATACGCGTCGTCCATAGGTGTGTCCATTCAACCCGACAACACGAACGCCAACCTCGGACGAGATATACCGAGATGTAGAAGCATCCATCGGATTTACGTAATGTTGAAATGAACAACTTTTCACAATCAGGGCTTCCTTACGGCTCTCAGGTACAAATTCAGTCCGAACTGTCGTCCATCCATCGATCCGGACCTGCAGAGACGATGGCCGGGGCGAAGTGGTCGTAAAAATACTAAAGCGAAGATTGACAGTCCAATGCAGCTGGCTTTGGCTAGGAAAGGCCGTTACAGAACTGTGATACCATAATTTAGAGGGCATCGGCCAGATTCCGTGAGGGATTCTTCCGTTCAGGAACTGCCTTGAAGTCAGGTTCAGACATAACAAAGACGCTTGGATGCATGATAAGAGTATTCCCCAGGTGTATGGTACCATACTGGCCGTGATATTCCTTACGACCAACCATTCGCCGTGTTCGAACTCCGAGGACAACAGCAATTTAGTCGACAACATTGTTTGCCTATGAGAATGGGAATGTGACAAAGTTAGTCAGTGGTCCTCCCACCATACTTGCAGTGCTCGATTCGAGCGGGTGAGTACTTCGAGGTTGGCGGACGTACCATAACAGCCTGAAAAATCTCAGTATGGTCGGTTTGCAGGATCAGGTTCGTGGGATTGCGGAAATTCGCTTGTTTACGAAGAAAAGACAGCTGCAAACAGTCTACATCTGGCTACCGCATCCTCCTTCACTACCTCTTCCCCCCCTTTTTTTTCTTTTCTTTTTCTTCCAGTGTTAATGTACGCCCACAATCTGGTAGGTATAGCAAGCAGCGCTTGACCTCCTCTGGTATACAAAGCGAGCGCCAGCAGGGTTAAAAATCGACCCGTCCGTTCACAGCTAGTGTAACAGCCCAGAATCAGCCTGCGTTGACCTTGTGAACATTAGTGGGGATATTCTATTCGATCCAGCCCTACCTGAAAAGAGCGCCTTCGAGATACACGTATGTATGTAAACATAACGAACCATATATCATAGGTAGACCCTTTCAACCCTTGGGCCTGAGATTTCTCCCCATTCACCTATCTTGGCGACATTTCTGTCACACATCCTTACCAACAGGAAGCTCTCCTTCTCCGCCGTCCCCCTTCCTGCTTCTGGCCCGCATTGGGCAATGTCAGATCTCCCGTCCTTGTTCAACGGTTGTAGGATCGGCAATCTGTAATCCGAACAGTAGCGAACAAGACAAGCCTGTGCGTCAATAGATATCTGCATGCTAGTATCGTATGAGTAGGTAATGGTGGTGGTGCTCGGGTTGACGGGAGTCAATTCCAAGGGTCTTTGTCGTAGCTGAGTCACCTCCAGCCATAAACCCTGAGATCATGGACCCTATGTAACCCGTTTAATCAACAGTTCATTGAACCCCTGATTCAGTCCTCCTTGACACCAGCCGCTGTCGTCTCCGCTGACTGCTCCCCGGCACCACCCCCACCCTCCGCGGCGCCGCCGGCGGTTTTCCTACGACGCTTCCGCTTAGCCTTGCCCTCAGCTGTCGAATCCGCATTCGTCTCCGAGGGTTTCTTCGGCCTTTGTGGATCTGAGGGCGATTTCTTCTTCTTGTCGTCTTCCTTCTTGGCTTTCTTCATCGCCAGGGGATTTGGCTGTTTGGGACCATAGTTCTTCTTCTTCTTTTTCTTCTCCTTCTGTTCCTGTTCCGCGGAACCAGTTGCATCTGTCGATTTCTCCTTGTTGACTTCTTGACCCTGGCCACCCTCGCCCTCGCTGTCAGGATCGCCTTCGGAGTCTTCTTTTTCGTCGCCATCTTCTCTCTTTCTCTTTAGTGACCTTCTGATAATGCCATCCTTGAACCTGTGGAAGTGTGTTAGTATTGCCGAGGGGGGGGGGGGGGGGGGGGGGGGGTTCGCGAACGGATGTTTGATGGTTGGTTGACTGGTGATTGATGCTTACTTTTGACGTTCCTCCCTGTCTCTGATTTGCTGTGATGCCTCGGACATGGGCTCGAGAATCATGACACTCCTGCGGCAATACATCAGTGGCGTAGGCACCACCGACCTCAACCTGTGCCGCTGTTGAACCAAAGCAAATTAGCAAACGCCAATGTTTACCCATCAAAGAGCTCCATTCCACCAAGAACATCCTGTTCCACTAAGCACCAATTACTTACCAACCACTCATCATTGGTCGCCACCACATAGCGAAATTTATTCTGCCCTTTGCCCTTGGGGTCCACGACTGAGAGCATGCACTCGCGCTCAGTAAGGGGGTCCTGGTCCATCAGATGGCCGCAGCGTCTCCTCTCGAAGGTCTTGGCGCGCTCGATGGCGGCTGGGACGTTCGGGTCCCGGTCCGGGCCGGGCTTGTTCTTTGCGTAGAGGGCGCGGATGCAGCACTGGGTGATCATGGGCTTGATGTCCTTGGTGTTGAGCGTCTTCTGGAACAAGTTCATGATGTCGAGCTTGACCGTGTCGAGCACGATGTCGCTGGTCAGAAGCAGCTGGTAGGGCTGGCGGAAGCCGAGCTGCTCGAACGAGCGCATCAGCTTCTTGTAGGCCTTCCTGCTCTTGCCCATTGTGAGACTGTTGCCGTGATTGTGGTCGGGTTACGTATTTTGGATTGGACGGTGAGAGCGTGGTTGTCGCCGAGATGGATGATCAGCCGAATCGACTTATAGGGAGACTGAAAGAGAGAAAAAAAAAAAAAAAAAAAAAAAAAAAAAAAAAAAAAAGTAAGATGTTATGATGGTAGTGAGGTGAGATAGGATGCTTTTCCTCGATGAAGGCCCACCCTCGTCTGTCGGTTCGGTTTGATGTGGAAAGCAAAACCAAGAGGCGACAAGAGGAGACCTAAAAAAATGGCCAGAATCCCACAGGAAACAACAAAAAAGGATGCCAAGCTCGTTCGTAGTCGAATCTCGAAACCTTCTTTACAAAAGGACACGAGAGATCGGTCCAGTTGTCGGTGTTTGGTCCAATCTGCCCTTCACTGCGAGCTCATAGACTTTTAAACCGACTTGCTCGAAAAATTTCCAGGCAGGCAATTGGCCCAGGGTATTCAGAAAGATTTAGTTGGTCCGAGCATACCTAGTGCGGCCCCCATTGTGGAAAAGCATCGAAAAGCCCCACAACCTCAACCTGGTCCAACCTAGCTGCAGCCCCAAACCTGAGTTGACAGTACCCCTACGTGGGCTGAAGGCCAGATATGCCCGGTGGGTAGGTATGTACAAGTACACATTCCATACCCGCGAAATAGAAGTTCGTTGGCTCGGTACTTGCAGAGGGCCTTTTCCGTATTACTTTCAGACTGGTAGGGCGGCATTCCAGGCCTCAACAGCATCTGGTTCGTTACCTACGTAGTATTACCTACTGTAAACGGAGTTTTGGTTCATGCCCGTTGCAAGTCTCGCGCTAACAAACCTCTGAGGGTTGATCTATGTACGCAGTATACTGTAGTGTATCTACTTGTCAGCCGCACTGATCTAATAGCCCACGTGCGAAACACCACACCCCGTTCCCGTCACCGGAAGCACGATGGATCGTTGGGTTGCACCAAAGTTACAGGGACCTTGGATCCGGGATGGATTGTGCCGTTTATAATCAACTAACCGTTGTAAATGTGGTAGATGAACACAAAAGGTCCAAATATTTCTCCTTTGGAATCTGTGTAATACCACCATTCCCAGAAAAGCAGGAACTGGAACTGTAATGTAGCTAATAAAGTTTTTCTGCCCATGTTAACCCACACCGGACGCCGCCTTCATAAAGCTCCTAACCCATCCTCGATGTCGCTTGCCTTCCTCCACTCCGCCCACCATGAGGTTTCTCGCTTGGAAACTCAACACCCTGAGATGTATCCTCAGAACACCAATGTGTACGTAGAGATTGCAACATGATGAACATACAACCCAAGAGAAGCCGCTCAAAAGTAACTAAGTAAAACTGGGACTTTCTGGAAAATCCATGCGTCTCCGGTAAAACAGCCATTCCTTACCATTCCCCTTTTGTCCCGCCCCTCCAAAGAACCCAACAAAAGAAACCCGTATCTATAATTCTACCTCGACAGCGAAACGAAGAAAAGCAACTAGAAATGTTCCAACAGTAATGATCATCAGTCGTTCCTTTTGCAAATGGCTGCGATGACGCTGATATCGTCTGGCTTGCCTGTCGCGCATTCCATATCAGTTACGTCTGCCGAGTGTGTAGAGTTGGGAAGGATGTGAGACTTACCGCCTTCACTGGCAAGACCTTCTTCAATAGCATGTTCCATGAATGGACTCTCCGCGTACGGATCCAAAGCAATGGCTTTTGCGGCTTCCATCAATTCCTCCGCCACGAATCCCATCATGCCAGCATCATTGTCCAGCACGGTCCCCCGTAGAACGCCCTTGCTCACTTTTACTTCGCCCGCCCGCCATTTCTCCATGCACTCACAGACCTTCTCCGAGATCTCATGCGACCAAAGGTTGTCAATAACACCATCCGACATGGCTAGTATAACATCTCCCTCTTGTATTGGTACCTCGTCCACCACTGCGATTGTACGGGGTGTGTCGGGACTGTTGGTGCCCAGTTGACGCGGGCAATCGAACCAATGCCACTGCTCAGTCGACTTGTACACGATTTCGCGTGTCGACGGCCGCACAACCATCACCTGCGAGTCGCCAAGGTTGGTGACGTAAAGCAGCGGCTCCACATCGCTTCCTCCGCTGTTGTCCAGCTTCTCGGTCTCGCCCTGTACTTTAGCATGGCCAGCGCTATCGGTGCTCTGATAAGATGGCCGATCCCCATCTGTCAGGTTCGTGGCACCTCCACTTGCGGAACCCTTGTCAGACTCAGCAACGTCCTGACCAGGTTCTCCCAGCTTGCGACGGTAATGTAGCTGTGCGCCCGCAACTGTCGTCGTGCCTTGCCAGTCGTTCGGTGATGCCGTCGCTTCCATTGTTTGTTCGTACGCTTGTTGTAGATATGCGATCGGGTCGGGGCGGTAAGTGTCGCCTTGTCGTACGGCGTCCTCGAACACTGCGCTGGCCCAAAAGTGCAATATTAGTCGGGACCAGAGGCTGTATGCGCAACCGGGTTGATGTCGGTTAGCAATCTGCAAGTGACTCTCCCATCCCCGGGCGACCGGGACGGTAAGTGACGTGGAAGAATTCCCAGCACTGTAACGGAGGGCCGAAAGAAAAAGTTTGACAAGAGGAAAAGGGCACGATTTGAGGAATAGAACTCACCCAGCATGCCCTCGGGGTCGTGTACTCCATGCGCCCACGCCGTCGTTTGCGCAAACAAAGTATTTGCTGGCAAATACAGCATCGTCGCCGTTGGTGTAACCTCGTATCAACTTCCCGTTGACATAAGCCGCGCGGCGATCTCGACTGCGATCATGCGTACTGAGAGGGTCGCTGAAAGAACCGGAGGGTGGCGAGAGGAATGGTGGTGGGAAAGGGCGAGGCGGTCGCTTTGCGTATAGACCAATGCCCGTGTCGAAGCGGAAGGGAAGCTTAGGTAGCTCTTCCTCGGTGATTCCGTCCTCGTGGAGTCCAGCAGGTGACTGTTCATCATGACCAGCTTCTTCGAGGCCAGGAAGCGTTGGCGTTGGCGAAGTAGAGGCTTCACGAGCAATCGTGGGAGAGGGACTGGCGCGGCTTGTGTCGTTGTCGGCGGGATGAAACGATGCCGGCCCCGTCAAGAAGCCGGCACGCTGTTGTTGCCATTGAGGGTGCCATTGCCATTGCGCAACGACTCGTAATCGTGGTCCCGCCCTCAGGTTTTGAAGTGTGTGGTTTGCGACAGAAGACGAGAGTAAGAGGGGCACAGCGCCCCACGGGCTTGCGTGTGGTATCGAGGCCAGCAGTCGGGGAGGTAGTCTCCTCATCCCAGTGGCGCGCGGTCGAACTGATTTATGGTGATGCTGAGGAGCAGCATCCGAGGAGAGAGGAAGAGGCCCCGAGGAGGAGGGGTGTGAAGAAAGAGGAAAAAGAATGAAGGCTCCAAGCAAAGTGCGCACGGTATTGATTCTCTCACTGTCAAGGAACCGACGGAGAGCAGCTGATGAGTCGAAAGACAAGGGAAAGAGCGGCTGAGCCAGAAGGCATGGAAACTTTAGGTTGGTGAGGACTGGTGGTTTCCAGATTTCTTGCCCTTTTGGGGTGCCTGGAGGGACGATTACAGGCTCGGCAGGCAGGACTCTGCATTCCCTTCCGTTACCTGGGTACCTCTAGAGGTGGTACCGCAACAGCCTGTACAAGGGTCCTTATCTTATCGTACATGAAGCCTCCCTCACCTGGGGCTTCTGCGCTACTGCGCAAGCACATGTAGCCAAAAGCTTACTATGTATGTAAGATTCTCGCCATGCTAATAATACCACCGAACGGGATTATTCACCGGAACATCGGGAATCCTTCCAGGTGTTCTATGGTACGTAACTATAATCCAAATCTGTACGGTACGTGGGCCGTCGCCGTGTACCGCGTAGCATGTAGGTCTGTAGTTCAAGCAGATCGTTTCTGACGGGAGACCCCACTGTTAACGTTACCTGGTATCATTGGTTATGCTCAGCAAGGTTGGGACTCGGGCAATATAAGCTAAAATGTTGTCGTGCAATATCGTCCGATATATAAATACTATCCATCATCATTGAAACATACCTTGAAACAGCTCAGTCAGGGTCGGCATCTTGGGTGTGATGATGTTATATAAGTGCAGCCGTTATGCGAAATGGAATGACCATTTATTTCACATGGGATTGGGAACGCCCGTTAACCTGACCTGACTCGCTTGATCGACATTAGACCAAAGGCATATTCACGACTTTTCCCGACTAAATTTTACACTGGCTAAGTAGTTCCAATTCCCGGATGACGGACGCGTCTTATGGGATCCAAAGGTCAAAGATTGAGTTCCCTGATCACCCCCTACAAGATAACCTGAGACTATTCCAAGACGTGTGTACCTTGCCATGCTCCAAGGCTTCCTGATGATATAACTCAAAACTCTCCAGAGCCAGTGGGAACAAAGACAAGCGTATGACAGATAACAAGAACAAATTATTAGTATTCGACACAACTGTAGCAAGGTTTCAAACCCATCCTAACCAACACGCCATGACTTATGCAAATCTGACAATGATACCAACAGCCGAGGATTTCCCAACCTGCAAATAAGCCAGGTGACTTGTACAATTCCCAGGTCATCTATTACTAACCCCCAAACCCCACGCCCATACGAGTAATAGCCATTCCAAACAACCTTACGCCAAACAATGTACCAAAAAAAGGAAAAAAGAAATATTGCAAGTTCGAACAAGTACTCGCCTCCGTTTAATTCTAACCCACACACGTCTCGCCTAAAATCTCAACTGTCCTCCAAGCCTAAAATGCCTGACCCTAATATTGTAGGTGACCTGGTGTTATCGGCCTGTCGGGCACTACACCTGGCACATGATGACCATTCAATGTCGACCGAAGAACGGAAATTGAGCCTGGCCATTCTGACCACCAACTTTGTAGCTTGAAGGAGACTGAAGAGGGTACGAACCATGTGGCGTATCCGTGGGAGGACCTACCCCCACGGCGCTGCCTCCTCCGTGTCCTGCGGCAGTGGGGTCACCGAGGGCATATGAGCTGCGCTGCGCCAGGAGCTCGGAGCGAGGTCTAGCCTGTCGGGATTCGTAACCATTGTCAGGCTGTAGAGGCTGACTACGCCCCGTATGAACCGTGTACACGTTATCCAAGCCACTCATATCGAATTTGTACACCGAAGCAGCACCGTTGCTCACCACATTTGGGTTGAAATGCCCAGAAAAAAAATGTGCCTGCTGTTGGGCAAATGCAGCCTGCTGCGCTACCCGTTGTGCTTGTTGGTTTTGCTCTCGTTGTCTCTGGTCAATGGCGTGCGCAACAGCTTGACCACTTACTCCTTGCCTCATGTGCGCTCTTTCTCTTTCCCTTTGTTGTATCGCACCTACGAGGCCGCTTTTGGGTTGGGGTTCACTCTTATTGCTGGCCATCGCAATCAATGGGGTTCCAGTGGCCCGAGCAACATATTCTTGCTCACGAGCAGATAGATGAGACGAGACCTCAGCACTCGACAGAACGGCTACCGGGCCACGGCTTGCAGGGCGCCCTGACGAGAGTAGTTCGGCAGAATTGTGTCTTGAGTGCGCACCGCCGTGGACGCCGGGTCGTCTTAGGGGCGAGGAAGGGGCTGTTGCTCTCAAGTCGGTGATTGTTTGGGACGACGGGCTGCGTTGATGTACGAATCCGGGAATGGGAGGAGCAGCCGCGCGTTGTTGTACAAACTGTTCGGGAGAAACAGCATTGTGAGCTGCAGTAGCCTTCACACCAGAGCCAGGCTGCCAGGGAACAGTTCGACGGATAGTGTCATCCGAGTCTTGTCGGAAGTGAGAATACGAAGTGCCTGGTCCCGGTGACTTTCTGGCGGTGTTGGGAGAAAAGAACCGGCTTGGTTGTGCGCTGAATTCAGTGGGCTTGGCGGAAGAACTTTTCATGGCCGAATAGTTGAAAGTTGGTCCAAAATTGATGTTAATCCCAAGGTCAGCCTTCCCACTGCTGCTGCCATTTGCGTCATGTGGGGAAACGGAGGTATCACCAACGACTTTCAAAATTCCAGCACGTGGTCGTTCTCGGTCTGCTGATTCCTGTGTGTCCGTGGATCTATGGGTGCTTGCGTAGTCCGGGCTCGCTGTAGATGCAGCGTCAATGGAACGGCTGTCCGAATAACTTTGCACGCTGTTTTTTCGTTCAAGCATAGTTAACCACAGATTGGCGTCTTCGACTTGTTGGTGAAGGCCTCCGGCACTGCACCCCGACCGAACGGGCAGTGACGAGACAGAGTCTTCAGATAAGCGACGTAAGGCTGGCGATCCTGGAGGAAGAGGTTTCCTGGTTACCGGTGGGGATCTTCCTGGCATATTGGATCGCGGCGATCCTTGGCTATGAGGTGGGGTACGTCGGCCCTCAGTTGTTGATCCCGGGAAACTCGTCATTGGGGGAGTGCCGCGGCCGCTGGCTGGATTATCGACAGAATGGGTAAGCGAAGCCGTCGAGGGGTTTTGAGGCGATTTCATGTGCGGCGATGTAAGCCCTGGGGAGGGACCGGAGGGGCCGTTGTTCGTCGTCGAAGGTGATGTTAGAGCTTCACGAGTTCCAATAAAATTAGCATTCATCCTCATTGGTTTGACGCTGGCTTGTGGCTGTACCGCTGGTTGCCCTTGTGATTGGCCTCTGCCTTGTTCAGGGTATCTGTCAAATTCGTTTGGGACCGCATCCGAAGGCAAACCGCCTGCTGTGGCTATCTGCGATAACGTGGTGTTTGACAAACGATTGTGTGCTCTGCGCATCTCGGGTGAATGGTATGGCTTTTGTTGCGGTCGAGAGCCTGCACCATGCGAAAAGGCCGGTGGCGCGTTAACCGGCTCTGGTGCCTGCATCCGTTGGATCTCCTGGAGGTCGTTGGTCAATTGGCTCCTCACGGCACTCTCATCCTCTGAGCTGACTCTTTCGGGAGTAGATGCCAAATCGCTAGCAAAGGTCCTGGCGCGCTCAGGGCCTCGCATACTGGGCTGCGGGGCTCCGGGACCATCCAATTCATGGGCCGATGCGGCATGAGCAAGTTGTGTATCAGAGATGTTGCGGGAATGACGAGGATGCCCGGCCATTGTCGATGGTACGGGCTCCCGATTGGGATCCGGCGGCGCCGAGTCCGTTCTCTGGGAGGGCCTGGACAGCGAGAGAGACCGAGATGATCTAACGGGACCGGCCTCCTCCGAAAAACCTACACGTGGCTTAGAAGAGGACGCTGGATTCTGGCCAAAGCTTAAGCGCTTGCTACTGCGACTCGCGCTTCGACTGTGACTCGTAGGTGCATCTTCGACGGCATTCATACGCTGCCCTGTCAGTTCCTTCATTTTCTTCTTCCACTGCTGCTCGGTCCACGCCGAGCTCCCGTCAGTTAAAATTAGACCGCTGACATCGAGAAGTTCCAAATACCCATATCGTTTGTGCTTGGGCATGGCAAACATCAGAGAACGTGGGTCTAGCACGCTAGCAACTAGGCGGCCAGGGCGGCCGTATAGTGCAAAAGTATCCCACGTGGGAAACAAAAATCGGAGTAACATCTCGAAACCGGAGACGGCGGGGTGGACCTCAGGCATGATGAAGACGAAGCCCTCTGTCGACGATGGCGGTTCCGAGTGGATGGTGATGCTTCCCTCGATCTTGACGAGTGCCGATCCATCAATCAACGCCTTTGCCTGCGGGTAAATGGCATACGCTGCGTAGGCGTCGGTGATAGATGCAATGGGCTTCGAGTGCTTCTTCTTCTTCTCTGCGTCCTTTTTCGAGTCGTAGAACTTGATTTGGCCCTTCAGTACTGGACCGTGAGAGCGATCATAAGGGGAGCGCTTCTTAAACTCCTTCTGGGCTTTTTGAACTTCTTTCTCGCTCGGAGGCTCAATGACACACCAGCAGCGTCGCCAAGGGACACCAGCTCCAAATCTGACCCGCACCCATTCTTGGACAGGTGCTCTCGCTCGTTCCATGATGACGCCGATGTTATTTAGGGATTTCCCCTTTCCAGCTATCAGGGCCCCCGTATAAGCCTCCTGGAGGGTGGATTGCTCAAAGATGGCCAACCGTATGCCGGACGTCCATTGGATCAAAGAATGATGCGAGTTGAAATGCAGCAGATATCGGTTCCTCCCAGCAGTGCTGATGCTGAGAATGTTCTGGAGGGGCTGTTCGTCGCTTGATCTTGTCGGAAGCGATTCAATCTACATACTTAGTTAAGATGAAAGTAAGGCCAGGAGGCATCAGCAAAATTATCACGTACCATTTTGATGGAAGCGTCTGTGAGGTTGATGAACTTGGGGAGGACTTCACCGTCTTCTCCGGCGGCATCAAGCTCGGCAGCATCCCAAAGAGACAGAACTGTGCCCACCAATTGGGCAAAGCACTCTGTCCATGTTCGGTCCGGATTCGGTCTCCCCTCTGATCGGGGTTAGCTGAAATTATACAGAGTATGGAGCGAAGGTACAACAAACGCACTAATATCCTGGTCATCCAACTTCAGGAAATATCCTTCCTGATACAACTTGTTCGCATGACTGCTGAGTAAAGCAAAGATGGGCTGGAGCTCCGGAATGATTTCCTCGTTGCTTTCCATGAGGGGCTGCTGCGAGGACAATACCATAGACAAGGGTCGTGAATTGCTCCGTCGTTTCCCCGTAACACTTTGTGCGAATGGATCGTTGACAGGCGTGGTAGAGCTGGCGACGGCGGGCTCTGGTACTTTATCAAAGATAGGCGACGGTCTGTCGGGTGAGGGCTCGCGGGAGTCTCGAAGTTGAGGTGGTGATGGAGCGGGAGTTGGAAGGGAAACGGTCGGGGAATATGGTTTGGGGTCAGAGTCGTCACGGATACGGAGATCGTTAGGGGGTGACGGCGCAGGCGTCGGGGTCTTTGAATCCCTGTGGAGTGCCGAGAATTGGGATATAAACGAGAAGACTTTGTATGACGTGCCAGTAGTCAGTATTAATAACGTACGAGATTTGCGCATCCGGACACCCATGTACAGTCGAAGCAATGGCTGGGGAGCGGAAATCAGCCCTGACGCAAACGCCGTGGGATGTACGGAGTCACAGCGGCGATCCAGCGAGCTCGGGTGATAGGTAGGGCGAAGAGGGAAAAGAACTGTAGCCAAGTCTAACCCAGATGCCCGCCCAGCACTCTTGTTGCGGGTGACCGGGTTCTAGATTAGGTTGGCGCTGGGCCAACGTGGACACATGCACTCGTGTACTCCCGCTTCTCTTCCACCGTAGGTGCAAGTGGTAGGGGGCTAACGACGAGACATTTGATGGAGCGTGTGAGACCGCTAAGAACGACACGAACAGTGGTGCCGGAGGCCGAAGGAGCTAGGTAGTTGTAGGTGGTGGTAAGAGTGGTGACGATAAGGAATGGGATGAGCTAGATGGACAACAGGAGGTCCGGGAGCTGCGCAGAGGTACCTCTAGCGAGCGGGTGATGGGTATCATTCATTGCCCTCGAGGTGGTGTTGTGGTGGTGATGGTGGTGGTGGAGGCGGCAGCAGATGAAGGGAGAGCAGCTGAGGGGCTGCTGTTGGGGGTGCTGAATCAGGACAATTTGGGGAACATGGTATGTACACACCTCGATTTCGACCCATCTTGTGGCCTCGGGAGGAAGCTAGTACCTAAGACAACTTCAAAGCTTGGTGTGGTTGCTCCGTCGTATAATTTTAAAAACTTCCGATTGCGATGTTCGTGCAACACGGGCCTCCAAAGAGCAAGAGTGCAATATGGAGTTTTATTCCAAAAAAGAAGGAAATAGAAAAAAAAGATTATGAAAAGAATAAAATAAAAATATCCCGGGGTCGTCGTCAAGCCGATTCGGCGAGCAAAATGATGTGGTAATTGAAAGTCGGGAATACGCTGGCCAGCTGAGCAGATGGTGATCTCGGGGTGATCGGGAAGGACGCGCGGCCACAAAAACGCAACGAGAGGAGAAACGTTGACAACCTGAGACGAAGGTTGGAGGAGCAGAGGCGGAACGGGGTCTCTTAGGTTGTTTTGGCGGCCCTGCTTGCTGGAAGTTGTATGGATGGATGCTTTGTGAGCAGCGTATCGAGAAAAAAAACCAAAAATCACAAAAAGAGAGGCGTGGTGCGCCAAGGGTCCAATATACGGAGGGATTCAATGCTCGGGGATGGAGGAGGAGGCTCGGTGTTCTTGGTTATTGATTCTTCTGCTTGCACTGTAACTCCATTGGTAGGTAATGTTGGCGGGTGGGGATGCGGGAGCGTCGGATGGAGATGGTGCTTGCTCTGATTGCGTACGCCGCGCACTTTGGGCACTTGTCTTGTGCTTGGTATGCACTCTACCACGAGCTGTGGCACTCCCGTTTACCTAGTCCGTCCTGTCGCCCTGACCTTTGTGACACCTAGGTGCCTGTCAGCAACGAGAGCGGGAGGTCTTCCGTCAACGGTGTCTATTTCGGTGCCCCCGTCTGGTCTGCTTCGGCCTCACAGGCCCTTCTCCGAGTTTGGGAGCACTGATATGGAGAACCCTAGCTCGTGTGCAGGGTGTAAAGCTCGCCGGCGGCTACTTTGACAGCTTGATTGCGTATCGATTGACCACGCTCGAGTACTGCAGGACCCGACCGTCCGGGTGTTAAGATTCGTGTTGACGCGCTGCTTGCTCGGCCTTGACTCCGAAACGTTCGGCGCTTCGATCAGCTCAAGTCAGCATAGAGTTAGTTCTTGCCTCGGAGTGGTCAGTCTCCTCCCACTGCGTCCTTGTATGGCTCGATTCAACCACCGACAGTCAGCAAGCAATGCCTCAAATTCGTTCTCTGGGATCTGGTGGATGATGTTCGTCGTCGTCACATGGCAGCTTGGCGATGCGAAGTGGATAAGGACCAGCCAAGTCTGGCCAGCTCTCTCGCAGCGGGGTACGTACCTACCTTGCAGGGAATGCTTGAGTTCAGTTGGTGTCTGGGCGATCAGAGTTGATAACAGACACTGACACTCTTCGTCCTCAACATTCGTCCTGCCGATTTTACTGCGGTACAGTAAATAAGGCTCTTAGATCTCTTTTCGGGTAGAGGAAAGAACAAAAAACCGGGGAAAAAGAAAAATCGAGGGTCACGGAGAACAGTTCGTGATCAAAAGGATTGTCAGGGTTGCTTGGCTGGTGTAAGAAAAAGGATGCTACCTTCTTGGATTCTACACTACGCAGTATGTAGTAGATTCTAGTGCCTGGCTGTGTCACTCACAAAGCGGAATGTACCGAGGAGGTCTGGCCGGGCAAGAATGAACGGAGCAAGGACCTGCCTACCTACCTCTACAGACAACGACAAAGGCACCCAAAATCTCATGGACAGACTTCCAAGCCTCTAGCCAAACCTCCCGTCTCGGTAAATCTCCAAGGCCCGAGTGACATGCGCCCAAGCACGCAATCACACAGGCACTTTGCAGCAATTACAAGTGTCTTTCTTAGTACAGTTCGATCTAAAGTCTGGAGATCCTACACAAGGTAAGCCCTTTCTACCTGGATAATATAACTACCTATCGTTCTCTCAACGAAGCCGAAGAGATCGAGTGCGATACACATGGATAGGTCGCACATCGGAATCCAATATGTTGGCTTTACCCCATCTAGATTTTGGCGGGAGCCTCAATTCTGCTGATATTGCCAAGCCACACATGTGCTGTTCCCGGACAATGGAGCTCTATAACAAGGATTCATGGACCGAAGCTACAGAATCTGACTACGGATCGTTCTGGTTGATTCACTAATATAGTGTATTAACTATTTGGCCGTCTCTTCAAGACAGAGAATGGTCGAAGGCCAGAGTTGAACGTCAGGGTCTGAAAGAAACAATCAGACATCCACGGACGGTTGCGAGGCCAAAAACTGACAAGCAAACTTTTGTGTTTGAGGCGCATGGCGCTTCGAGACACACCATCTGTCTTCTTGACTCACAATAATTGAATAGCCCGAGAAACTTGAGTGTGTGGCTGTGTAACCCTCTCAACATCTATCATTACGCGGGTTGGAGTTCCTGGAGGTTTCCGTTTCGTTTGTAATGTGGCCAACGGACACTAGAGAGAATACGAGGCTTCGATGAGACAGGTGGTAGTCAACGCATGTTAGGGTTTATCAAGGTAGGTCGCAACACTACCACCTTTTTAACGACAAAGTCATGTGTATAAGACATGAATACGATTCTATAACAGTGCTACACAGCTCGACAGTGTGGATGCTAACTCGGCAGTGAGATTCAGCAGTCAACTGTTTGGTTTCGCAGGCCTGGACAGAACCTATGTGTACGCAGAGAAGTTTTTGCTTTCATAAGAAGACGTCGTTCAGGTAGCCTTAGTAACCCGTCAACATCAACTAAGCGGCCCTCACATCAATTCAAGGTGTTTTTGTTCGATGATAAAGCTTGGCCCTGACGCGAGTAGACCGATGTCGATTTTTTTGATGTTGTTCGGTTCATACTTAGGCTTTCAGGGCGGTGTCTTTTTTGTGTTTAAGGGAAGGTTAGATGGGTTCCAGTGAGAGTGCTACCAAGCTGACGCTCCTACCAGTAGTACTATGGCACTGTATGTACACATACGTAGGACTCTCACGAACCCAAGTACGTAAGTCATCTATAACTTAAAGCTCGAATCTGCACGCAAGATACACAAACCGAACTTATCAGTGCTATTTCCATGAGTGATATCCAGAGCCAAGGCTAATGCATGACACACAAACATTTCTAGATTACTTCTTGATCTGGATGTGGTTGCTGTCACAGTCCATAGCCAGCAAGTGGCCAGTCATGGCAAGCTTCATTCATCACGATGACACTCCCGCCGTTTGGATTGCAAACTGCCCAAACTCTGATTCCGAACACCTAGTCAATTATGAGCCAAGACACTTTGGTCGACTCCATTGCGGATGATTCGATGACACAATAAGTCGGTACATTCACCTATTAGAGTAACGGGTGATCCGCACATGGTTTACAGAGGTACTTGCCCACCATCCACACACGTGCACTTGAAGCGGATGAAACTAACATTTTCATCTTTGCCTGTAATATGCATACCCGTCCAGCAAGCCGATTCAGAATGAGGTAGCACTCTAGAGGCTGTAGGTAGGTACCGAAGTTAAAGATGTTGCGTGTATTGTGCAACACGAGCCTGGAAGTTACCTAGGTACTCATGCGGCTTCTGCCTTTCGTTGACGTCAAAGGCTTGACTGAGCCGTATCCATCAGCAGTGCCACTACGGGTCAAACTTGGGATTGCCCAGGACATGAAAGGCTTGTAAGAACCTAATTTGGAGAGCAGGTATGATGACACACAAAGCCTTACTGAATTCGAGTCTTGAAAACTCGAATCATGCCACTTGCTTGAGGCGAGCTATGTACCTCAAAGCTTATAGTATCTTTTAGGCGTCGGTCAATCACGTGGGAGCTGAACATGAAAAGCTAGGCAAGTGGCACATACAGTAAGTGAAATGGAGAGAGAGCGGCTGTGTTCTCACAGTAAGATGAAGACTACTATGGTGTATTAACACAGCATCAATACCCATAGTGAACAGCTTGGGCAGAGGCCGCTTGTTCAATAAATGATGCGGTTTCACTCATTCGACATACCAAGCTCTCTGAGCAGCAGTGGATGCAGTACTGCAAACGGTTCTTCATCCCTTGATTCATTAGCAAGAGGCTTCCTAGGGTTAAACTCCCTACCATTGACGTGGCGCAGACAAACCCACGTTTTCGCTCGTCGATGTCCAAGGACTGTTGGGATGAAATTCTGCACTTGCAGGATTTGTCTGCTCCCATGGCGAGCCCAACGGCTATGAGTAGTATATTGACAGGGAGGCAGGCCGTTGATGTTGTGCCTCTGAAATTCGGCGTAAAGTGAATGAAGAAACCCAGAACCCGTCACGAGTGACAAGCCGAGCCATCGCCACAGGACTGATGGCAGTGCCTCCACGCTTTTTTTCTATGGGCCATTTCTAAACCCGCAGCCGAAACGACCACGACTCCAGAAACCAAAGGGTCGTTTCTCTTCGAGAAAGCCAAGGGCGGTGTAGTCGCGTATGACCGGGCCTGCCATGAGAAGCAGAGGCCAAGCGTGCAGTTAAGCAAGGGATGATGGCGACCTTTGTGCTAGTCTCGATCTGGTGTTTTGTTCTCTGCCGACTACCCTCTTCACTGACTGATCACCATTGGGGAGCAAATTGCCTCAAAAGGCGCAATCAGATGTAGATGACGGAGTCATTATCCAGTAGTAAGTGATATCAAAGGAAGCAATGGGTGGCCGTGTGTTTCGGTGCTTCTTGATGGAGGGCTTACATAGAAGAAGGCATTCGGAGACTGGTCAAAAACTAAGTCTGGATTTATCGGGTCCAAACAGTAGTGGTCAGCAGGCACAAAGTGAGACGGGCGAAATACTAAAGTCTGGAACCCCCTTCCCCCCGCCGCGAAGACGGTTCTCACGCGACCATTGCAAACGACATTTGCGGTTTCTCGCTACTGTGTGAAAGACAGAAAAAAAGAAGAGAACAAAAAGGCGACTGTACCGAGTCCTTTTTGAAAGGTTTCGAGACTCCCCCAGCCCCCTTAGCAGATCCGCTCCATTCTTTTTCCTCGAGGTTCCATTTCTCGATGCCTGCTGCGTGCCCCTCTTGCTCTCTTCCCCGACCTTTCTCCCCCCCCCCCAGCTTCTCGCCCTCTTGGTGGTGGTGGCAGGCCAAGCAGACGATTGTCACTGTGTTTATGTGCAGTCAAAACCTCGCAGCAAACCAGATCAAGTCAATGCGGGCGTTGTATCAGCGGCTTCATCCTCAGAGATGGTAGGCTCACAAGGGTTTCCGTTTGTTTTTAAGCTGGTGTGTCTGTCAGATTCGGATGCGTGCATCTTTGTGATCTTTGCCCTGGGCGAGTTGGGCGAGATAGAACCTTTTACACGAGGAGGTTAACCAAAAGTGTTTGTTCGCCGCGGGCCGGAGCGTGGGGTGAACCCCCCCGGTAGGACCACCCCGATTCGAGTCGTTCAGAGGTCCAGTATCCCGTCCCGCGTCCCCCGCCATCCACTGCAGTCTGAAGTGGACCCGTGACGAACTCCACAAGCACAGCATACGTACTGTGTAGGTACGCTACGAAGTACTTGTAAGTAAGTGTAGGTAGGTAGGTAGGTATGTACTAGGTCTTAGTAGGTAGGTACATCTCCCCGCCCGCTACGAGCCGTCCGTACGCTTTTCATCATTAACGCGTTTTGTTATGTATGTACATACCTACATTACCCTTGCACCGCAGTGCACCGCATGGATTTGTGATTGCCTGCACTGCACGACGCATGGATTCCAGTTGTTAGGTGCCTAGGTGTACACTTTCACGTTTGCGCTAGTCAATATTGCACACATCTACATAGTACAATTTCTGTATTGCCGCCTGCCTTAGTACCTCTATGCTTCCTTGCCCACCCAGCAACCGTCGTCGTCGCGACGGGGTCTGCTTTTCCTCACAATCTCTTTTCTTCTCCTAGACGCGCCCAGTCAGAAAGCCGTTTGGCCAAGCCATTGTCATTGCCGTTGACCGTGGAAGCTGCCCGCGTTACTGCCCCTGCCGCACCACTCGACGCCCTCGACGGTTCCGCAGCGAAAGCACGTCGGGAGAACCGAAACTTTACTCATCACGCCCACTCCTCGTCCGTTCCCAGACACTTCGAGCTCCCTCGACCCCCGAATCCTTCGCATTTCTTACGCACCACGGCTTTCGCGACCCCTCCCAGTGTTCTCGTCGTGTGCTCTGCACAGCTTCTTCTTCGGAAACATCACTCTACCTCTGCCCCACACGACTTGTCACGAGCTTTCCAACCAATTACACTCCTCACAATCAGACGAAAAAAAGAAAAAAACAACCACACTACCTTCACGCTGTACCGAATATATGCCTTCGCGATAGCGGCAGTCGTCTTCCCAACACAAGCCCGCCATTGAGCTTCCCCCTGTTCAGAGATCGCCAACGTCTCGCGGCCGTTGCCGATTTGTTGGTAACCAGCTGGGTTGCCCACCACGCTCAAGTGTGCCGAAACATTGGCCCTGGACAGGTCTTGGATGCTTCCCGAAAGCTACCATCATGAGTGACATATCAGACTCCGAGCTAGAGGCTACCCAAGGTAGGCTCGTTCCCATGTTCCCTCTAGCATGTTTGATGCTGTATTACCTTGATCTAACCATTGGGACTCGTTATGGCAGCTACTCAAGAGATGCTCGACCCTCGCCGGCTTGGGGAGCAACACACGGGCTTTTCTGACCAGGACCTAGCTGATATCATATGCATCCTTATCCCGTACACCGATGGTGCAAGGAAAGTGGTGAGAAGGATGGTCGATGTCGCCCCCGCATTCGTCATGGGGCGGAATGATACAAACCGAATCCATATGGACTTCGGCAACGACGATGAGTACACGTTCACACTTGCGCCTACAGACCCTTCGGAACATCACCTCGCCTTTCGTTTTTCGTCCGAGCTCAAAAACCCTCGCGATGGCTTCGTTTTGGGTCGAGATTCCGAGTGTGATGTCATGGTCGGCCATAAAGACACAACCATCAGCAGGAAGCATTTCAAGATTTACTTCAACGAGCATGGCAGCTTGATGATTGAAGATCTGTCATTTATAGGCACATTAGTAAACGGGCAATGGTTACGTTCAGGAAGAAGAACTCAGGCGAACCCAAAACCCAAAGCGAACCCAGAACCCAAAATGTGGACACTAGGGAGCGGATCGGTGATAAAGATTCTCAATAGCAAGGCAGCGACGAATGAAGAGGAAAAGCGCAAGAACGACATTGTCTTTCTGGTTAGGGTTCCGAACCGCCATGGTAGGCACGCCGAGGCCTATCGAGAAAACCTAATCAAATACTTGTTGCAACGAACGGAGGTGGATGTAAACAAGACGATCGTGCCTGGACCAGGGGGGCGGGTAAGTCAATGTCCACATCCATGTTAACATGCATCTACTGACACTTCACAATACAGGTTGACCTTTTCAGAGACTCTCCGCAGGAGTTCGCAGTCCGCGCTCCTGTGATTGCCACGCGTCAGCTGTCACCATTACCCATGCTTGGATCTAACGGCGTGAGTACTTGGAAGGGGTCTGATAAGTACAACTTCAAAGGCAAAATCGGGCAGGGTGCCTTCGCTACGGTGTATATGGTTACCGACAAAATGAATGGACGTCCGTATGCGGCCAAAGAGCTCGAAAAACGGAGGTTCATGAAAAATGGAGTGCTTGACCAAAAGGTCGAGAATGAGATGAAGATCATGCAACGAGTATCACATGTAAGTCACTATATCATCCAAAGGCCAGAGTTGATACATTACTCGCATCAACCCGACTCCACATGGCTAACGTGTTACCTACAGCCGAATATCGTTCAGTTCAAGGAGCACCTGGATCCTGATGATAAACACCTTTACATAATCATGGAGTTTGTCGGTGTCGGTGACGGTGATTTGGGAAAGTATATCGGCACAAACGGTCCCTTTTCCGAACCAGATACCAAGACGATAGCGAGGCAGTTGGTAGACGCTCTTGGGTATCTGCATGATATGAACATTACTCACCGCGATGTTAAGCCCGACAACATCCTCATTCAATCCCGGTTCCCGCTAGTCGTCAAGCTCTCAGATTTTGGGCTTTCTAAAATGATCGATCACGATGCAACATTTCTTAGGACGTTCTGCGGTACCTTGCTCTACTGTGCGCCCGAAGTTTATGCAGAGTTCGAAGAGTACGATGAACTTTGCGAGCGAAAGACGCATCGCAGCTACCCGCGCCAACCTCGCCGGAGCCAGAGATACGATCATAACGTCGATATCTGGTCCTTGGGCGGTGTTCTGTACTTCGCCTTGACAACTCAGCCACCGTTCCCTGCCCGAAACGGTGTCGGTCACACTGAGTTCCTGCACCAGATTATGACAACTTTTCCCGACTTCGACCAGCTCATCAAGGCGGATCCCCCTGTTTCACTTGAGTGCCGCGATTTCTTGAAGCAAATGCTCAGTCGAAGACCCGAACATCGACCAACGGCAAAGATGTTGCTGAGCCATGAATGGATCCGCACTCCCCACTATTCTCCAAATGTCGCACTGTCTTGCTCACAAACTGGCGGAGTAGACGAGCTGCTGGAAGCTGAAGCGTCTCAGCTGAGTTTAACAGACAGACCGGCAGCGACACCGGTACGAGAGGAGGAAGGAGATGTCACCGTTGCGAGTGATGACAACTTGCTTCCAAAAGAGCATATCAATGACGCAGAGCATGTCAGTGGCTCGGAGGAGGATAAAGAGAACCACGCCTTCAGGCCGGCCACTCAGACCAAGCATTTGTTTGGTGAGGTTGGCCAATCGGCGCTGGGAAGCCAGGGGGATGTGATTGCAGAACGCATAAATCTGCCCGCCACGCCAAAAAGCGGAGGAACTTCCAAGCTGTTCAGGTCCAAAGCTGAGATTCCAGATAGTCAAGATAATTCTGAGGACGAGGGAGACATTCTGGGTCAAGATGTTCTAGCCGGGCAGTGGCCACAGATACTTCTGGGTGATTCACAGGACTATTCTGCTTCGTCTGACCCGAACGCGCCAGTCGACGTGCCTCCCAAGGGTAATTTGCAAAGCCTGGAGGGTGCTGCGAGCATAATGGGCCAACTCGAGATGCAGTCCTGCCGTGGCTTTGTTACCCCATCGGTTGGAGCTGACTCGATGAGGAGCAAACGGAAATCTTCCTTTGCAATAAACACCAATCCAAGGTCGTCGACTGACAATGAGCCTGTTTCTAAGAAGCGCCGATCTAACAGGGTCGGTGATATTCTGAACCGGGAGATAGCACCCATCGAGAACGAAGATGAGTTACTCGTCCAGGTGCCCCCGATCAAGACCTATTCAGAAAAGGTCACATCACCTAATCCGGAACCACAACCCAAGTCAGCGTACTGGGACAGCCTGGACCCATCTAGCAGTCATTTAAACTATCCTGAGATGACAGTGGCACAATGGAACGCCTTCCGTTTAGCGGCTGAGGACAGAAATAAAAGAGATAAGTCAAACGAAGAGTTTGCACCAGGCAAAAGCCCATTATGGGCTCTGGCGGAGAAATATTTTCCGCCCATGAGCAAGATCAAGACAGATCTACCCCTTCTGTGGACTTTGGCAAAGGAGAGTGGGGTCGAGACAGGGACACTTAAACGAAGACCCAAGGAAATTGCAGCGTGGGCCTACTTACGGTCGTCAGACGAGTCCATACTACCTGGCATTTCGATTAGACTCAGCACGTCGATAGTCACCTGGGGCAGTTCACCCGAGAACACCCAACGCTATGAGAACAACGAAGGCTATCCCGACAAGCCTGAAAATAAGATACCGGAATGCGCGTTGAAGATCATGGTCTGGAGGGAAAATAATTTTGACCCCTCAATCCGATCTGTGCCCTGGACTCAATACTGGGGTGATAACAAGGACTTTTACTTTTACATCGCCACTAAGGCCGCCGACGGAATTTATGTCAACGGCCGACCCTTACCTTCGAATGATCCCGGTGAACGAGAGAGCAGCTGCAAGAACTGGATGCGACTATACAACGGCGACAGGATTATCGTCTGGAATGATCCCAACGACGATGGCACCCTCAACAAGATCGAGTTCGTCTTTGAATGCAGCTGGGGCGGCAGTCAATTAAGCCGAGAGTCCTCCGTACACAGAACGCCAGAATTGGTGAGCGAAGAGGTAGCTAAGAAGCTCGATAAGATGTGCGTCAAGGCCGAGAAGAGTATCAAGAAGTTTTTACAGGTCCACGAGATGTACCCGGAGGATTCGACGGATTGCGACGAGCGTAAGGCACGCATCAAGTGGGAGCAAAGGTTGTCGCGAAACTTTGAGAGACAGGTTCAAGCGGCGAAGCAAGCCAGGTATGGTGGAAGCTATTCTTCATTTAGTAGCTCTCATTCCGGCTCGCGGCAGTCCTCGCGGCAGTCATGGTCAGATCTTCGCATTTGACTGAAGTTCTTGTGATTTTCTGTTGCATTTTTTTTTTTTTTTTCTTTGGTCTTTTTTGTTATATCTTTTCTTCTTCTTCTTTTCTTTGGATATATAAAGGTGACTGTGGGTGTAGGGATGGGAAAAGATGTCACGAAGTTTAGATTTGTGCCCCACCCATTATTACCTTCCACCCCTTCTGTTGCTGGCCTGTGAAGCTACCGATGCCTTGACTTCATATCCTGCTACATTTATAACTTCATCTTTCGGAGCGGGAGCATGACAGATAGCGAGAATGACAAAATCACTTTGCAGGATTGGCAGAAGCGCACATACTGAATCGAAATACTATGCATGAGTGACAGTAAGGAGTGAGCAGATATCTTTACCACCATCCTCCCTCCTGAATACCATATAATGCGAGACGAGCATTTCAACACCCCAGGTAGTTGTGAATCGCAATTCATGCAATATGTAGGTACATACGATCCATCACCACCTATTTCCTAAGTAGACCACTCGAGCTCCGAGTCCTGGCGACTTATGCCTGGCCAGCTATCGGACTGTTCATGTTTTTCCTACTTGCCACAGACGTGTCATGCCACCTACTTCTTCGTTCAACGTTGAGCCAAGTCCCCAGCCCCTAATGACCATATAAGGGGCCTTCACACTAGCTAGTGGCCGTCCTACCTATGTGGTACCTTTACCTGGGGACACTCCATTCTACGGAAAGTAGTACGTGTTACAATTGAGGCTCCAAATGGTTCACCACTTCTATAAACGAGCGGTTGGTGTCCTTCTCCCCAAATCTTTATTTATCTATCTGTATTTATCTATTCATTTCTTACCTTGTTGGTTTGAAGAGGAGAGGTTATATGTTTGAACTAGTCAGTCAGTCGTCGGTAACCGTTTTTCTTTTGTTCTTGTCTAAACTCACTTGCACACTAACCAGTAAGAGAAGTGGTGCTCGTATGCATACACGGTTTTAGGAAGAAGACTTGCTACTAATATAACATGAGGTGAAACACACCGAATCAAGACCCGTAGCCGACCGCTGCTTGGACACCATGATGGAGTTGCTCTCAACAGGTTGATCTAATTGATGAAATAACACAAAGACAAGCCGAAAAGGGAATGCATAAAATACCAACAATAATGAAATCGCCAACAACCATTGTCACCTCCGTGGGGTTTTAACAAGACTTGCTGCAGGCAACATTCGAGTCGGTCGTTACTGCCTGAAGAGTCTGCCTACTTGCTTTCAGATTATACTCCAACTCCTTCTCCGAAATGACGGACCTTCCTCTCCTCTCCAGTGAGTGCTTCCTCCCCCTCAGTTTCCCGTTTCCCCACTTGCCCCTTTCCCTTTCCCTTCCCCTTCATCCTTCCCGTCCCAACATCCCGTCACGCCAGCCTCCATCAAACAATAATAACTACCTACCAAAGTAGATATGTAAGTACCGGGTTAAAAACTCCCACCACCGCCATGCCTATTCCCATGACTATCCAGTCCGTGACTGGTACCGCCGTTACCCCACCCCAAATCCATTCCACACCCCTCCATGCCGTCCATACCCTCCATGTTCCCCATCGCCATGAGCGATCGCAGCACACTATTCGGCGTCATACCACCACCACCACCATCGCTGCCGACGCCTATATTCATGCCCATCCCGACGCTGGAACCCATCCCGAGGTTGCTGCCATTATTGGAGTTACCAACAATGGTGTTGGCGTGATGGTCGGATGCCGTCCTCGCTAACCCCGAATTAGTCGTATTTTCCGGAGCTACCTCAACGCCCGGCATTCCAAAGGCAGTTGGATCGAGAAAGAAACCGACGGCTGCGGCAGGGCATGGATTGATGTCCAGAGCAGTGCTAGTAGTGGTGGTGGCAGTAGTTGCAAGAGCTGTCGCAGCCGTGGTTATGGTAGGATTTGTAGAGGAACCGGGGGTTATGGGGCTGGTGCTGTGATTGTTGTTGCTATTGTCAAAGGACATGGAAGATGAAGATCCGCCGGATCCGCTCATATGTCGGCCATCGTTGGTGGGTGCTAGTCCTTGTACTTGCCCTTGTCCAGGTTCTTGCTGGTGATAAGCGTGGGGGCGAGGGTGAGGATGAGGATGATGGTGTGGATGTTGATGCTGGTGCATTTGGTGATACAGATGGTGGTGATGGTTCGAAGATGATGTGCCAGAATTGGGCGTGGGCTGGTTAGAGTTTGGTGAAGGAGTGGACAGCGGGACGCCATCGCTATTTCCCCCGGTGTCGGGATCGCGAGGAGGACGAGTCTGATAATTCGGAGCGAGCGAGATGTTGTTCGGCATCCTGCCGTGAATAGATGTGGCAAAAGCTAGACCGCCGGTCCTGGCAGAGCCGCCGCCGTGTTGCCCGCCGGCGGATGGAATGGGACTTCGCTGCTCGACTGATGATGACCAGTCTGGTGCGGTGTTCCTGCTTGAGCCAGGGAGCTGAACAAGAGGGTCGTCGAGATCAACGGGCTCGACCAGGTTGGGGGCGTTGACGGGGTTGCCGTCGTCTTCGACGGTTCGGAGGAATTGGCATTCCTGGTGGTACATGTTCCCATGTGTTGTCGATGCGCCGAGTCCGGTCCCAGGTTTCATGTGGGCTCGTGATGTGTGCTGAAGTTACGGTATCGTTACTTAGTATTGACTGCCTAAGGACATGTAGAGAAGAGAAGCACGAGACTTACACCATCGTTACTTCTTGAGAAGGCGTTTTTGAGCTTGGGAACCTTGGCACCAAGAGCTTCAAGGTCTACGTCAAGCTGTACTACGAAGGATTCAGTAAGGGGATTCTTCCGCTTCAATGCGTTCATGGCTGACAGCAGGAACCGAAGAGAGTCGGCTACCTGTCCATCGTCTGGACGGCTTTTGAGGAACTGCACAAATACTCTTGCTGCAACATAGAGACAGAACGACATATTTGGATTCAGCTGTTCATCAAGTCAGTCAACCCGTTGATGATGCCTTCACGGGATGAAACTTACCCTATCCAAGTCAAGGTGAGAGGCCATCCTCATGATGCTTGCAATCTCGTGAGCCGAGGTAATACATCGCATCTTACACTCAGTACTAACGCTGGCAGGTAAGTTGTTCGTGTCTGCTTTGAATATCGCTGCTTGGTGCAAGCAAATAGTCGACGTGTGAATGCACATATTTGTGAAGACGACGTTTGGATTGGCCAGACCCTGTGGCAGCTTGAGGGCAGATGGTATACAGAGCGAAACATTGAGAAGGATGTTATCCATCTGTCTATGCCTCTTCCAAAATTCGCCATTGAGGTCATCATCTCGGTCGTCCTCGGTCGGCCGGTGGAGGTGGATAAGGTTTCTGCCAAAGAGGTACGCCAGAAGGATGACACCGCCAAAAGACGATAACTTACCAGGACCCGTATGGAGCGTCACATCATTCAAGCTCTGGGTCTCCTGGGGGTGACTCAAGTCGTAGGCCTCGTCGGAGGCAGGAAGGTCGGTGAGAATGTCTTTCTCATCAATGATCATCGGCCAACCCGTCCCGATGCTGGCGTAACGGTCCTGACAGAAGGCCATCCAAAAGGTTCGTCGGCGCTCTTCCTTTTCTGTCCAATCTCGTGGGGGCGGTAAGCACTGTTTCACCTCCAAGTCACCACCATCAACTCGATAGAGGCCCATCCTAGAAAAGTATGAGTACGTGATACAGGTTGAAGTAAGGGCTTCTGTAGGGACTTGACCTACATCTGGCATAAGCGTACGGCCGAGCCTATACTCATCCACGCTCGCGGAAAATACATCCATTTGAACTCGTAGGATGCCAGGAGCACATAGGTCTGGCAATGTGACACCGTTATCATGTGTTCTCCAAAGCCTTTGATGGTATCCAACTCCAGATACTTCCTGGCCCTCTGATAGAACAGCTCTTTCAAATCGAGGAACCGGTCTGACACCGAGCAGGCCAGTGTCCACATAGCATAGCGTAGACACACTGGTGGCCGCTGATTTGGGGCTCTGTCATATACAAATGTCAGCAAACTCATGCCTACGTAGACTTGCACAGTGCAGAGAAGCAAATTGAAGTTTTTGAACGCGCATGATGATTAGCCAGAGAGGACAATGGGTAGGTTGTCTTACAGATTCATCGCATGGAAGTAACGGGCGCGGTGTATCATTGGGAGGGAAGGGTGTATTTTGTCAAAGTATACTTGGTGCCTACAATCAGGTTCGTTAGTAGACTTGACAAGTTAACAAGTCACTTACTCCTTATGGACATGGTGGAAGGGACTTGCAGCTCGTCGATGGTTTCCTGGGGCGGTAATGGCTCCTCCAGTCCTAGGCCTATCATTTCCCAGGTAAAGTCGCCGCCAATACTACTCATGCCTAGTCCCAAGTTATTGCCCAAGTTAAAGTCATCCAATCCTGTGCTGCTCGGATCGCCATGGAACTGCCACTGATCCATGCTCTCCTCTGTTGCCATTCCACGGGAAGGGCCCGGAACGTTGAAGTTGGCGGCCGCGGCAGCAGCATGTTGACTTGGTTGGCTGAGTCCACTACCATCGACGATATTCGGTGCTATTGGGTTACCGTCTGCACTCAGTCTCGGTGCTTCCTGCGTCTTCAGCAAAGTCTCAACTTGCTCTGCGAGCAAAAGAGGAGAGTCAGCAAACTGCTTTCATCACCGAAGCCAGGGGACCGGACACAGTTTGTAAAACAGCGCACTTAATCGTTCCGCCAAGGCCTTGAGATGACCCTTCTTGGGACCACTCTTCTTTCTCCTCTCATCGTAGGCGCATACATGGCCGAGACGCGAGCAAGTGCTGCAACTTGGCTTGGTGCCATCGCACTTGAGTTTCCTCCTTCGACATATCTCGCATGCCAGTCGTTTTTGCTTTGGGGTACTTGAGTTCACCCCAGCAGTCGCACCCCCTGCAGTCTCTTCGGCGTTAGTGGGCTTGTTGTTTTGGGTCTCCGAAACCATCATCGTATCCGGAGGGTTGGCGGAGGAGGGTGCCATGTCGAAAATGTTTTGCTATGAGGCGAACAGGGCTTGAGTCGTCGAAGGAGCAACGAGTTTCTCAACGTTCTGTCAAGCGGGTAAGGTTAACCCGTTGCTGACTGTTGAAGATGTACAGCAAGTGCACCTGCTCCAGTCCAGGCAGCTAGACGAATACGCAATGAGGAGAATGGAGTCAAGATTGATTCGACAAGGCAAAGGTTCCAAAAAAAAGTCGAACGATTGATACTGTTGCTTCTCCCTTTAACCAGCTTCTGAGGCATAGAGTTTCGGTCACACTCGATGATCCTTCATCTGAATGGGGAGGTGTTGGAGCTATGGGAAAGTAAGCAAACGAAGATATAGGTTGGCAGGTGAACGGCTGATGTGGGTTGAAAAGGTAGGGTTTAGGGGGTCTGGAGTACGATAAGCTTAGGTACCTACCTTGAGTAGCTACTTTGAGGCTACCTATTGTGTGTCCGGGTTGATAAGGTTGTCGAATGGCTTGTGAAGGTTTAACAGAGAAAGGAAGTTTCCCCACCGACCTCACCATAAACCAAACGTCCTGTCGTTCGAGTTGATGGTTGGTCGCAGCCGTTGACTACGAGGGCGCGTAACCTCCCGAGCCTCCTAGGCCACCTCGGCCACCTAGAGTAGACCCAGGCACATCAGGGCCCAATGTAGAGCTAGATAGTGAGTGGTGTTAATCCGGGTACTTCCGTTTGCTTGTATAGAATACCTTACTTGCTGGACCTCTGGAACGCTCTAGCTGATGTGAATGGGTAGTACCTCAACTGCTACCCTGTCTACATACTAAAACGTGGATGACTGTTAGGGAACGGGACCTAGAGCTTGGCAATACGTTAACACCAGTCCTCGAAGCCATGTCAAGCTGGATGCACTTTCAGCTACTACAACTAAGTGAGGTAGTCTGTGGTCTTCTCGCCGGTCAGTGTTGTTCTCATAGAGTGTCGTACAAGGTATAGAATTGGCTCAGCTGGTCAGTGACACTGCTCTTTTAGGCCGGTTGACCACAGAAGCCGGATTTGGTCCCTAACAGACATGAACAGTGGCCTGAAAGGTGTAACGTTGAGGCTCTGCAACTGTTAATGACTATGTTTTTGGGCTTGAAAATTATACGCTAGAAGAATTGATTGCGTCCAACAACTTCTTTAGTAGTATTACGAAACTCGGAGAAACTGTATATGTGGGACACTCGTCGCGTGTAACTTGAGGGCGTGCTTCGCTGGAGTTATCTCGAGAATTATGTACCTGACCCATGATATTACGTAGCGCACCTGCGTACCCCGTCTGGTCATCCCTGTTGTGGCTAGATTGTCAAACAGTAGCTTTGTCCAATCCAGTTCGTCGTATGCACCCTCCCTAACATATAGAGGTATATATCGAAGTCGGGACTTGGATCCGCTATGACCTGCCCTTTCTGCTACCCACAGCCTTCGGGACTCTGCAAGGTTTCTCTGAAGACACTGGAATGAATCACAATCGCTGATGAAAACAGAAAATCAAAGCAGGGAAACGAGGATTCTTCAGCTATCTGAATCACGAAACTCACCAAAGCCCAGTGGGCCTGTAACCACGGCGTAGTCAGGGCATCTGTCTTTGTTCTCCCTTGCCTTGCTAGGTGTGAACATAACCCCATATGCATATCTCCCTGGTTCCCACTGACGGAACTGCCTTGACTCTTCCATTATTGAGATTTGGCGGTCCGGTGGTTTTCTATCATAGCTCCCGCTTGGTAGGAAGGACCTCGTTGTGATTGCCTATTGCGGTATGCCTCCCAACAAAGCCTGCTTTGGATTGACTCAGCCGAGACCGGCTGGATCCATTAAGGGACACCTATTGACCCTTCTCGTTGCATACGTGGGGTATGGCATAGTCCATCAGCTGTATGCTGCCAATACGACCACCTTTGGCCTTTGGCTGTTGCACGGTGCCATAGCACGCTCATTCTACTGTTAAGCAGCGGAAAACTTTCAGAGCATCACTCTCTCTACAGTCTGCTCACTTTCTATCCGTGTCCACGCCGATGATGCGGAGTACGCCTAGATCACTGTAAGCAAGGCAGTATCTGGTAGGTGCCCATGCCACTGCTTCACAAGTACCAGCTGTCTTGAAGGTGTGGACATGCTCGCCCGTCTCGGTATGAGTAACTTCCAAGCTTCCACCTATTGAGCGAGTTAGCATTCTCCATCACAAGTGCATGACCAAAGAGTAGATGACGTACCTTCTTCACAGCCACCGACCACATAACTCCCATCAAATGTGAAGCCTGGGGATGTGTTTAGTAACGAAACGACTCCGGTGAGCAAACGGGGTGAGGTACTTATGCTTTTGACCGGCCCAACCATGCGGGTTACTGTCCGCTGGCAAATCCAGTCTTTGGTGTCAAACAAGGAAATGATGGAATCGGCGCCTCCCGTTGCCAGGTATTTGCCCGTGGGAGAGAGCTCAGCCGTTAGGCAAGATGCTGTATGGCCTTTGAGGGTGAATTCAGTCGATTCGCCCTCGGGGACGGCGTAGTTCACATGCAGGACAGGTTCAAAGTCGGGGTAGGACAAAATGCGTATCCTTCCTTCGTTGGTGGGCAGAAACACCTTGTCACCACTCCAACAGAAAGCCATCTGATTTGTGCCGACCGGTTGATGGTGGGTCGAAATGATGGAAGACTGGGAGGGCAGAATGTGGAACAAATCACCATTCTTAACAACGGTCAGCCTGTGGATTCTAGACTATGGAACTTGCAGAACACCTACCTTGCTACCAACGAGTAAGGAGGATCCATCGGGTGCCCAGGCCAGGGACGTGGCGTGTCCAGAAACCTTGACCTCGTTGACACATGCCTTTGTCCTTACGTCCCAGATCTTGACAGCGCCATCGCTACTGACGCTGCAGAGTTCAGCATCCTTGACAGGGTTGAAGGCGACTTTTTCAATCGGAGAAGCGTGACCTTTGAGTTCGGTTGAAAATTTGACATTGGGCTTCTCGGGATTCCAGACACGAAGTGTCTTGTCAACAGCACCAGTGGCAATAAGAGTTCCCAAGGGGTTCCAGGCTATTGTGCTTAGGCTAGCAAGTGACCGCCGTTAGTGAGGAACGATATATGACCGTTTTGGATTATGGCGGCATGGAAAAGCTCTGGCAATGATGGGCGAGGTACCTGTGATGGCTTCCACCACCCCCCCGAGGCCCGGAGGTGGTGTCGTTGTAAGACTGACTCTTGAGGGGTCCAAAGTACGCCGAAAACTTCTCCTTGGGCAAGCTATATCTGGGGCGTAGAAGTGGAGCCATGCTGCCGTCTTGTCAAGTTCTTTCCAAGCCGACCTGTCAGTTCAGCCTGGGATTCGGAAAACGTGTGGAAAGGGTGAGGTGGTAGAGGTGGCTGTTGGTATGGTTAGCTAACTCCGTACGCAGTGAGGCTGAAGTCAACGTATTTCAAGTCCAGTTGGGTAGCTGGATGAATGATGATTCCGTCGTCAGTGGAACGTGAAGACGGGATGTCAAGGTGCCTTGAGGATGAGAACAAGGGCGTCAAAAAATGAGAGGAATGAAGAAAGTGAGGATCGAAAGGTCTTTCATGCCTACCCGGTAAGGTAGATCTTGGGAAGAGCTCGAGATGCTTTGTTATTTGTCCAGTCGTTACCTAAGTCGTTCGTTCAATGGATTGCATTGCGGTTGTTGTCTGTGCACTAGGTACCTAACGCAAGGTACATCCAACACCTAGGTGGAGGTGGTGGCTGCTCGCAAGGGGTTTGATCGGACGCTGGGGCCTTCGACTGACATGGAGACACTACCTAGTGTAGCGCGGCGCCTATAACCGGCGCCGTTTACAGCATGTAGTCTGTACTACAGCGTGGACGTACTTCCCCGGGCATCCAATTCGACACCTACCGTCTGCTCCCCTGTTCACGGAACGCCCCAGGGCAACTTGGTTGAATATCCATCTACCAGAACACGGCCCCATCAACACCCGACGACCTCACTCGGCACCATCACCACCACTACGGGACTCGGAGCCCACGATTACCTCCTGTCCCGCCTAGAGTGCCACTCCAGGCTCGACATGATTTGACTCTACGATCGACAACAAGTATTGAGGCTGTTGATGCGCATGAGGCCGCCGTGAAGGCATCGGCTTCGGAAAGCCATGTACTGGCCTATTGGAACTCCTCGGATATATGCGACAAGCGCCAGCTGCCCGCCATCCTGTCCTCACCTTTACTCTCACGATGGGCTACCGGCCCCCGATCAAAGACCTACCAGGGCCTCTCTGCTGTCCCCAGGTCCCGCCGCCGACGGTCACGATGCCTCGAGTGTCCCCCCTACGCCGATCACTCCGGTAGCACCTTTCACACCGGCCATCAAGTCCGTCGAGCACGACTACTACGATGACGGGCAGTCTGAACCACCATCTCCACCTCCTCCAGAACCCTCGCGTTCCAATGCTCCGCCCAGGGAACCAATACTGGCTCTTCGAGTTGCCAGAGCTGGCCACTTGTTCGCCGTCATCACCTCGACATCAATGACCATCTGGCAGACAAAGGTAGACTCTCAGCATGATTCCCTTCTCCCTTCGATTGGATTTCCGCCCTGCTTACTCATGTGTTAGCCAACGGTTGTGTTGGCTGTTGTTGTTCGATCCGAGGCGTCACTCAAGTCCTACGGTACCAACACGAACTTGATGCTGCGTCCGGACGCCGCCATATTTGTCGTGCGCACAAGCCTGGGCTATCTGATCACCTACTCTCTGGCTACCGATGCCGACTCCCGAGTCTACAAACCCCATTTTTCCAGTCACACCAACGTCCAGAAACGGCGGCAAACCCACGCAGGCGGCCCGGGAGCGATAGCCCCCGACCAAATACTATGGGGCCCCGGTGAGGGATCGGGAGTTAGGGATGTCAGCGTTCGTTTCCGCATGGTTATAAAAGTGGACGCCGGCATTGAGAGTGCCCTGGCTTTGGACGACGAGTTGGTGGTGGCTACGCGGAAACCTGCGGCAGTTCAATGCATCCGATGGACCCCAGACAGCTCCGGAAGTCAGACCAGCACAGAGCTATTGAGCCGCATGGGCTGGGTTGACAAGAAGGTCATGGTTCGCGAGATGACTCATGACAGGCGCATGAACCTGTCCACATGGGTGACCAGTGACGGCAAAGCGTACGCTGTCCAGCGCATCACTGGCAGCCAACTAGAACCCGATACCAACCAGCCGCCCGACCCAAAGAAGCTTTTCAAGGGCTATTGCTTTTATACGCCGCAGACACCTGGTGAACAAGCCATACGTTGCATCGTCAATGCGGTCTTCTCTCTCATTGCTGTGGGCTGCGCAGATGGCAACATTCGCGTGTTTTCTGCAAAAGATTACTCTGGAAACATTCCAGCTTCTCACGTCCACAACCTCCCTGCTTCAAATAACACTTGTGGCAGACTTACAACACTTAGCTACTCTCCCGATGGCTATTGTCTTTTTGCTGGCTACGAAAAGGGATGGGCAACATGGAGTGTATACGGCAAGCCACTAAGTAACAGCTTTGGGGCCGATCAAACCATTGCTAGCACAACCGGGGAAGAGTGGATATCCGGTGTCCTGGACGCAGCCTGGATCGGAGGTGGCTGTGAATTGTTGCTTGTGGCGCGAGCCCATGAATCGATATGGCTGCTAGAGATGGCACGAAGCGCAGTGACCGGATGCTACAACTCTGCAAATCTCTTCCGGACCGTGCTTCAGAGCACTTCCAGCGTCATGGTCTATAGGGGATATGACCTTCCCGATCTTACTTCGATCTCGGCCGAACCTGGGCTGTGGCATACAGCTAGAATACCAGCCAGCTATCTTATGAACCATTGGCCAATCAGGTGTACTGCCATCTCCAGCGACGGCCGATATGTTGCAGTTGCGGGCAGGAGAGGCTTGGCTCACTATAGCGTTAACAGCAGTCGCTGGAAGACGTTTGCGGATGGGGACGCGGAGAACCAATTTATGGTAAAGGGTGGCATGTGTTGGTACCAGAACATCCTGGTTGCTGCCGTGGAGGCTAATAGAAGCTTCGAACTCCGTCTCTACTCGCGGGAGGCATCCCTCGATAGCTCGAACGTGCTACATACCCAAGAGATGTCGGCACCCGTTGTCCTAGTTACTCCCTCTGGCGAAGACTCGCTGCTCGTTTATACTTACGACAACCTCCTTTACCATTTCATATTTGCACCATTTGGTGGCACCGTTAGGCTGGTGGAAGTTGGTCACATAGCTTTCCATGGCATCATTCGATCACCCGCACGAGTTCGAGGTTTAAGCTGGATTTTGCCCGAGAGCCAGCTGTTAGACGGAGACCCATCCCAAGACGTGGCTCATGCTTCTGTCTTGTTCTTGGTTGATGGCAAGCTGGTCCTCCTTCGGCCCTCATACAATGAAGGCGGTCTCAAATACGATATGCGCGTTATTGCGAACAACCTCGAATTCTACGTTAGCATGAGGGACCAGCCATTTGTGGGCGGCGTCCTGACACCTTCCGAAAAGCAGGTCTTTACGGCTGCGGCTGACGACAGTTTACGTAATTCGCTATGGATCTTTGATGGTAGTGAAATCAAGACCTGGACGGATGTCGAGCCAGTTTTGAGGGCCACCTCTGGAGAAGCCACGAGAGAGCTTCCACCCATGACATCAATCCCTATCGACTTTTATCCCCTATCCGCTCTTCTCAGCAAAGCCATAGTACTTGGCGTGGAGTCCGATCTTATCCAGCGCCGTGATGTCAGCTTCTCCTTCTTCCGTTTCTCGATACGGGTAAGCCCTAGATCAGAATGCGTGGCATTTACAAGAATTTCCTGCTAACAATCCCAGACGCACCTCTTTCTACCCGATATACTGCGGTTCTACCTTAGTAATAACAGACCGATTGAGGCGTTGCGGTTAGCTCAGCAATATGAGCACCTTGAGTACTTTGCGCATGGACTGGAAATACTTCTGCACCATGTCCTGGACGAAGAGGTGGATGCCCATCCTCCGCCTGCTCCAGAACATGCCATCCTCCCACGCGTGCTGTCACTTCTCTCATCGTTCAAGCAGTACTTGGACATTGTGGTGCAGTGTACCCGCAAGACGGAAGTGCGTTCCTGGCGTACTCTGTTCGCCTATCTCCCTCCACCTCAGGAGCTGTTTGAGGAGAGCTTGCAGCGTGGCAGCCTCAAGACTGCTGGCGGCTACTTGCTCATCCTCCATACCTTTGACGAACTCGCAACAGCAAGCGAGCAGAGTGTGCGTCTCTTAAGCAGAGCAATGCGCGAGGGCGACTGGGAGCTATGCAAAGAGCTGGCGCGGTTTTTGGCAGCGCTCGATGAAACGGGGGACACGCTGCGTGAAGCAATGGAGCTGGCCAAGATGCGAGTGAAGCAGGAAAGTGAGCTGGAGGATGGCCATGGCAGCGTAGGCAGCGGGCTGGGCACAATGCTTGGAGTTCCTCAGGGTGGTGGTGTTAACGGTGCTTCCAGCACTACCAGCTCATTGATTTCCAATACCAAGGGGATCATAGGTAGTGACTGGGATGCTGACAGGCGGACAATCAGCGACGCCGGCAGCGTTGTCAGTGCTAATCGGTACGAAGGTTAATCAAGTGGCTTATGGAGGCCACATCCACATGAAAATTGGAAAGCGGATAGTTGGTTGTAGGGTTGTTGGATATCCATAGCCGTGGCGCTCACGATCCTACCAGAACGTCATTTTATGTTGAAGCGGGGGTCTTGAGCTCGAGACACATGTTGTAGGGCAACACAAATGTTATAGAAGTTTTCAAGATAATCTAGAACAGCTATAATCACAGGCGACTGGCGTTCCTATCCCCTTTTTTTCTCTGTTTTTTTTTTTTTTTTTTTTTTTTTTTTTTTTTTTTTTTGTTTTTTGGGGGGGGGGGGGGGGGGGCTTTTTTTTTTTGGCTTTTTTTCTTCCTTCTCCAACGATATACCTGCTCGAAAATCAGGTATAGACTCTAGCACTGAACGTCATGACGCCCAAGAGAATACCTACCTTACGGTAATGACAGAGTACATGCTTCCATCCCCAGTACCTGTGAACGTACAATTAGAGTCACACGCTGGGCGGTTGGGCTGACTGGAGGCCGACGAAAGGTACCCGCCCGCTACCTAGTCAGATGGTCGATTTTGCAGACCTGATAACCTACCTCTATGTAGTAGGTCGGGACTGCTGATAAACAGACTGCGATGAGCCAGGGGCGGGGGGGGCACTGCAACCTGCCCTGCGGGGACCACTGCAACGGCGATGAACCCCCCACCAAAAAAAAAGTCCCTTGTCATGGACTGTCAGCCTGTTTGGCTCCCGGTCCAGAGTCCAGACCCCCTCGCCTGCCCTGCCGTTGCCCTGCACCAGGGACGGCTTTGAACCCTCTTCCACCTGAACTCCCATCGAACCGTCGCAAAAAAAGCATCACAATCCTCTCCAACATCTTGTCGTCATTGTGCCTTGTGCCAGCTCCATCTCATCCGACTCGGACCTCCCACTCCCCATCTACGGCCCGGCGCTCATCAGTTCGGCCTAACAAAAGGTTCAAACGCCGGACTTCACCCCGGCACCCGGGATTTTGGCCTCGTTGATGCGAAGCGCCAGCCGACGGTCGTTCGCGCCCACTTTCCTCCCACCACCACCTTCCTCCCTTCTTTTTATGCGCCGAGTATAGACTTGGTGTCGCCGGCCATGGATGACTTCGTGAGCGAGTCTGAGAGTGACTATGCCAGCTATTGGCGCGACTGGGTATGCTTCTCTCGCAATTGTTGTTATTGTTTACTACAGTAAAGGTTCCCCAATCATGCTAACATTTGCGCGTCTGCCTGCAGTTTATTTCCTCGCGAGGCAATGAGTACTTTTGCGAAATTGACGAGGACTACATTACTGATAGGTTCAATCTAACCGGTCTCAACACTGAGGTCCAGTACTACCAATATGCTCTCGATCTCATCACCGATGTCTTCGACCTCGACTGCGATGACGACATGCGGGAAACAATAGAGAAGTCTGCTAGGCACCTGTACGGTCTTGTCCATGCTCGATACATTGTCACAACGCGGGGTCTTCAAAAAATGGTTAGTAATCAACCCTCAGCATCCCATCTTCATCCAGCGTCTCCTCGTCTTCATCCGTGACTAACGCACTTCCCCCCTCAAAACCAACAGTTCGAAAAGTACAAAAAAGCCGACTTTGGCAAGTGCCCGCGCGTCATGTGTTCCTCGCACCCTCTGCTGCCCATGGGCCTCTCGGACGTGCCCAACTCCAAGCCGGTGAAGCTGTACTGCGCGCGGTGCGAGGATATCTACAACCCCAAGTCGTCGCGCCACGCCGCCATTGACGGCGCCTACTTCGGCACCTCGTTCCACAATATCTTCTTTCAGGTATACCCGACCCTGGTGCCCGCCAAGAGCGTCGAGCGCTACATCCCGCGCTGCTACGGCTTCAAGGTGCACGCCGCTGCCGCTCTGGTGCGCTGGCAGAACAGCCAGCGGGACGAGATGCGTAGGCGGCTGAGGAAGCTCGAGGTCGAGAGCGGGTTCAAGGACGCCGAGGACGAGGCTGAGCTTGACGATGATGATGAAGAGGAGGAGGAAGAGGAGGAAGAGGAGGAGCTGGCTGCTATGGATGAGGCTGAAGGTGCCCAACAGCAACATGCGGCGGCGGCGGCGGCAGGTACAGCAACGGGAGGCGTTGCTGCCGGCGGTGAAGGCGTTCATTAGAAAGGGCCTGCTGCTACTGGAGGGGAAGCGGATGAAGAGTATTGGAATTCAGAAGCCACGATTGGAGCGGGCGACGAAGCTGATGATGAAGCTGAGCTACCAAACGAGCAAAACGAGCCAACCTATTGGCTGACACCTCTCATGTCTGCTGCTGCAAGGCTGCGACGGAGTCTCAGGCTAGGGGAGGACTATGAAGAGCAGGCTGAAGTGGAGTTCGATGAGTGGATGGAACAGGCGAGGTACGGGATCTTTTGAGGTGGTGAAATGCATATACCATACAGTATCGAGTAACGAAGTATGAGTACAGGTGTCTCTCTTATCTTTGTTTTTTTTTTTTTTTTGTTTTTATCCCCGCCCTCACCAGCCTCTACACAGCGGACCTCGGGATCGATGCGAATAAGGGAGAGCCATTGATAGAGTGTTCATGTTCTTTGGTCTAGCTATACGTCTTTTCGATTCTTACCAGACGATTTCTTCTCACCTTGCCGGCTTTGCTTCTCTTCGTCAGTGCTGAACTGCACCCTTCTCTGTTTCAAGCCTCCTAAGAACCAATCGTCAAATCGACGGGACATTGAACTTAACGCTTGAAACTGAAGGCAGTTTCTTAGAGTGTGAAAATCCAAAACGACCAGACCATATATCCAAGCGTCTACTGAGCAAAGATTCACAAGCGGTGTCATGCGGCAACATGAACCTGTCAAATACATGAACTGTTACTACAGTATAAACACTTTGATGCCGAAGACCAGTGTGCTCAAACTTCCCTTGAAGAGTAATCAGGCAGATATTTGTATATATGGATAGGTTCCTCATTTCCCTATCTCAAACGCCTCCTGAACATAAGAGAGACTGTACCAAAACCCATGTTGGTGACATAAACCATTTGCTGTTCCTCATGATTCCTCGTTTAGAGGAATAATCGCTTTTGTCATCAAGCCCACCCACCCGGGCCAAGTCCCTACTTCCGGAAAATGCACCTTGACTCTTCTGATCCGAGAATACATCGAAATCTACCCCTCATATCTGATCGTCATTTACCCCTCTCTGTAAGCCGTATCAACCTGTTCTCATTGATCAACGTCAAGCGACGGTGGTTTCCTCCCCGTGATGATCCCACCAGGCTGGTCCGGTCCCACATTACTTTCCAAACCGGTGCCATTGGCCCGTACCACGGGGCGCCCATAGCTGCTGCCGTGATCTAAAGAATCCGGACTCAGCGCCTCCTCCTCGTCTCCCGCGCGATAGTACTCGCCGACGTTGTGATCAGTCGAGTAGCTGTAACTGCCGACACCTGCCCAGAACGCCTTGTCGCGACTGCGCGGACCCCAAGCCCACCCAGCACCTTGCGAAATAGGCAGATGGTAGTAGCGGAACGAGAAGAAGGCACAGATCAAGCCGATGAGGTAGCCGAACAGGATGTCGAAGCCGTGGTGGCGGAAGTCGAACCAGCGCGAACTGGCGATAAAGATGGACGCGAACCACGGGATGATGCAGATCAGCAGCAGGTAGAGCGGCGGCGCGGCAGCCTGGAGGCGTACGGCGGCCACGGCGCGCGTGTGTCGCGCAAGACGCTTCTCCTCGGCCGCGCCAATGCTGCCGCCCGTGTAGGTCCGTCCGCCCCCCGAGCTTGCGGGGCCCCGCGGGGCCATCTCGTACGATTCGGGCCCACCCATGGCGGACGTGGCGGTGTTATGGCGAGTCCGCGAGGGAAAGGCGGAGAAAGAGGCGGCATCGACATTCGTGCCGGAGGCGAGGAAGGGAATTGTGATGGCGAACTTGCTGGCGATGAAAAGTGAGAGGTAGATGAGACCTGGTGGGATGTCAGTTAATCAGTAAATCATGTTCTCAGCTACCAAGCAGTGTCTGCTTTGGATAGGAACAGGTTGGTCCTCACCAGCTGCTGCGGAGCTGGAGTGACCGCTGGGGTAACTCCTGAACCCATCATCCAGCTTGGCCTTGTCTGGATTCATGCAGATATTTGCGCTGACCAGGTGCCCATTCATGCTGGAATTAGCATAACCTCCAACGATATACTTGGCGACATTGGCGAGATCGGGCTGGCATCTCGAGAGAAGATCCGGTCGCGGCTTTCCGTAAAGGTTCTTCATGCCATTCGTGATCAGCCAGGCTGACGCTATCGACAGAGCCAACCCCAGCCAGCCAATATGCAGTTCCCATAGCTTTCGCTTCCAGATCAAGGCCTTCGGCGTGCCCCGAGGTACGGTAGTGCCAGGGACGAATACCAGCGAGATGACGGCAATAAAGAAGATGGGGGCGATCACGCTGATGCATGCTGCCAGCCAGACCGGCACAGTTTCCTTTACTGTGAAGGGGAATCTGGAGGGTTTGTACGTCTTAGCATCACGTCCATTGAATGGATCAAGCAGAAACTGTCAGGAAAACCATTGTGATTTCACATACGAGATATTGGGATCGTAAAGCGAGAAAGGTCTCTTGTTTGGGGTTTTAGCCCCAAAAATATAGCCAATGACTCCGGCAACAGCGATAATGACCCAGTCAAAGACATACGAGACTACCACCACCCATCCTCCTCTCTTCCTCTTTGGCCCACCAGCCCGGATGTGCCTGAGATCGTCCATCATCAGCGTCGTCGAAGTTGGTGGTGTATAGCCGGTATGTGATGGTGAAATCGAGCGAGCATGTGCTGGAGGGATGAGGAGGTCTTCTGAATCGTCGGGCATGAGGACCTAAGGAAGATCCGAGGGGTGGTCGGATGGGAGAGAAAACCTCGAGCAAAAAAGGGACGGCAAGATGAGAGATCGGAAGCGCAAGTTTGGGTCAGATTGCGTCCAGTCCGTTTAGCAGTCCGCCTGGTCGCGTTTGCCAGCCGGAAAGAGTAGCGTGGGTAGGTAATAGGAGGATGTTTCAATAGGCGCAAACCGCAGCTGAATGTAAGGGTGAAGCGACAAGAGGTGTGACCAGGCTAATACAAACCTATGGGCTGCAGTGGTTGGGAACCGAGATGATATTTTGGGGAAACTAAGTACAAGTACCTAGCCTACAACCTTGCCGGACTAGCACAAAGATGTCGTGACGGGAGTACGCAGTATACGTAAAGCCGGAGACCTGGCGCGTGCATGTAATGAGTGTGCAGAGCACGGCAGAGGTTGAACAGTTCATTCTTGTATCGAACCTGTCGGTCTGACAGAAAATGAGTTTCACCCAGCGATCAGCGTCCACGATTTCCTACCCAAGACGTCTAAGCCTCTTTCTAAGACCGCACGTGTAACGCTAACATAGAATCCCCATGCCTGTTTCTGCACTACCTACAACTGCTACACTACATTTTTGCTTGGTCCCCGCAGTCCGCACTCCTCCCATCTGCTTGAAGTCAGTTGACAGGTCAACAATACTCCCAGCGGCAATGCAGTGAGTCCCGTAACAGCGGCTCGAAAAGAATGAGAACAATAATAACCAAGCTGAAATGAAACTAAGAGAAGGAAACCAATGTAAAAACGAGATTATCGAGGATGAACGAGTTATTCGGTCAAGAGCGGATGGGAAACAAGAGAATGGCAGCTTCCTCGGTGACATGCCGGTTGAGGTTACAACCGAAACCAACGATCTTGTAACAACCTGGAAATCTAGATCATTCAGGGGGGTGGTTTAGGCAGTGGCCCCTGGCCAAGTGGAACCCCAGTCCCGCGTACCTCTACACTAACGCTACCCGACATGGATGAGGTATGTATGGGGGCAGCCATAGGTAGGTACCTACTCCCTAGCTTTTCCATGTTAGTGCATCTTAACTCATTTAGTGTAGGGTGAGAAGCACCGCAGAGAAGGACGATATACCCTACCTATCTATTTATTTACCTGTCGGGGTCGTGAGGTACCAGACATGGTGGCGCACTCAGTTTTCCTTACTATTTAGTGTACAACTACCAATTCCATCGATCCCATTCAATCTCCAAAAGTGTCAAACGGGGACCGCCCAGAACGAGCGAAACGTTGCGAGACAGTATGTGCACTAAAAGAATGGCGCAAACCTTAAACTCTGCCCAAACCACCGAAAAGACGCTTCAAATAGTGTACTCATCACCCCGTTGATCTTGTGGTATACCTCTATGGAGATGAGACTATGCTTCCCTTTTGTCGACCCTCATTCCTTCATGGCGTTGTATGTTTGGCCGAATTGCGGGCGCATACCGAGACGCTGTCGTGATATGCCCTTACGCAGTTAATCACTGCAAAGATACCGCCGCTGGAATGCACAAGAACCTCGCTGCGCTCAGGTCTACCCACGCGGCTATTTACGCCCTGTCTTTTTTTTTCCCAGGATGGCGTTCACAAAGCCGGTAGCAGATCTGAAAGGGCGAAGGGGGACGGCATTTTTGTCCTGCTCCTTGCAGAGGAGATGAACGCAAAATGTGATTGGACAACTCGACCGACTCCAATGACCAGACGGCTTCAGTTTCTTTCATTGTAGTCTGTTGTCTATAATCATGGGAAAAAAAAAAAAAAAAAGAAAAGAAAAAAAATTAACTTCTGTTACGTTGTGATCGGTATATGGCGACCGAGTCTAACAGACACCATGTGTAGTCTTTGGTACATTCCTGAAATCGTATGCCGATTTAGAGGCACAGTTACGGCCTTGGCCGGGCCCTGAACCACATCGCCGTAGAGTTGCTCAGTCGAAAGTGTAAAACAAAGACAAACACGGCAGATCTCCAACAGACGATGTTATTGGGCCAAATACCCACACATGGCATCCTTCCGGTAATGTACTGAGCCCTCGAACTGCCGGCCTGCGAACAAATGAATACGTTTTACTATATATTGTACAAGATGGTGGGTATATAGCCCAAGTTGAACACAGTGGGTTATTTTCTTCATGTAGTCTTCTTGTTCCTCCGGACTCCCATGTTGCGGACCCGGGGGGTAACCACCCACTTGTTGACGTTGGACTTTCTGCGAGTCTTGTAACCACCTTTGGCCTACAGAAAAAGAGGGTAAGGCGTCTGTTCAGAGGAAAGAAGGAAATAAAGGGGCATGACTTACAGGTGTACCCCAAGGAGAAACAGGGTGCCTATTACCCTTCGACTTACCACGACCACCACCGTGAGGATGGTCATCTACCAGGCCGTTAGTTGGTTTTGCTCGCTTGACAAACGGATGCTTCGGGAGTCTACTCACTTGCGTTCATCGCCAAACCTCTCACAGTAGGCCTAATGTTGAGCCAACGGCTTCTACCGGCCTTGCCCAATTGTCTGTAGTGATGCATAATGTTGCTGGCAATACCAACGGTGGCGCAAGCGTCCTTGCTGACCCTTCTGATTTCTCCGCTCTGCAGTCTTACGTTGACGAACTTGCCCGTCATAACCTTTGTACCATCCTCACGGGTCTCCTCCTCTTTGGAAATAATGGTTGCATATGTTCCGGCACTGCGGCAGAAGACAGCCTTGCCATCCGGACGGGAGCCAACGCAATAGATCTGGGTTCCAACCGGAATCATGGACACAGGCAAGCAGTTGCCTCTCCAGCATGTCCTCGCAGCCAGAATACCAGGATCAACAACACCACCCATAGAATCGAGCAGGTCCTGGGGAAGACCGGACCGGTAGCTCTGCACAACGTCTCCAGCCCTCATGCCATCCGCCGCAACAATATAGCTCTTCCTCCCTGTGGCCTCTTCCTTCACCAGCGCAATGTGCGCGCTGCGACCGGGATCGTACTCAATGCGCAGGACTGTGTGCGGACCGGGGATCCATCGTTCAAAGTCGACCATGCGGATTCTTCGCTTGTGACCACCACCGCGATGTCTGACGGTGACGCGACCACTGTGATTACGGCCACCCTTAGATTGACCCTTCTTGGGAAAGGTAAGAGGAAGATACGGCCGGCCCTTCCACAGATGGTCGTTGATCGGGCGCTTCAAGTGACGGATACCAGGCGTGTGCGGCTTGTAAGTTCTCATCATGCCGGCGTCCCGGACGTAGGGAGTGACGATCTTGGCTTTGGCATCTTTGCTGGTGTTGCTGGTGCTAGTGCTGCTTGCTGATTGTGTGGCGGCCTTGGTGGCATAGCATCTGGCGACGGTGCGGCCCAGCACGGTTTGGGCAAAGGAAGCTGTCCCCGCAAGGAGGGGTCGGAATTGAGGCTGCAGCATGGCTGCTCGATCGCTGTCGGATATCCCAAGCTCCTGGCGGTGAGCTCTGGGGAGGTGAGGGTGCTGGAGGGGACAATTGCTGCGATTTCCAGCAACCGGAATGCGACGTCCTCGCAGGCTGCTCGTCGAGGTTCCCGTCGCCGGCTTGTCGTCGATAACTGCTTGTGGAAAATTGCTCGGCTGATGCGCCAATCACAGCCGTGCATTGGTTTGCGATCCCGGACTATTGTGGCTGCTAATAGTGTGGCTTGTGTGGTGCAGCCACTGGCCTTTGGTGAAGAGCCTTGTTTCTTTCCAGGGGACAAGTGCTGCAAACAGCGCTCCAAAACGCGGGCGCGGGACTCGGAGGAAGGCACCAAGTCACCACCGCGTGAAGGTGCAGTGCGGCGCGGGGAAAGAGCGTGCATCGTGCTCCATTCCTGCCCGCCCAAGGTTCCGGTCGCGTCTGACCCAGGATAGGTAGTGTTGACAGCTGCTGGAGCTCACGCGCAGCCTGATGGACAATTTAAACCAATCAGAAGCTGATTTGACCGAATTGCCCTGCGGTTGCCAGTGTTGCCCTGACGGCGGATGACAGCAAGGGAGGGATGTGGCCTGTGGTGGCCTTGCCGCCTTCAGTTCCTTCACTGCGTGTTTGAGGTGCGACCCTTCTTTGTACCTTCTGCTTGCAGTGCTCCATAACAGCGCCCGGCCCAGGTACAATTTCCTGGCCGCTTTCTCGACTCCGGATTCTGCAACTCGACACTCACCATCCGACTAACAACCATTTCCCTGGACGCACAACAATCGACTTTCAGCTACAGCAACAACAGCAACTTTCGACTCCGGACATTGAAGTCTGCATTTCTTCGGCAGTACAACCTTTTCGACTTGCTTATTCGACAACGGCATCCTCATCTTTCGACAACTTAGCAAGGCAGAGAACAGCGAGACGTGCGTCTGACAAAAGCCCATATTGCACGGCGCGTCATCACTTGTTGTGGTAATTTTGTTCCCTTTCCGGTGTTTTGGACTTCAAAGGTTCAAAGCCTCGCTGCACTAGTGACCTCGAAGGGCACTACTTTGCCCCAGTCCCAGCACGTCCGATCGGGTACCTGGGTGGGTGTCCACACGCCCGCTCCGTCCACTGGCACTCCAGCCCCATCCACTGGGCTGCACTGGCACTGGCACCTCCACCAAGACCTCGCAAAAACAAGACTCCCATTCTTCTCTGCCTCGTAAACATCATACCTCCCTTTCCCGTCCGCCAACTAGCATTCCCACTCCGCATCACCTGGACTCGCGAAGGCCTTTGCCATCACGACGGCAACCCTTGGCCGCGATCAGTCATCTTTCCGGACGTCGCCATTGCGTGCTTTGCCCCGACCGTCGTCACCAATTGGGCAACATTCCCGACCAACAACAGCACATCCTTCACGGTCTCAGCCAACCTTCTGTCGCGGGACCCAGGGTTGATCTCCGGCTTCAACAACGTGCCGACAGCGATATCACTGCCGACCGCCGGTGTCCATTCTTCCCGACATCTTTGGGCTCTGTAGTCGGTACGTCTAGTCTCATTGACTGTCCGTGTTCACAATTCCCTCGCCGTTCGCTCGTCGTTCGCGTCAACCCTCCCTCCGTGACAGGGATCGGTCTTTCGATAAGACCCAGTCTCTCCACCTCGAACTTCGCCAACAACGAAACACCCAAATAGCTAGCTGACCTCCCCGTCAGTAGACACATTTCACATCAATTTCTGTGCCAGCATAGGTTTAGGCGAGAATGCCGAATCTTGTAAGTTTTACTGCACAGTTGGCATTGTCGTTCAATCATGCAATTGGTTGTCCACAGCATGCTATGCTTGTACTAACTCAACCCCAACCCTGCAGCGGACGAGGAACCCGCGTTCACTCGCGAACGAAAATGACGAGAACAGTACAGCAACCACGACACGTATGACGAGGGCCAAGGCGGCCACTCTCCATGTCGACGAATTGTCCATGCCCGCGAAAACCATGCAGACCAAAAAGACGACGATTTCGACAACCACCGCCGCCACTGCCGCTCGCACTGTCGGTAAGCGGAATGCACTGGGCGACGTCAGCAATGTCACCAAGGTTGAAGTTGCGGGAACGAAGAAAGCGATTGCGAAGCCCGGCCTAGTTTCGAAGGCGGCCCAGCCGAGTGGCATCCAGAAGAAGACCACAACTGCTACGAGCCGTACTGCGACTACTGCCCGCCGCGCGTTATCCAACAAAGAGCCCAACAAGACGGTCGGCCCCAGTGCTGGTGCTGGCACCATTCCCGCCAAGCGCAAGCCTCCTCCGTCCACATCCAAGCTCGCCCCTACCAAGGAATCAGCACCTGTTGAAAGTGAACCGGCCCGCAAGAAGATCCACGTCGAAGAGCCCGAGAAGAAGAAGGTTCCCAGGACTGAGGCCAAGGAGAACGATGCTCCCTCCAAGGCTGCGAAGCCGATGGCCGAGCCCCCCGCTCCCGTCGTCCGCGATGTCGTCCCTGTTCAGCCAGTGTATCCGCCAGGTGTTAAGGACCTTGACACTGAAGACCTCGAGGATCCTCTTATGGTCGCCGAGTATGCGACGGAAATTTTTGAGTACCTCCGCGACCTCGAGTGCAAATCAGTGCCGAACCCTCAGTACATGAGCCACCAGGACGACCTCGAATGGAAGACTCGTGGCATTCTCATCGACTGGCTCATTGAAGTTCATACTCGGTTTCACCTGCTGCCCGAGACGCTGTTCCTTGCCGTTAACATCATCGATCGTTTTTTGAGCGAAAAGGTCGTCCAGCTCGATCGTCTTCAGCTCGTGGGTATCACCGCAATGTTTGTTGCCTCCAAGTACGAGGAGGTCCTCTCCCCCCACATTGCCAATTTTCGCCACGTTGCAGATGACGGCTTTACTGAAGCTGAGATCCTCAGTGCTGAGCGTTTCATTCTATCGACCCTCAACTACGACCTTAGCTACCCCAACCCCATGAACTTTCTCCGCCGTATCTCCAAGGCAGACAACTACGATATTCAGTCCCGTACCCTTGGCAAGTACCTGATGGAGATCAGCTTGCTGGACCATCGCTTCATGCCTTACCGCCCCAGCCATGTCGCTGCTGCTGCTATGTACTTGGCACGATTGATCCTGGACCGCGGAGAATGGGTAAGTTATACAGATGGATTTCTAAACTCGCCATATCATCCTGTGGCTAACACTCATGATCACAGGACGAGACTATCGCCTACTATGCTGGCTATACCGAGGAGGAGATCGAGCCTGTATTCCATCTCATGGTGGACTATTTGGCCCGTCCCGTTATTCATGAAGCATTCTTCAAGAAGTATGCCAGCAAGAAGTTCCTCAAAGGTATGTCAACCAACCGGCCTTGCTTGTCTCGTAATCTTATTCTGACATCTTCTTAGCCTCCATTCTTACTCGGCAGTGGGCCAAGAAGAACGCTGTTCTCTATGGCGTTGTTGACGCCGAGATCTCTCTTGACAAGCTCAAGGACCGCCCCGTTGACCAGCTGCCTTAAGCATGTTTTGGGTGCATCTGCGTCCACGGGCTAGCATTTGGGTTCTGGCCCATGCAATGTTCTCAAAAGAGGCTACGACGCGGTTGGATCTCGCTAGCGCTTGACGACATATCATGAAGTTATAGATGACGGTATGCCTTTTGTCTCTGAACCCAATGGAGACCGCGTTCGTCCAATTTTCCTATTCTCACCAAAAAAAAAAGCATCCTATCACCTGCTTGATGCACAGGGAGCCGGTTCTAGGAAACACGGCGAGGGTTAATCACCTGGTCCGCGCCGATGGGCTGGCTTTTGTTTTTCCTTCATCTTTCCGGCATGGCAGGTTTTTGTTTTGCACTGCTCCTTATTTACACGCTCAAACTTTTCTTTGCGGTGGCGCCAGGTGTCAAGGGAAATCAGGGAGAGAGGCGTAGAGGTATCTCTTTATTTCATGTTCCTCCGTGCAGAGAGGGCCTCAAAGGTATGGTTAGGTTGCGGTTTCTCATTGTTTACCCCCATGGTTCGGCACGGAAGTTATTATTACTGTTCTGTTGCTGCTGCTCTCTCCAGATATCGGATTCTGCGCAGAATCAAGCTCGGTGCATGGTGTGAATGATACAAGGAGAGAAGATGCATGTCAGTTATTGTGTGGTCGATATGAAGAAACGGCTTTAGCGAAAGAGAAAACAACAAAAACGGTGATCCACCGGGAGGCAAATGAACGCATGTCGTGGGAAGATTCCTGACGGCACAAGGGGGGAAAGTACTACTGTACATACATACATTCTGACGGATTACAAAGTCCTCATTTGAATGGACTGATTTCCAGTTCGAGGCACACGGAATGGGAAGCATATGCATGAAGCAAGTGCCTGGGCAAATGTGATTCTTCCTTGTGGTTGTAATGATCATGAATGTGAGGTGTTCTCAAGATGGAATGGATCAAGGTTCTAGTGTATACAGTAGCGATACCCCAGACTTTATCGAGGACAGATGATGATGATAGAACAATAATGTTAGCGAATTCGTAATTAGTTAAACGGAAGAGAAGGCCAGATGTCCCGTCGAGGCTGTAGTTGCGAGTGTCCTTGCCAGTTGGAGGCGTGACATTCCAAAGCCAGGCAGGCTCTAAACTGAAACTATTCTGGCCGGTTCGGAGATTGTCTCATTCCAGTGTGATGAAGATGCTTTTATTATTTTGAAGACTGCTGGGCTGGTTAAAGCTCTTGGGAACTATTTCGAGGAATACTCGACTCCAACCCTCCAAATCCAACCGGCCCTCCTTAACGCTCCGGCCAGGTTCTTCGTGTTGGCTTGGATTTTAGTATCTCTGTTTAGAGTGTCCCGAGGCACTGTATCTCCAGGCTTGGTATCATTCTCCAAGGCGCTTGGCTTTTTTGGTTTCATGGCTTTTGAGTTCCCTGATCTTCAACCTCCCGGTCTTTGACTTCCTACTCTGAGACTTCTTGGTCCTCGACCTCCTGGCTATCTACGTTGTTATTTGTGGCCTCTTGGTTTTGTAACTTTCTGGTTTGAAAACCGGTCATTCGGAGCTTGAGCCGATTCTCCGGCTCAATTCTACTGTAGACGAGCTTTCGTGGGCTGTTAACAGTATGTCCAACTGAAAGATTCTGGGCTATGGAATCTGTGGCCTTAGTTCCGTCTGGTTGAACGGTGCCAGGTGCACCTTCGGGCTTGGTATCTGGGGGCTCTGTAGGCTCAGTTTCGACCTTCTTGTGTTCCGACGCTAACCATTATGCCCTCTTTTACAAGGTGATCATAAAAGGTCAATTGGTGATGCTGTTAAAACACTTTATGGAAGTACGAAGTGAGTCCAACGAATGAGGCTCATGAGATGGATATATAATGTACAGATATAACGAAGTGATTCAATTATCAGTTTTTTGGACATCGTTTACTATAAGGTAGTGGAGTCGACAAGGCAATTCCTCGATAGCAGCACGGTGTTACCTGCTACATACTCCATGCCGTATGCAGTTCTCTATTCTGGAAAAGAAAGAAAGAAAGAAAGAAAAAAAAAAAAGAAAAAAAAAGCGATACATCTCCCTCGAGGCCAATATCTTGACCCATACCTCGTGTTTATCATCAACTGGCTGCCGGAGCATTTGCATCTCTACAATCCACACATGCCACCGTCCCAGAGCTCATTTCATCATCCTGGGGGACCTCCACACCCCCCTTCCCATCATCAGTGCACCGCACCAACCGAGGCACGCTGGCCAGCAGTCATGTCCGTCGAGCTATGTCGACATGATACGTGCCGTCGAGAAGTCATCATTCTCCGCTTGGCTGCCCTACACCTAGAGACAAAGCTCCTAACGATGGCCTGATGAATCGGTTGCTTCATGACATCGCTGGGTCCGAAGGTTGGGATCATGGATGCGTCTGCAATGACAGACCACTCATCCGACGCGAATCCTGCTGAGTCGGTGGTCACCACCATGTCTACCACACTTCTCCTTGTCCCTCGTGGGTGCTGATAGGAAAAGGGCATGCGCATTGTCGACATGTTGGCGTCGAAGTTGATGGGCCCGCTATCCCGTCGCCTATCGTTCCAAGAAACCATTTCCGTGTCCTCGAACTCTTCCACTGTCGAAAAGGCAACGTCGACCAAATCAAAGCCAGGGGAGAGGGGTGTTGGCGCCAAACTGTCGCTGCCATCTTCGTCTGAGGGAACTATCAAGATGCTGCTGGGTACCGTGATGATCTTGGTAGACGCGGACGGTGTGTACCCGTCATCGTCTTCTTGTCGGCTTCGCTTGCGGGACCGTAGCGTCCGCGAACTGACTCTCATAGTAGCGCGGAGGGGTGTGGGCGGTACTTCGCCGGGCCTTCCCAGGGATCGCTCAACCGCCACACATCCGTTGGATGCCTTGGGGGTTGTTGTTGTTGTTGTTGTTGTTGTTGTTGTTGTTGCTACCAGATGGTTGGCCATAAATTGACCAAGCTCGGGAGCGAGTCCTGCGTCGGCGAGTCGGGTCCTGAAAGAGCAGGGATCATATCTTTTGGCGAGAGCCACGATGGGGGTAGTTGGTACCGGCGACTCTACTGCCCTTCTCTTGTCTTCCTTCTTGCTTCGGACCCTTTTCCGGGACATGAGGCGCCTAAGTCTACCATTGATGCTGTCGGGGTCTTGGGAGGTGGTGAAGGGAAGCGCCATGTTTGCTTGAAGATGGATGAATGCGATCCTAGACTGATCTAAGGATCTCGTGAATTCGTTCTGCTGAGAAGATGGTGTTGTGGGCCGACGTGACCGAATGATGTCCGCCGAGGTGTTATCCTTGATTCTGCTGGCTGCAAGAAGGGGTATATTGCATTACTCAAAGGCTTGAAAGGGTGCTGAAGACGTGCTGAAAGGTGCCGGCACCTCTACTTTGGAGCTGCTGTCGTCCCGGTGTTTGCTTGCTGCGTAACTGTCTAGAAGTACCTAATCTGAATGAGGGACTGTTTGGCTCTGCGTATCGTCGTATCCAGGCTCCTGGCGGCAGGCGTGGCTCAGCAAGCACAGCTATGTGCCTAGCGTAACCGTACGTCTCCAGCTGCCTTGTGATGCAGTAAGGTTTATGCCGTTAAGAGAAGTGACCAACGCCCGGTGTGCGACCAGCGCTCCTTTGTGCGTAGAGGACCAGAGCTCTAAAGTACAGGACTTGAAGCTATGTTCCTGCCTTCAGCCGAGAGGCTTGGTGGGTGGATGATGGAGAGGGAATGAGAGTGGAAGCTTCCGGATGAAGCGGTGACCACAAAAGTGCAAGTGCAACTGTCGACTTTGTTGTTCCCGATCACTCACTCTTTCGTTAGGCCAGGCGACCCGACGTCATGGAGCGTCAGACGAAACGTTCGACTGGTGGCAGCTGTCTCCCAGCAAGCTCCGTGCGACGGAAGACGGAAGTCAAATGGAAGGCAGGCGGGAAAAGAGCTTGAGGCGGAAGGTGAAGCTGCACAGAAGCTTTCGGGACATGATGTCTACATCCCATGGGGCATGCGGCTTGCTTCGTGCCGACACGCGTCTCTCTTTAAATAACAAGGCGACATGGGGGCACCTGTAACCACTCGTGCCCCCACATGGGAACGTCTGGACCAGTGTACGACGCTCTTATTAGCCTTGACAAGTTGACATGCTGGAACACAGCTTCACCTGATGCCGAGGAGGGTGTGGGTGGGTAGGTAGGTATGTTGCGCTGGTGAGTAAAACGTCCGAGTAAGGACCAAAAAGTGGAATGACACGAACCATGTTGAGCTTGGTGCCCGACCGACATACTACCAAACAAAGTGACCACTCGGCTTATTACGGTGTGAACTGGACTACAGTATTGAAAGCACCCCCAGCAACAAGCGGGAGGCGGACCACACAGAGGCGGCAAAGGCGCTCAGGAAGTTGCAAAGTTGTAAGAACAGCTTTGATGGACTCTGAGGTGTACTGCGTAAATCACGGGCCGGGCCTTTCGCGTCACCGCCTTCCCGTCGCTGGCCCCCCCAAGGCTGGGCAACTCTGTAGCGAATCCAAGACGGCCACATGTATCTGGGGGAGATTGCTAGCTTGCAAAGTAGCACCCCAGTAGTCAGCAAACCCGCGTGCGTGTTGACTGCGGATGCCTATCATGTGGCTCATCGTGATCGTGCAATGGAGACAGACCGACCCTTCCAATTCTTGCTGCTCCGTACTTTCCCGGGCAAGTCAAGAGATACCGGAGCACGAACCAGAGATCGGGACCGAAGAATGGGTCTAGCAAGCCGGACATCGGTACTACGATCCGAGACCCACATCGGGCCCCATACCGGTAGATCAGCCCCGCTGCTCCACAGTCGACGGACCCACGGGAACGCAATCCCGGTTATCAATACCACTTCTGTCCATCAAGAGTCAGGACAAGATATCTGAAACAGCCTGAGACATCCCAAGCATAAAACAAGCATCCTGTAGTGAGTTGGCAGAAGCAGTACAAAGGTTCTCAGCATGGCAATGAGGCATTTTTTCGGGGGGGGGGGGGGGGGGGGGGGGGGGGGGTTTATGTGTCGACTTTCATTCGAGACAAGTTATTGTAAGTTGTCAGAATTATTTGACAGCATGACTACCATACGTAGTCTACCAAACGACATCAACTCATCAAAAATATCGTCACCAAAAAAAAGGACCAAATAAAAAGAAACAACAAGTAGAGGAGTCCAAGATCCGTAAAGATAAGACGCCGCTCGAAAAAAAAAAAAATTCGCCCCTAGTTCCGACAATAAAGAAGCCTGCTGATTCCAGACCATTTTCAATATTTGCAGCGAGAGACAAGAAACAAAGCCCCAACGTGAATATATAACCTCAACGCCGGGTCGGTATCCCTGTCAAGTCAGTCGGCCATCAGCCGCCGACGTCAAGTTCCCAATACCTATTTTCCTTTCCCATCCTTATTCCCATTACTCCCCCAATTTGACATGTCCTCATTTTCCTTCCTTCTGTCTGCCAGAGCTCGCGAGGGTCGGGGTTCTTTCTTTCTTTCTTTTCCCATTAACGTCACATCGTTCCTTTCTTGGCCGCCTATGCCCCAGTAGTAGGTTGATGCATGCCTGCTTCACCGCCCTTCTCAAAAGGATCGCATCTGCATCTTCTCCTCCAGACTGCAAAAGTACATATCGTCCGTCGGTCTTGGCTCCAAGACATTTGTGAGCTCCTTGGGGCCGGCCTTTTCTTCCTCCTCCTCGGGTTCTGAAGGCACCAATCGAATGCCGAACAAAGAGCTCATGTTGCTGCCGGCGCGGTTGAGCGTGCTGCGGCTGGCCGTCGAGCTGGTTGGCGATACGAGTCTTTCCACCTCGCCGTCTGAGCTGCTAGTCCGGGACGAGGACGACGATGAGCGGGACCGGCGGCTGCGCAAAGAGGTACGGAGACCGTGGGGGGTGAGGCGAGCGGCAAGGGAGTGGAAGCGTGAGTTGTGCATTTTGAGTGGTTGACTGAGATGTGCGGATGTTTTTTTCGGTTCAGGTTGTTGCTGTCGTTGTCGTCAAAGAGTGTGGAGTAACCCCGGTGGGTACGGTGATGTGTAGAGCGAGCGATAGGTGTGCTGAGACTGAGCAAAATCGTTTCTCTCAAGTGTTCGGAAGTCTTATGAAGCTGGGTTTCTTGCTGCTGAAAATGACTGGCTTGTTATACTGGGCTGGGCCGCAGATAGATTTGAAACCCAAATAATACTAAAAAGAGAGTAATGTGACAGAGACAGTTACGAAAGAACAAGAAGCCGGCTCTTGGTTCGTTCTTTTTTTCAGTCAATGTACGGGAGACGGGAAGGTTGAGAACTGGACGGCGAGCTTGAGCTGACGAAGTAAAAGGGCAAAAGCCGGACTTGGAGCAGAGAAGTGGGCGAAAGTCTCTTTAAAGTAGACATCAGCATTGATGACCGTCTTGATGGAAGTGCAAGGGTACCTAGACTTTCGATCCGTCACCTGGAGCCGGGAAGTCGCTCCCAAGGGGGGGTGAGGGTGGTCCGGTGTCGTCGACGTGCAATTGCTCCCCCCGTTGAAACATTGCACAGAGATGAGTGGCAGAAAGAGAGAAAGGGTCCGGGAATGCCAAGGGAAAATGGAAACCACTACTACCCTGCCTGACTGTCGTCCACCCGAGGGACTACCTAAGTAAGTCGCAAGGGGATAATGGAAAGGTTAAATCGGTCATGCATTCCATTTCATGAAACAGGACCAACGGTTCCGGAAAAGAAGGTGATTGTGATGCAAGGAGACGCCAACCGTCAACCAAGCCAACAGCCCAGACTCGACTCACTACGAGAGCACAAATCACCAACGTAAGCCATGATACCAACAATCGGTTATCTTAGGTTTGCGAATCGTTGATCATCATTGGGGTTTTCGAGCTCTCTTGCTTATTGCGATTCAGTGCCTGTGGGGAGCCATGCACAGATATGGGGAAGACCGTGGACAAGGACGAGGACGGGGATAGCCTTGAAAAGGACAGGTGCCATCATGCAATGGAAGTCTGGCCAGACCGAGGACCTACCTCACCTCACACATGCCCTCGACCTCGGCCCTCAATCGGAGCGCCAAGAAGGCGCCAAGACACGCCAAGACTGACCTCGGCCTTCAATCGGAGGACTTCAACGTACACAAAAATGAGAATTGGTACTGTGCTGTCTTACCACAAGCTAATATCAATAATATGATAATGTATACTTATTTAGGTTTAGCTTTCAAAAACTTAATTTTCTACAATCAGTTTCTAATATATTAAAAATTAATTTCCATCAAGTACGTAAGTATATAGTATTCTATTTACTTCTTACCTTATATATTATATGAATTTAAATATTTGAAATAAATATTTAAACCGTAAATTACTTTTTAATATATTTCCTAATATATTAATAATTAATTTATATAAACTTTGAATTTTATATAAATATAAATATTCAATATACTTTTTACAAATATAAATTCATTTATAATTTACTATATAATATATTATAAATGAATTTTATATTTCTTTCTACTTAATATATTATATTAATATAAATATTGAAGATAACTATTAGGAATATAAAATAATTTTTAATATATTATTTAATATATTAGAAATTGATTTATATATACTTTGAATTTTATATAAATATAAATATTCAATATAATTATTATTAGTTTAAATTAATTTATAATATATTATATAATATATTATAAATTATTTTTCTTTCTCTTTCAATTTAATATATTATATTAATCTAAATATTTTAAATAATTCTTAGGAATGTAAATTAGTTTTTATTATATTAATTAATGTATTAGAAATTAACTATATATACTTTGAATCTTATATAAATATAAATATTTAATATTAATTTTCTAAATATAAATTCATTTATAATAATATATTATATAATATATTACAAATTAATTTTCTTTTTCTTTCTCCTTAATATATTAGAAACTAATTTATAAATACTTTCAATCTTACATAAGATTCTTTTTACTTAATATAATAATTCTAAGTGTAATTCTATATATAGTATATTATTAATATTAATTATATTTTATTTACTTTATACTTTATATATTTAATTAATATAAATTTTTTAATATAACTATTAAATTTGAAATTGATATATATTTATTTTAAATCTTATATAAATATGAATGATTAATATATTAATTCCGGGCGTAATTTGATATAGACAGTATTATATAATATAGAATAGTTTATTTTTTATTTATTTAATACTTTATATTATTTTATATATATAATATAACTATTAAAAATATAAGTTACTTTTAATATATTTCTTAGTATATTGTCAATTAATTTATACTTACCCTAAATTTCCTATTTTCACAAATACTTTATATAATTATTAAAAATATAAATTAATTTATAATATATTAAGTAATATATTTAGATTTCATTTTTTTTAATAAATAACTCTATATTAATTATTATACTTTTAACCTTAAAGTTTATGTTAAGATTATTTTAATATAATTATTAGCTATATAAATCAATTTCCAATTTATTAATTTATATATATAAAATTGGGCTTATATTAATATATAATTCTATAGTATATTCATTTTTGATTATTATATATTGCTATTAATATAAATATCAAATATACTTATTATATATATAGATTAATTATTAAGAAATCAAAAAGTATATAGAAATATTCATTGGAAATTATTCTCTATATAGTAAAGAGGTTTATATTAGTTTCATTACTTTAAAACTTATAAATAATCTACTTATATTTATATTAAAATTATTTTTAAGAAATATTAATAAGTATTAAAATATATTTTTAATAAAATGAATAAAATCTAGTTCTATATATTTATTAACTTCACGTTTATAGTATTTCTATTTTTTTATTTAATTTAATAGGATTATTTATTATTGTAAATTTTAATTTAATATATTTAATTATATAAATTTTAAATTCTTTATCTATAGCTTCTTATCAAATTCTTAGTATTTTTGATATTATTATCTAAATATAACAAATTAGTATAATATTATAAATTGTGTATTTAAAATCTTCTATTACTATTTTAATTCTATTTATATAAAAAGAAATATCTTTATTTTAATAAATAAATAGAAAATATTTTATAAGAATATAAATAATTTAATATAATAGGCTTTAGAACTAAGAAATTAAATTCAAAATATAATAGAAATAAATATAATTAATATAATTTTAATATAAATTACTAATATATAGGAATACTTTTAAAGAATTAAATAAATAAATTATATTTGGTATTAAAGGATTATTTACAATTTACCTTTTAGAATGAAAAATTTAATTTAAAAATTCTTATATATATATAATCTTTAAAAATCGACTTTTATTTCATTTAATAATATATAATATTATATATATATTTATATATATATTTTACTATTTTATATATATATATATATTTATCCTGGAATGGATTTTATTTCTATTTAATATATAAGACGTATATTATATCTTTGAATATATATAATATATAGCTTGAAGGTTTTTATTTTTCATTTGAATTAATCCTGGATTATTCAAAGATTAGTTGAAAGGGAATAATATAATTTTATTACTTCTCAATTTGAAAATTCACTTGCTTTTATTAAAAAATAAATATATATATATATATTATTTCTATAAATATATTACATATTACAAATACTATTATATAAATATATACGTGATGGAATTAAAATTATATACCGCCTTTGGTAGAATCTATATATATAAACCCCCTCCCCCCCCCCCTTTTTTTTTTGAAATTCTTCCCTCTTTTCTTCTTTATCCTTCTCTTCTAAATTAGTGTACGTATTACCTTTTCTTTAGATTTTTTTTAGAAAATTTTCAGATTTTTTTCAGATTTTTTTTAGATTTTTTTTTTAAAAAAAAAACTAATATTGATGGTAGTAACTAATTCGAAATTAATTAAGAATTTATCTAGGATTAATTCGGAACTAATAAAACTAATATAGCGAATAATTATTCGAAAGAAACTACTTATATTACCTATCGTCGCTTAATTTAGCGTTTTACTAATATCCTACCCTTTATATTTAATAATATAAATTTAATTTATCTATTTATAATTAGTTTAGAATTAGTTTCTAATTGATCCTTAGGCTAGTAAAGTTTAGATTAATATAGGCGAAATCTTCTACTATTTCCAGAAGCCGAACAGGGTTATATATAGTAACAGTATAAGTAATACTTATATAAAACTAATTTGGAACCAATCTTAGATTAATATAATATTAATTCTTTTTTTTAGTATAATTAGGGCTTAATATTGAACTTGAGAAAGTACGTCGGTAAATATTAAATAGAGGATAAAATATTCGTTGTAATTAAGAAGAATAGTATTAACGGTCTGATTTTTATTGAGAATAAGGACTTTATTAGTAAGTAATTAATTTTAAATTAATTTTTAACCTATTTGAAATTAATCTTAAATAGCCTTCTATTAGAACTTTATGAAGGTTATTAGCGACTATAAGGTTAATAATAAATTTGAAACTAATTTTGGATTAGTCCTTTTACTTTTAGTTCGCCCTCCGAAGGGTAAAGTATTAATTAAAAAGTATAATAATTTAGAGGGTAATAATAAAAATATTATTAAAGTCTTTAAGGAAGATATTATTACCCTATTTCTTTTTAAGAAGGTTAAAATATTTATTATTTTAGAATTGTTGTAGAATAAGAATAGTTATGTAAATATTTTGAATTAATCTTCGACCGATTGTAAATTAGTTTAGGATTTAATTTGGATCGATATAGCCTTTTTATTATAAAATAAAGATTTATTTTTTTAAAAACGTTTATAAGGAGTAAATTAGTATTAACGATAAGAAGATTTGGGTTTGTTTTGGTTGTATTAAATTTGGTATTTAATGTAAGTTTATTTATAATTTATTTTAGATCTATTTAGAATTAATATAGGATTAATTTAGGTTTTAGAGTGTAGTATCCTCTTGAAGACGAGGAGTAGTGCGAAATGTGGTTGCCCTATCCGTTTGATGCGGAGCGTGAGGATAACCTGAGTATTATGTTCGACGAGTCTGCTTAAGAAGTAAAAAACTTTTATTTTACTAATTTCGAATCGGTTATAAATTAATTTAGGTTTAGTCCTAGATTAATCCCTGTATATTAATTCTTAATTATAACCGATCGAATTTAATTATACTATTATTCTATATTATCTTCTAAGTCTTTATTTCCTAATACTATAATAATGATAGGAAGTTTTTTTTAAAAAAAACTTTTAGGTTTTTATTTTTATAAGAAAAAATATATAAATATATATAAGAATAATAATAGTAAAAAAATAATATAAATTATATTTCTTTTAAAGAATAGAATTATTTTCTATTAAAATAAAATA